AAGGAGTTAGGTAATGTAAACGAATAAACGATACTCACCCGTCTGGATAGTCACTTTGTCTGGAAGTGGTCGAGCTTCACGTTCACACATGCAACACCCTGGTAAATGGATTATACGCAACAATACCCTTCAAGAAAGATGACGTGCAGTGATACTCACTACGGGTGTTTTGTATAATGTTGGGCCCGTTAATACAAGACCATCTCATTTTTTGGGGCACAAATAGGCTCTTTTTTGCCATTTCTTATGCCAAAAATTGGAACTTTTATCGGGCCATGGTTTTAAGCGATTATAAAAATATCTTACCCCCCATACAAACTTTGCTCAAACATCCGCTGGGGGTATAATAACACTTTTGGTTATAATGTACTACTGCTGGTCTTTGTGATCAAGTGTGGGGCCCGTTAACTGCAAGACACTCATTTTTTGGGCAAAATAAGGTCATTTTGCTCCATTTCTATCAAAATATTGACTCTAATCGGGCGCATTGTCTTATACGATTATAAAACAATATCCTCCCCCCATACAAACTTTTTCAAACTCGCTGTATTGAGCCACTTTATTATATGTACTAATACTGGTCTTGTGTAAATGAGGGGCCCGTAATTGCAAGACACTCATTTTATGGGGAAACTAGGTCTTTTTGCCATTTTTTATCAAAAATTGACTATCGGGCCATGTTTAAGCGAATTATAAAAATATCTTTCCCCCATACAAACTTTTTCAAACTCACTGTATTAGCACTTTATTATATGTACTACTACTGTCTTGTGTAAATGAGAGGCCCATAACTGCAAGACACTCATTTTTTGGGGCAAAAATAGGTCTTTTTGCCATTTCTATCAAAAAATTGACTATCGGGCCATGTTTAAGCGATATAAAAATATCTTCCCCCCATACAAACTTTTTCAAACTCGCTGTATTAGCACTTTATTATATGTACTACTACTGGTCTTGTTGTAAATGAGGGCCCGTAATTGCAAGACACTCATTTTTCGGGGGCAAAGCTAGGTCTTTTTGCCATTTTCTATCGAAAATTGATTATCGGGCCATGTTTGGGCCATTATAAAAATATTATCCCCCATACGTACTTTTTTCAAACTCGCTGTATTAGCACTTTATTATTATATGTACTACTACTGGTCTTGTGTAAATGAGGGGCCCCATAACTGCAAGACACTCATTTTTGGGCAAAAGAGGTTCTTTTTGCCATTTCTATCAAAAATTAACTATCGGGCCATGTTTGGGCCATTATAAAAATATTATCCCCCCATACAAACTTTTCAAACTCGCTGTATTAGCACTTTATTATATGTACTACTACAGGTCTTGTGTAAATGAGGGGCCCGTAATTGCAAGACACTCATTTATGGGAAACTAGCTCTTTTTGCCATTTTTTATCAAAAATTGACTATCGGGCCATGTTTAAGCGAATTATAAAAATATCTTCCCCCCATACAAAACCTTTTTCAAACTCACTGTATTAGCACTTTTATTATATGTACTACTGCTGGTCCTGTGTAAATGTGGGGCCCATAACTGAAAGACACTCATTCTTTTTAAGGGGAAAATAGGTCTTTTTGCCATTTCTATCAAAAATTGATTATCGGGCCATGTTTGGGCGATATAAAAATATTTCCCCCCATACAAACTTTTTCAAACTCGCTGTATTACACTTTATTATATGTACTACTACTGGTCTTGTGTAAATGGGCCCATAATTGCAAGACACTCATTTTTGGGGAAACTGGTCTTTTTGCCATTTTTATCAAAATTGACTATCGGGCCATGTTTAAGCGATTATAAAAATATCTTCCCCCCATACAAACTTTTTCAAACTCGCTGTATTACACTTTATTATATGTACTACTACTGGTCTTGTGTAAATGAGGCCCATAACTGCAAGACACTCATTTTTTGGGGCAAAATAGGTCTTTTTGCCATTTTATCAAAAATTGACTATCGGGCCATGTTTATGCGATAATAAAAATATCTTCCCCCCATACAAACTTTTTCAAACTCGCTGTATTACACTTTATTATATGTACTACTACTGGTCTTGTGTAAATGAGGGGCCCGTAATTGCAAGACCACTCATTTTATGGGGAAACTAGCTCGTTTTTGCCATTTTTTTATCAAAAATTGACTATCGGGCCATGTTTAAGCGATTATAAAAATATCTTCCCCCCATACAAACTTTTTCAAACTCACTGTATTAGCACTTTATTATATGTACTACTGCTGGTCCTGTGTAAATGTGGGGCCCATAACTGAAAGACACTCATTCTTTAGGGCTAAATAGGTCTTTTTGCAATTTCTATCAAAAATTGATTATCGGGCCATGTTTGGGCCATTATAAAAATATTTTCCCCCCATACAAACTTTTTCAAACTCGCTGTATTAGCACTTTATTATATGTACTACTACTGGTCTTGTGTAAATGAGGGGCCCGTAATTGCAAGACACTCATTTTATGGGGAAACTAGGTCTTTTTGCCATTTTTTATCAAAAATTGACTATCGGGCCATGTTTAAGCGATTATAAAAATATCTTCCCCCCATACAAACTTTTTCAAACTCACTGTATTAGCACTTTATTATATGTACTACTACTGGTCTTGTGTAAATGAGAGGCCCATAACTGCAAGACACTCATTTTTTGGGGCAAAATAGGTCTTTTTGCCATTTCTATCAAAAATTGACTATCGGGCCATGTTTATGCGATAATAAAAATATCTTCCCCCCATACAAACTTTTTCAAACTCACTGTATTAGCACTTTATTATATGTACTACTACTGGTCTTGTGTAAATGAGAGGCCCATAACTGCAAGACACTCATTTTTTGGGGCAAAATAGGTCATTTTGCCATTTCTATCAAAAAGTGATTATCGGGCCATGTTTAAGCGATTATAAAAATATCTTCCCCCCATACAAACTTTTTCAAACTCACTGTATTAGCAGTTTATTATATGTACTACTACTGGTCTTGTGTAAATGAGAGGCCCATAACTGCAAGACACTCATTTTTTGGGGCAAAATAGGTCATTTTGCCATTTCTATCAAAAAGTGATTATCGGGCCATGTTTAAGCCATTATAAAAATATTTTCCCCCCATACAAACTTTTTCAAACTCGCTGTATTAACATTATATTATAGGTACTACTACTGGTCTTTTGTAAATGTGGGGCCCGTAATTGCAAGACACTCATTTTTTGGAGCAAAAGAGGTCTTTTTGCCATTTCTATCATAAATTGTCAAGCGGGTCATGTTTAAACGAGAATAAAAATATCTTCCCTCCATACAAACTTTTTGAAACTCGTTGTATAAACACTTTATTAAATGTACTACTACTGTTTATGTATAAATGGAAAGGGTCATGATTGTAAGACACATCTTTTTGGGGCAAAGTAGGTCTTTTTACCAATTTTATCAAAAATTGACGACTGGGACAGGTTTAAACGATAGTAAGTATCTCTTCCACCTATCCAATCTTTGTCAAACTCGTTGTGTTTACTTCCCATTGTAAGCACTTATACTTATATTTCTTATACTAAGCGGATATATTTGTGAGACACTTATATTTGGGGGAGAACTGTGATTTTTCGGCAATTATTCACAGTTTTTATGGTTAATCTGGCAACACATAAAGCATCAGCTGATTTTGCATCGATGCCTTTTTCGTAAACTCTCGCATCGCTCAATTGAAATTTGAGTTCTGGCAACAGTGATCGGCGCGTTCAAAAACGAGAGAGATGTCTGCTGAGAGATGTCTGCTAGGGTAACTTTGGTGATAGGATAGTGACTTTTCTTTTTTTTTCGGCCATAGCCAAATTCATAGATAATTAATTTATAATGCATTTACTATTTAATGATTATATGTAAGGAATTATAGTTTGTTTTAGTATTGTGCTGTATGGTTTTTATTTGTTCTATGGCCGCAATTGCCTAATGGAAAAGCAGTCATTTAAAATCTGGGTAACTCACCTTGTGGACTTGAACACTCTTATGTGCTGATCTGTCTGCCTGTGTGAATGAGATTCAAAATAGTTCCTGTTCAAGAGAATATTATATTATTTGTGGATTAAAATCATGATTTATCAGTATTTGTTCTAAAAACTACTATTATTTTCTTCCACATATTTTTTTTTAGTTTAGTACAGGAACGGGGTATAGCCAAAGAAATGCTTAAATACCGGTACTGAAATAACGCCAGACAAAATGTAATGCAAGAACAAATGCCGTAACTGCTTAGCATTGAATAAGGATGAATGAAAATTGATGTTTGGCGGTTTTTAGACAGTGTTTTTTTTGAGTCATGAAGGATGGATTAGAATTTCTGATTATTCAATATTAATTCTGTAAATGCAACACAACATTCTAGAATAGGAAACGATTTGAAGGTAAAAACCTAGATTGAAGATAATCTTTAGGAGGGCATGAAAGGTACTGCTTGCAAAATTATGGTGATATAGTAATAGGCATTTTTAAAAAGTGGTTGATAAGCAAGTCTTGGGATTGCATTGACTGGGTAAACTGTCCTTTTCGCTCCTCCCTGTTTCAGTATTTAGTAAATTATGTAGCTTTTTGCTAGAAACATCCCTCTATCAGTCTATAAGAGAGATAATGATTTATTTTCCGAATATTATCAAAAAATATTTAACAATTACAATAAATGGAAAAAACATTCTTAAAATATAATCGTAAAGGGGTGGGAAGGACCGCAAGGTCAACTATGTTGACCGACCCCTAAAAAAAATAAATTTTCTGTTAGGACAAGACATTCATGAGTCATGAGAAAAAAAGGTCGCATATAGATTTTTACCTTAATTAATTACAACAATTATTCAATTGATTACACATAATAGTTCCAAAGATATTGTAATATAAGAAGGGGGATTATTTAACAAGTTAGCTAACACAATAAGCTACGATCTTTGAAATATCTATTTGATTTATTTGACTATAAAACCGAAAGAAAAGTTAATCAGCAGATATTTTATTTCTTGCTAAACAGAAATGTTGTAATAGGCCTACTGTTATAAACGCAGTTTATCTTTTTAATTGTAAATTTTCTCAAGATATATGGAATGGCTCATCGAATGAATTTAGAAAAACTGAGATTATATCTCAATCAAGCTTGTAAACTTGATGGTTCATTGTCTGTAAAAAAGTTTAAAGATGGCCAATCAAATCCAACATTTCATTTAAAGATCGGGCAGAAGGATTTAGTTTTGAGAAAAAAACCTGATGGCAAACTTTTGCCTGGAGCCCACCAAGTTGGTAGAGAGTATAGAGTAATGAAAGCGCTCCATTCCACGGGTTTTCCAGTTCCTCAAGTTTTAGCTCACTGCACTGATTCTGACATTTTGGGAACTGATTTTTTTATTATGGATTTTGTGGAGGGTAGAATTCATTTTGATGGCCTTCCTGGCAAAGATAAAAATAGCACGAGGGAATGCTTATTTTCTGCGGTAGAAACACTTGCCCAACTGCATTCAATTCAACCAGATGAAATTGGCCTTGGAGATTATGGGAAAAAAACATCATTTTGTGAAAGGCAAGTTAAAACGTTTTCTCGACAATATGAAGTAGCAAAACAAAGAGATATTCCAGAAATGAACCAGCTTGCTGGTTGGTTGAGAAATAATCTTCCTCCTGAACCTGATAGAGTATCAATTGTTCATGGTGATTACTCTTCACACAATATTATGTTTCATCCTTTGGAAAGTCGTGTTAGATGTATTTTGGACTGGGAGTTATCCACACTCGGACATCCTCTGACTGATCTAGCTTATTTTTGTATGATGATCTTTCATCTACCTCCACAATTCAAACATATTTATGGTAATTTAGATACTGCCTCTGTAATTGCTGAGAGGGAGATTGTTGATCATTACTGTAAGCTTCGAAAGATCACGTCACCACCACAAAATTGGAATTTTTTTGTAGCTTTATCTTGCTTCAGAATGGCTTCAATTGTTCAAGGTGTTTATACTCGATTCTTGCAAGGCAACTCTAGCCAAAAAACTGCAGAGCTGTACGGTGACACAATTCAACCTCTTGCTGCACATGGACTGCAAATAGCAAAACAAGGTTGGAAAGATGATTCCAACAAATCTGGAACTAATTCAATAGTGCTATCTCCTTCAACGAAAGGAAAATCAGTGCTGGATAAAGTTAATGATTTTATTCAAAATCAAATAATTCCCAATGAAAAAGTGTATTATGAATTTTTAGAAAAAGCTGACAACAAATGGTGTGTTGTTCCAATTGTGGAGGAACTAAAAGCAAAAGCGAAGGCGGACGGTTTATGGAACTTATTTTTACCAGGTATAAGTGGCTTGAGTAATGTTGATTATGCTCACATTGCTGAACAGCTCGGAAAGTATGTCTTTGCATCGGAAGTTTTCAACTGCAGTGCTCCTGACACTGGAAATATGGAAGTGCTTCACCTTTATGGAGATGATTACCAGAAAAAGACTTTCCTGCAACCTTTGTTGGAAGGAGAGATCAGATCAGCATTTTGTATGACAGAGCCTGCTGTTGCTTCGAGCGACGCAACTAATATGGCCTTGTCAATCATTCCTGATGGTGATTTTTACATTGTTAACGGCAGAAAATGGTGGAGTAGCGGAGCTGGTGATCCTCGATGTAAAATTGGTATTGTGATGGGTCGTACTGAGCAATCGGAATTTGGAAAACATGCTCAACATAGCATGATTGTTGTACCATTTGATTTACCTGGTGTTAAGGTCCTAAGACCAATGTGTGTGTTCGGATTTGAAGATTATCCCCATGGACATATGGAAGTTGATTTTGATAACGTTAGAGTTCCCAAATGTAATTTGATTTTGGGTGAAGGTCGTGGATTTGAGATTGCTCAAGGTCGTCTGGGCCCTGGCCGAATTCATCATTGTATGAGGTCAATTGGTGCGGCAGAACGTTGCTTAGAAATGTATGTTGCACGTGGATTACAACGAACTACATTTGGGAAGAAACTTATTGAACATCAAGTTAATCAACACCATCTTGCACAATGTCGAATCGGCATTGAACAAGCAAGATTACTGGTCTTGCACACTGCCTTAACGATCGATACTAACGGAGCAAAAGCTGCTAGAAAACAAATTGCTATGATCAAGGTTGCTGCGATAAAAGTCTTCAAAGATGTAGTTGACAAAACAATTCAAATTCATGGTGCTGCTGGCGTATCACAGGACTTCCCTTTAGCTGCGATGTATACTTGGGCTCGTTCATTGCAATTTGCAGATGGTCCTGACGAAGTTCATCTTGATACTCTTGCAAAATTAGAAATCAGAGACCAAATGAAAAAAGCTAAACTTTAAATTTGATCAAATCTAATATGTTCTAATGGATAACTTGTCATTGCTTAAAAATCGAAATCAATTAAAAAAATTTATGTTATATAATATATGAAATTGAAAATTGTAATCTGAAATTTATTTTTGTAATATTGTGTTCATGTAAAATGGTTTGCTATATGCAGTACATAGATATCAAATGTAATCCCGTCATGACTACTTACATCTGTAGATATAGAATTTTGTGCTTGTGTTTATATATTGCTGAGTCCATATTTTTTATTTTCCGAACCCAGGATGTTTGGCGTTTGTCCGACTCCCACCTCACTATTAGCAAAGTACCATAATTTATTATCAGAAGACATGGTGACTTTTGTGACACTGTAATTTTAAGCCACAGCTGTAGTTATAGCAGGGGCTGCCAATGTTTTTAATCGAAATTTATGTATTATCATAATTATGTGCAATTGTTTTCAAAATTTGATTGTGTTTTTCAGATGTTTGTGCGAGCTTGGCTCATTGGTTAGCATAGGTGATTCTTGTATATACCTTATAATTCGCTACCATGGAAGCTGAACACAGGAAGTTACTGCAACGTCACCGTATGACCTTGGCAAAGGATTTATGTATCGATGAGATTTGTCAAATTCTTTTTGCGGAAGATATTCTGTCAGATCATATGGTTGAAGTTATTTCGTTGAAAAAGTCAACCTTTGAAAAGAATGTGAATAGAATTTTTATGATATTTTTTCATTTTAAGATTGAACCTTATTTAAGATTGTTTATTTGTCAATATTTCACATGAAATAAAGCCTTTTTTTGGCATGATTAAGCTGGCTAGGCTGGCTTGTACCATGATTTATTTCTTATCATAGACACCTGCTATGGAATTACAATGACACAATTATTGCAAAAATCTTCAATAACAATATATATAGGCTACCTACTTATGGTAATTAAAAATTTTTCAATTGAATTTTCTGATATCTCACTCTAATATCAAATTATTTTCCAAACTGCGAAATAAATTGTGAATTCATTTCTTCAGGTTCCCGAATAAATTGGTCTTGATATAAAGAATGGATTTTTTATTCTATTTCTCTATTCATATATGCTATTGAATTATCTTACTCTCCGGTATTTCTGGCGTACCATCCAAAATTGTAATATTCAACAATTCTTAGAAAGTAAATAATAGCTTTAAATATCATTTATCTAAAAAGTTTATTAATATTAAAATTTATTTTTAAAAGGTTGCATTCCTCACCAAGTTACCAACACGAGGACCCCTTGCATTTAGTTTCTTCATTCAAGCACTGCATGAAACGGGCCAAGGACATCTCGCCCAAATTCTATGTCCATCGCTTCAATCAACCAGATTAAATAATAACATAGGAGACATGAATGAATTTCCATCTGCTTCTGATATGAAACCATCATCCTTTTCATTTGCTGAATCCACCCCTACCAAGGGTTCTCCACACCAGATTTTTGACTCAAGTTTTGAGATTAGTTCAATTAGCAATACTACTCCAAAATCGTGCAAGATTGTACCATCTCCCCGTTCTGTTTTGACGGAGTGTTCACCAAATACTGTTGGACAATCAAGATCTCCAGGCATTCCGGTTACCCAGAATCAACTGACACCTGTAGAACACATGGATGTCAGTGTTATTTCAAATGATACATCTCCGTCGCGTAGCGCAAAGCGGAAATTTGTTCCACACAATCATTCCAATTTAGATTCTCTTCGTTCAAATTCATCTATTGAGAATCTTCGTTCAACTGCTGGGCTTACACAAAACAATCATAACCTTTCTTCTGCCAATAACAATCATATTTCTTGTACAATTGCCCAACCCAATCATACCTTACAACAACCAATCATTTCGCTGCAAGCAGTCGTAAGTGATGCTCCTGCGTGGGATAATGTCAAAGTGCGTCCTACTTCACTTGAGGTGAGTTGAATTTTTTAAATACTTATGCACTGAGAATATTTTCGTCACCACATTGTCTGGAGTACATCTACAAATCTTAAGGAAATGATTGTGTTTAAAAGGAACACTGGACTCTATAGTAGGTACCAAGCCTGTTTTGTTCTCTCCCAATGGCATTCTCCATAGCAGCTAGCTATTCCAGTACCAGAAATTAACTGGTTACAGGGTGAGAGTCTGCTGTTTAACACATGATCAAATTGTCCTTCTGCAGCTTTTCTGTCCCCAGGATAAATACAAAATTTTTATTTTATTTAAATTTACAAAAAAAAAGGGCAAGAAAGTTACTCTATTTAATTAATAGATTCATATCATGCCGTTTTTAATTTACTTTCAAAGTGTTGACCTTTTGAAAAAAAAACTACCGGTATGTTGTCATATATACAGTACTTAAACTTGACTCTAATGGCTAAATTCTTTTCAGGTTTTACATATGGTAGTTTATACTCACAAAAAAAACGTTCTGGGATCACAAAAATGTTGTTGTTGTTGTTGAATATATCATGCCTTTTTTTTTGTTTGTATAGTTTCTTCAAAGTCGGATGAATGACTGCTATCCACTGTTCAAACTATGCAAAGGTATCACCTTACTCATTAGTGTTACTGAGTTTGAACCTGTAGCTTGCCTGGACGATCGACATGTGAGTATTAAGCTACACTAAAAACGGCAGTAAATTTCTTGTAGGCTTGCAGTTTTGTGTTTAACATAATTGTAAGGCAGTAGTAACTCATAATAATGTATTATGTAGTCTGTGAATATCAGATTATATACATTTGCTCTTTTATCTTAGTATTTTTCTGGAATCAATAAAAATATTTTATCCTGAAAATCGTATTTCACGATTTACAAGTGAAATTGAATGTTTTTTTAGGGTGGCGAGAGAGACTGTGCTAGATTAGAACTGATGTTCCAGCAACTTTCATATGAAAATTACCAATTAAAAAATGGGACAGCTGCTGAAATTTGGAACACCTTGAAGGTAATGGAACCCTATTCCGATTTATAATGAACTGATTTGATATGAATTTTTCACAAATGTCAAATGAAAAAGAAAGAACCATCACTGTTTTAAAGCATGGTTTGCTGAATCTAATAAATCACTGATTACCTTGTTTAGATTGGAATTTCAGATTATGGCATGGTTATTTGCCAAAGATTGCATTGTCCTTATTCAAGCACAATGGTTTATGTAACTGTCATTAACCTTAGCCATTATACAAAAACCTGGACTAATAACTGTTGAGTTTGCTCTCTCTCTGGATAAATATAAAAAATCCCATTCTAATATGAATCTATTTGTTTAATATTTTATCATCGATAGTGTCTGTTGTACCATAACAACCTAACTCAATGTGATTTAGAATTTTTCATCCTGGGCCAAACTAGCAGAATTCGAAAGCTGTTTTATTGTTCTAATGAGTCATGGTCAAGATGGTATTATATTTGGAAGAGATGGAAATGCAGTCAGTCTGCCTGATGTTTATGATCTGTTTTCAAATGAGAAATGTCCTCATCTGCAAAATAAACCCAAGGTATGCTTCTAACTGATTATCAAGTTATGTCAATTCAATATTTTATAAAAGCAATAAAAAAGACTCCAGCTGTAATAATTATAATATTATACGGTACTCCCGAAGTATGTGAACTAAGATGACGGACATTGGAACGTACTATGCATACCAGGTTAGGGTTAGGCCATAATTTCAGGTAGAGAAGTTACTTTGTTGGTCCCCGAACTCGTAATAGAACTCGAATAAGGAAAATTGGAATAAAATTATGGCCTAACCCTAACCTCGTACACATACTACATTCCGGAGTCCGCCATTTTGGTTCACATACTTCGGGAGTATTAGTATAACCTATTACCTATTACACTTCTCAGTATAACAACTTTTAAAATCAAGTTTTTCATTTCATTCAATTGAAAAAAGTCTTTTGACTTTATAGGCCTGCAGATAAGTGAATGAGTTTTTATTTCTCACATATTTCTTAATTAATTACTTCAGGTGTTTCTGGTACAAGCATGTCGTGGTGACCAACCTGACAAGGGAACTGATCAACTAGATGGGCCTGCAAATAAAAAAGTATGAATATGTTATCATGTTTTCAAACAAGACTGTATGTATGTTGTGAGTTGTGACCAAGGCTTGCAAAACTGCCGCACCGTATTGGAACATACGCTGTGTTTGTGTTTAAGTACTGTAAAACTATTGATCGGAATGGCATTTGAAAATTAGCAAATTTTTTAAAGTCAGTTGCTGCTCGGTGAGCTTTGTTATTTCCACTTTGAACAAATTGTACTACTCTTAGCAATATTTAATCTATAAAGAGGCAAAATACATGTTTGTTTTTATCAATTATGAAGAAAACACTAGGTTTTTTTGTCTCTACATTCTAGTGCCACGTTTCTCTTCCGAGAAGAAATTTTGTCGTTTTTGTAGATGAAGTTTGCTTTGTATTTGCTGTGGTATTATTAATATTCTTAGGTATTTATTATTACTATAATACCTATTTATACACACGTTATTATAAACTACTTAAACTGTACAATAGCGGGGATTTTGACTTGATAACACTAGCTAGGAGAATCCATTAAAGTTTGAACAAATGAAGTATTTTTTACGCATAGTCAGGAAGGAATAAAGAGTTCCAAAATAGTCTGATGAAAGAATTCAGCGAAAAAAGTTGGGCTAGCCATTATGAAATTTGCCTGGAGGGCCTGCGTATTTCCATAATGGTGTCTATCTTAGAATGTTTTCTACATAAACCATGATAAATTTGATTACAGGGTCAAAGTCATGGAAAATCAGCAAAGAGAAAACTCCTGGATACCAATAATAACAATATAAAGAGCAAACTGCCTACAATGTCAGATTGTCTTGTTGCTTATGCCACTGTACCGGGATATGCTGCAATGAGAAATACAGAGCAAGGAAGCTGGTTTATACAAGCTTTCATTCAGGTTAGGGATCTTTTTTCTTGTAAGAGTATTTCCTCAAAGCAAGGGTAAAGGTTGCAGAAACTGATCTCTGAGCAAAGTAACGGGTCGTGCAGAAATGCTTGGAACCACTGTGCAACTAATGGGGCAGATACTGATAGCAAGCGATGGCAGATACTGATGGACATCGATATGCATTCTGACATAATTTTGTTTGATGTAGTGTGATCCCAAAGTTAAAAATCATGGAATTACCTGAATTTAAATAGGCAATCAATCGTTCAAATCAATGCAAGATCTGTGTCAAGAACAGTGGTTCTCAAACTTTTTAAGCCTCCCTTTTCAGAATTTGTGAGGTTTCGCACCCCATCTCCAAATATCTATAACCTAGCTAAAAATAATTTACAAATATCCGATACTAAGTCGAAATCATGTTCTATCAAAAATCACGTTAAAAACACATCTATGGAACGTAAATATCTAAAATATAGATATGTAAATATCCTAAATAAGGTGGCCAGGTGGGCAAGATCAAATATAACCAATATTTTTATTTTTATTTGTTTCATGCTCCGTCCAAACATTGTCTATACCTCCCTTGTGGGGTGTGCCCCGTTGTTTGAGTTTTTTGTAAGAGGATTTCATTATCTTCTCTAAATCCTTCAATCAACCAACTTGGATCGTTACTGTGGTAGTGTAGTGGTGAATGGTGATTGTTGCTATTACTAACTTCAACCAATTGTTTCACTTACTGGTAAAAAGTAACAATTTCATATGATGTAATAAGAAATCTGATTGTAAGATAGAGAAAGAGTACTATTTCTAGTTAAACTAAAATGCAAATTTTAATTCAGATTGTTGCTTATCATGCAAAAGACAAAAGTTTGCTGGAAATCATGACAATGACCAACAATCACGTTATGAGTCGTGAAGGGAGGAGCCCAGATTCTGACTTCCACAGGTGTAAAGAAATGTCTGAATTCACATCTTGCCTTTGTAAGCCGCTATACTTTTTTCCTGGAATTTATTTGAAGCAGGTGTCATAAAAATTTTCACTGAAATTAAATAGGGACACTGTGATTTTTACTTGGTCTTACAGCTTACTGCTATTCAAAATGTTTTGATACGATTTTGGTGTTAATACATTGGTTTTTACATATAACGGAAACTCAGAATTGATTGTGTGGCCCACGGAGATTTTCATGTAGCATATATGTTAGCTTATTTAGCATTGTGCGAAATGTAACTCAATTTCACGTACAAACATTTTCAAAACTTCATAATAAATTTTCAGTGAGATTTCCTGCTTTCAAATTGTTTGCAATTTTTTAATATATGCTGTCCTCTTGTTGTATTGTTGTCTTGTTTGTTATTTTGTATTAGTTTTTTGCTCTGTTTGAAACAATCATTTTAGTCACATTGAATTAGCATCCATTGCTATATTAATCTATCTATTCTAGTCAATCTATTCCACAACCAGAACTGCCTTCTCAAAAAATTGTGCTTTATGGTATTTTTTGTTATGTGTGATCTACTTTATGTGCAAGTGTTCCTTTTTTATATTCACCTTTGCCCTTAAACTGATGGATTATTTTGATTTATTAATTAAATTGGTGTATCTAGTACGTCAAGAAATGGTTGGCAATTTGGTAACATTTTTGTAGAAAATAGCATGTGATACATGTATCATTACCCTCACCCCAAGCAAAAATACTTGCAATCTCTATTTTATCAACTTTCTGTGTTGAAGTGAGAACAATGGGATGGCTTTGTAACACAGATATACCTATTTTTCACTGATTGATTTGTTATAAAAATTCGTTGATTTTTAACGATGAAATAGTCATACCTATTGATCAAAAGCTGCTGGAGGACAAATATGAAAATGCCAAACCATTTTGTCTTTGATCAGAACATAACAAAAAATCTAGTTCAATATAACTTCATACAAAAATTTGGTTGTCGTTGATTTTGGGTAAATATGATGCTTGCTCATTTCTTTTATTTTCCCCTTGATGTTTTGTTGTAATAAAAAAATTTCAATAATATTGTGCATCATGTCAATGGGAGTGATGAAATAAATGTAACAAAACAATGGTTTGAAGACCAGGTATGTTGAGAAGAACGCGGTGTTTGGGTATTTCAATTTCAAAGTTTTTGAATCACATTTACGAAAAGTCCAGTGTTCTTGATACACTTGGGGTGCTTATTAGACGCAAGTGGACATACTGATTGGTATGTTGTTCTTTTGGACATATTGCTTTGATATTTTCAATGGTTTGAGATTTTTGTTGTCACTAGACTGCTATTATATTAATTTATTTCAACCGTTTTGTGTGGGATGACGTCATAAAAAATGCGCGGTTTCGCTGTGATGTGATGGTCAGTCGCAACGACAACGCTCCCGTACCGGTACTATAAACGATGAGATAGTCGTGCTACATCGTGTTGGCTTCGGTATCCAAATATTTGACAATTGTTTCTTGTTACATTAAAAATATGTGATAGAAAATATAAATACGAGTTCATACGTTCATTTTCATATTTTGCGAATCCGTTGTTTGCACCACGGCTATAATTAGGTCATAAGCAATGGGTGGATTCGTCCATTCGTTAAAATTCTCTTAACGAGTATGTAATATTGTCATTTTAGACTAGAATTAGGCCCATTTTGGGAAGGGAAAGTGATTAGTCCCTTCAATTTAGGGTACAATTCGAATGACCATGCGCATAAGTAGTCATACGAGTTATGCCGTAACGCAGAAAAGATTCAGATATTTATTTCGCACAAGAAACACTGTACAGTACAATTGAACAAAAAACAATTGATTGAAGAAGCATACCATATTTCAACAGCAAAAGACTATAAAGTCATCAAATCAGCGACACCTTTTTGCTGCTACAGCATCGGATGATGACGTTAAATAATATGGAAATAATTTATTATGAATGAACACAAACAACACAATTTGAAAACTAAATTGTAACAAAAATTGAGGTTATATAAAAAAAAATTACTGAATATTATGTTAATTTAGTGCCCAACATCGTCCTTCGGCAATAAAAAAATGTTGAGTGGCTAGTACAAATACCTAAATGGGACTCTACATATACCCAAATATATATATATTTATTTCGTTCACAAAATTTGTTTAAAAAGTACACACCTTGGTCCAATACACTAAATATAGATCCAAATTAAATCTTCCTAGTTTTAAATTCCAAACACAAGAAGAGAAATATCCATAAAAATGGTTTAAGTGTCATGCTATGGCTGTATAAACTAATCCCAACTTGAGTCAGGATTCAGATCGTATGAATGTGCTAGTCAGCAGTGGTTCCCAAACTTTTTGATATCGTTACCCCTAAATCATTGTCTCTAGATTGTCAAAACGATGAACGTCTGGATTACCCCCTAAGAATTGCCAAATTACCCCTTTGGGAGTAATAACCCCCCAGTTTGGGAACCACTGTGCTAGTGTTTCCAGAAATAAAATCGAACAATTTTTGTTTCTTTCGGCCAGGAATCTAAATTCCGTAGAGTTGCGATGCTTTCGCGAATAGCGACCTTGAAAGACGTTTCATTGTCTTTGAATCTGGACATTCTGGTTATGGATTTCAAACTTAGCAAGTATGGATTCAGGCATTCAATAATATTTTCCAGCTTCCAACGTGGGGGCAGTCGCTTTACAAGAAAATGCTCAACCTTTGATAGTTCCTCGGGTATTGTATCAAGTGAGATATTTGGTGGTCGTGTACGCGAAACCTTGTGAATAATATTGTCGTGTACGGTGTACCACTGGTTGTTTGGAGGCACTGTTACAGAATTCCCCTGATGGAGAGATACGCGTGCTATTGTCGTGGTTTAGACATGGCTTTTGTAAAGTATCCACAGATTTGGGTACACCATTAATTGCACAATCACAGTTAGTAGGCAAGAGACCGACATTCGACGCTACAAACTTTATTCGCGCAGAGCTCGAATTGATCCGTTCAATACCATCCAATAACTCGTCGATCAACTCTTGGCGACCCTTATCAATCTTCAATTTGAATTCACTGTCTTCATTTGACGAGGCCTGGTTCAATTTCGGATCGTAAAGATAACTTAATGCTTGTTGAAGCATATCATTTGTAATAGGACTGTGATTTGTGAGAGTAGATTTAATTGAAGCATTGCTCAATTTCCCCGAGTTGCTGCTAAGATAGCAGAGTACGTCGCTGATTACGATTGTCTGATCACCATTTTGAATCCCCAATACCGCCACACCAGTCTGACAAGTGAATGCAGATTTCGGCTCCTCAATACATTTTTTGACGTTCATAATATTTTGACACGTTACTTCCACATCAAACAAATCGGGCTGAAAGAAAATTTTGTTCAAGTAGTTCCATACATTGGGTACCCTGACGGTCTGATCTACCAATAACACGGTATTGCTGGAATTACACAACCTTGGTTGAAGCATACATTCAAACGTTAGACGTTGGCGAATAAATTCGTGTGTAACGACAAATACAACGAATTTCACGTGTCGAACCATATTTATCAATCCACCGAGGAAGTGTTTGCCTGCTGGGATCGAAATAGTCGTGTGCAACGACCGACTTTCCGACAAAGCTTGTTCGAGGGATTGTCCTATGTATTTGTCTCCATCACAGTAAACCAAACCGACATCACGGTTGTCAAGCCCAAATGAGGAATTGCTTGACACTGTTGAATCAGAAGACTATGAAGACAATCGTTTTCGAGTTCTGATATCCATACCAGATATGGTATTAGGTTCGAGTTCTTTGCTAGTCTCGCGATATTTTTCATTTATCTTCTCGAAACAATGTTCGTCATTACAACGCTCGTCTTTCAAAACACTGAAATATTCATCCTCTTGCGGACAAGAACGACGTGGGCATGACATTTTTGCCTACTTTTGATAACAGCTAACGCAAATACAGCTACAGCACATGAGCCTACACTGGGAAAACGCTATTGAAAATGCAACTACGCCCGAATGGTGTCGGGCCCTGAAATATCCAAGGGGATTTCCCAGGTATTATCGAGCCGGGACACGCACTTGGTGTATGTGCAGCACACGGGCGTGCTAACTTTCGCTTGAATGGAAGTACCAGCCAGCCTTGCCAGTTTAACAAAATAAATTCCTAAAGATGTTTTTTTTTGATCAAAATTGAATATTATTATTTTGTTAAAAACTGATGCGCCATTGAAAACGCGACTATGGAAATTTCCGGGTTGCCCCTTTTACCTTGGTTCCCCTAAGCACGCGCTTATTTTGCTTAATGGATAATCATAACCTGTGTATATATATATCGACATTGACATTTGGACAAGCTGGATATTGGCATACGAGGCTGGCCTTCCTATTTTATATTTTATATTTACATTACCTCATCAAAATTTCACGGATTGTGGAGAAATCATATCTACTTTCAGATCAAAATCTTTTATTAAAGATATTTCCGAATTTCCAAGTTCAAATAAATTTAGCCTTTTATAGTCCGCCCGACATTTTGCAACCTCTAAATTTAGAAAATCCATGATTTAAATTATGTTAATTTTTCATTCGGATATAATTTTTTCGGTAAAATTTTCAAGAATTCTGCGAAAATTTTGAAACAAAAGTTGATTTAACACCCAGTACATATTATTGTGCTCCGAGAACAATAAAGATTCATACGTATTGCATTTGTACCCAGATGAAAAAGCGGTTTACGTAAGTTGACAAAGCAATCGACGCCTAGATTGAATCACGACATTATTTCTCAGCGGGAAAAGTTATTTCGAGTATACAAAGCATATTTCTTCAACTATTTCTTTAATCTAAATCTTTTAAATGGTTCTTTTGAAAAGTATCGAGGATTTAACAAGTAACAAATTTTGCAATATATATATATATACAAAATTGAAAATTCAGTAATGGATAATTCGTGCTTTGACAAACAAAAATTTGCGTGCCTTTCACATAATGAAACAAGATAAATCACTGGCAAACGCAAATGTAAATTTGATCGATAAGATATCGATGTTGAAATTTCCCTCCTCAAAAGTAGTTTTCCCATTCAACCGGATGAAATGAAATATTACCATTCTCATGAATGGGTTTTAAATTCGTCTCCGAGAATGTTGGCGTGTATGCTAAAATACGAAGATTTCTGAAATGCATTTCGCAAATCAATTCAAGGATTCATTCAGGATCATAGTAACTTATTATCCATTTCGTTGCTAAAACAATATATAGCTTATTTATGAGGTTATATGAGAGATTAAATTAAACCAGGGATTTGCAAACTGGGGTGCATGTCCCTCGGATACATTTTTATTTTTCAAGGATACATCAGATCGAGTATAAGGATGTTATTTCCATAACTTTTAATCTGCCTTAAAATATTTTTATCCCCTGATGTTATTAATTATTTGAAGACCTGAGTTTAAGAACTCCGTGAGAAGTCACATCCTCACTTCAGTAGAAGCTTCAATTACAACCACAGAAACTGTGGCTAATTGATTCCCACGAAAACGGGGTTACAGGGGCGGAAAATTAAAGACAGTTGCCTCCATGTATAAAATGGACAGAGCACCAATCTTTTCTTGATAATCGATTACGGTTTAATACTTTAAAAGAATTTCGGTGTCAAAATCCCTTTTTGAGACCAAAGAATTGGTCACTAAAAATCTTATGAATTCGGAAAAAAGGATATTAATTGCTATTCTCAAGTCTTAGGGGATGTTCCTAGTTTGCATAACCCTTTTCCGTGAACGCTCAGGCAATTCAGTCTGACACAGGTATGCAAGGGGAACTGATTGAACTCCAACATGATGGCTTTGCACGCGGTGTGTACCTTGGAGAGAAATTAAAGTGATACCTGGTTCGCGGTGTGCAGTCGTATAGAAGGATTGAGTCGACATTTTCAGTGCTGCTTGGAATCAAATCAAAATACAAATCTCAGCTCAAAACACCTGAACATAATCTTTGTTGTAATGTTGCTAATGTTATACCTTATATTAATGAGCTTTATGCTACAAGCTATATAATCTATCACATTAGATTTTTATTTGGGAATTAGAGTGAAAGTGTTGGCACCATTTTGCAACCTCGAAAAATGCCGCCATTGAAATTTTTCCAATGATTACGATGTCGTATAGGCAACAGATACTTGTCCATAGTCACTGATAGATTTGAAAATCAAATCATCAATGATTCGAATACTGTTAAATTAGTAATCCGGATGTAATTTTTTTGGTATTCTGTCCAAATTTCGAAACAAAATTTGATTTAACAAATTATATATTAGATCTCGTTTGTGCCATAGATTAAGTTAAGGACAGTACAGATTTAAAGGTATTGCAATTGTACCCGGATGAAAAAGCGGTTTACGTAAGTTGACAAACCAATAGACGCCTAAATGAAACGACGACATTATTTCTCAACGAGAAAAGTTATTTCAAGTCGACAAAGCAAATTTGTTTGGCTATTTCGATTGTTTAATCTAAAACTTTGAAATGGTTCTATTGAAAGTAACACGGATTCAGCACCCGGATATAGATCAAGCATTGAAATACTTGATAAAATATTCGATTCTTCTAAACCACGACTTCGTCACTTAAGCATATGACGCACGACCGTGTACACTTTAGTTGTTTTTGTAGACACTTCGATTTACGTGGGGTATTGTCGAAAAGTTTTATGTTTAAAGAACAATAACTCAAGTAATATTTTTTGAGGGATCAGTCATAATCTTTCAGACCGATTTATTTTTTCAGTTTACCGAGTGCTTTTAAAAACTTGAAAAATATCACTATTAGTCTACATAATTCAATACAGATACAGTCCACGAACACGTTAATTTATTTTGAATCGCGCTTGGGACTGAGTTGCGCACAATTTGAGCAAGGTAACTCATGTTTTAGGTAACTCATATCAGCAAAATTGCGATTTTTTAAGTTATACATAAATTCAACTAATATTTACTCATTTTCATATTTTAGCCAAACGGAACCTATTGACGAAACATCAGATAAGCTGAATAAAGCATCGCAATTTTTGAATAAACTTGGAATTTTTTCATGTCTTGGATAAACAAACTCATCTTGGTTGACCCGGATTTATATATTTCCCCCACGCTGCGATTCATATATAAGAAGCCAGAATGACAATCTAGTTTCACTACCTTGGGAAAAGTCACTCCCAAGCATACGTCTGTATAATTGTTGATATATTTAAAATAATTAGAGGTGAAACATAGAAACACAGAGGCCACGTAAAGGTGACCAACATGGAGAATAGAAAAACGGCGCTTCTTGCGGCCTGGGGCGTAATCCTGTTATGGCAGGCTTCTGCGTAAGTACCAATAGAAATATCTTCTGGACGAACCGTGAATTGCACGACCACAAATGATCTTTTAGGGTGCAATACGAAAGGTCTGCTAAAGTCAGGGCTGATTTGAAAAATTGAATATCAAAATCAAATTGGTATCAACCTTCTTCAGCTCAAATGACATAAAGATGAGCATGAAATGCGTCTAAAATATTCGACTCAAATGAAAATACGTAAAGCCGAAATCTTAAATTGACAACTGAATAATATCAACCAAATTACTAATTTGGTACCTCAACAAATTCGAACCTAAGTCAAAAAATACTGGTTCGAATGGTATATTACCGCCATCAGATTTCAGATGCTTGGTATCTATGCTTGGTTAACTCGTGCACTAAATTTTTATAACCTATCATAATGATTTCAGTTATCAATTTTCCAAATAAGTGGCTCTTATCTGCCTTTGGATGATTTCATAAAGAAACATGAATAAATAACATCGAACAACATCAAGTTATAAAATTTATTGTTGGGTCAGATTATTTGCCTGCCTCTGATTTTACGCAAAAGCATAAACATTTATTTTATAAAATGTTAAAAGTGTGTTAAACTGTTGATAATTTTCACATACGTCTATGAAAGAGCTATATAGTTGATTTTAACGCATATTTTCTGAAACAAGAAGATTACGAAAGAATGCCATACGGCATTTCGATTCATATTTTTTACTCGAACTCTCACGTATCGTGACTATTATTATAGGTCACAGATAAATCTTATATGTTCGAGATAAGTTAGCCTTATGTTTGCTCAAGTAAACGTTTAATAGACATTATATAATGCTCATTGTGTGATTGATCTTATGACAAAATTTAACAATAGCCTATTCAAGGCATCCGGGTATGACCTCTAGGATCCGGGTATTGCCAGATGCTACATTTTTTTATAATCAAATATATGCATAACTATGATTTCATTTTTTGAGAAAATATATAGTTTAATCTAAATTGTTTGTTGAGTGCTTAGGTAAAGTAGAAATATATTTTATGCAAAACAAAAATGTGTTGACGGCATGCGTTTAAAATGACCGACGTCAGCACGGTGTTCCTATAATGAACTGAGCCTGTCTTGAATTCTATCACATAACAAGATGTTTTTATTTCAGAGAATTTTGTTCGGAAGATCGGATAGTCAAGGTTGAAGTAGCCACACGTACCTACGAGGTGCAAAAGTTTCAAGACTGCTCGAGCAAACAGGATGGTGATTTCTTATTAGATCGATCGGAAGTGGACGGAATATCATCCTGCACATTCAACAGGTAAATCAGAAAATCGACGGTTCAAAGCCGGACAATAAAAGGCTTGCAGTCTTGCACTGCTGAACAAAGTACAATCATTGAACACATAATTTGCATGTTTTTCAAAATTGGTTTAGATTTCTAAGAGTTATTTGAAATTATCGCAAAATATTGAAAGTTAATCTATGTTTATGCTTTTGAAAATACTGCTATAATGATACCTTTCATAAAATGCTAGCGAACGTAATTTTATAGCCATTCAGTTAAATTATTGCAGACGCATGTACTGTATCTTAAATGATAATATAATGACATCATAATGTGACTCTACCGAGATGTTCCCTCTTGGTTTCATAGCTTTGAAGTAATTTGTCAGCAAGCATCAAGGCTTTCTCAACTGCTGCGCTACGTGTTCATTATGCTATTACACTATTTAGTAATTCGTAGGCAGCTAAAGCAAGCCTTATTGCTGTTTGATAATTTCTGCAGAATGTATAGATGTTTGAAGTAATTGGTAGCGCGAATATGAAATTATTTAATTATGTGTAATCAGTGGCATAATGTGAATATTAAACGAAAATCACTGATACCATAAAATCATGCACGTTATCCAAGATTTGTAATTTTTATTTGACGTGCATTGGTCATTTTGAATTCAATGAATCCGAAAACACGATTTATTTTCAGATCCATTTCTTCTACTCAACTGGTGGATAGAACTGAGACATTCAGTGTCTGCTGCAAAGGTTACAGGGGAGAGCTATGCGATATTCGTAAGTATCGACACTAAGCCCGCTCATTTTCTCGTTTTTAGGTCGTTCATTTTTATTCTTATTTTTTAACAGCCGTTTGTGAGCAAGCTTGCGCCCACGGACAATGTGTCGCACCAAACACCTGTAATTGCATTAACACGGGATACGAGGGACCGACATGCTCCTCACGTACGTAACGTATTTGATATTATACGCTCCAAAAATGAATGTTATTTATGTTTGATTTCAACTGAATGTCTTCCACAGCCTATGCTTTGCAATATCAGCCAAGTTTGGATCTTTTGTACAAAGCCCCCAACAACAACAACAAAAAACACCAACGCCCAAAATAAGAAAATTAGTAAATATTCCACAGGGTTAGAATTGCTAAGTGCGCTAATAACTCAAATTTTTTAATCATTCCTAATTCTAACTGGATAACTGGATTTTTTTTACATCTCACATTTTTGCATTAGTGGCGGGGGCTTTGTACAAAAGATTCACAAGTTTATCTTACACTCACTTGTGTATGTTTTTTGAATGTACAGTATATTGAATGGCCTATATAGTATATTTCAACATTTTATTCAACAATTCCCTATGGAAAAAAGGTTTGTTCTAGATTAGTTTGTGGCGCTATATAAACGCAAAATAGGTTAGTCTTAACGTGTCCTGACAACGCAGATTTGAATGGCATGTTTGCTCAAATCAAGGTTCGAGACAATTGAGCCAAAGCACGAAAAGGTACTCACTCAAGTGCACAAGTCTGTATATTTATTCCAATGCGGATGCGGAATTCAATTTGACCCGGATAGAGATATTAATCCATACATTTTTATGAAATACAATAGCAGTGTACCTGATGTTGAAGTATTGTTTGCGACAATCTTGCGCAACAATTTAGCTCTCTTATTGATGGTACTATTCACATAATCCGGTTGCGGCGGTTTCATCTCGCTTGAAATATTGCACCAAATAAAACATCCGGGACATAAGTTATCCGCAACCAGAGATCGACCCGGACACAGACATTCTCGATCTACTTCTAGAAACTTCTGAAGTGGTTTGAATTTTTGTTTGAATGCTCAAATAAAAGGTCTTTGTCCTTAAGAAAGTATTTACGTACCGCATCCTGGTTTTGATAACCGTCATTTGTCTACATTATCAAGAGTATCGTCATCTTACCGCGTTACAAAAGACTGCTTTTGAATGTTTATAGAGCATGTTTGCTTGTAGATGAAATTTGGGATGCCCTCAGCGACCCCGTAGAAGTTTTGCAATCACAACAGGAAATAGCTATGGATCTTAATGATCGAATATTAAAAACTTGTGTCCATTCCCCTTCATTTCAGCCCAGAGTAGCCTAACCAATTTCTTTTACGATACCGTGCGTGTCTTCGATAACTTTCCGAAACGCTCCCCCTTATCTCCATGATGATGATTTTTATTTCATGATTGTCAACATTGAAAATATTTCTTTAAAAATTTTACAGCTGTGTGCACATCAGAATGTGTGAATGGTAAATGCGTTGAGCCCAATACTTGCAAATGCTTGAGTGGATGGAGCGGAAAACTTTGCGAAACCGGTAAGTTACATCGGAATACAATAGTACAGAATTAGGATCTATCGATTAGTATCTGACGGCAGTCACAGTGTAAATCGATAAATGCAAATTCAACCTCAAACTTCGAATATTTCACCAATCTGATTATTCACGCAAATTCTAAAATTTCAGTTTTTTCAAATAAGATATTTGGACCTTGAGTGTCGCTGCTCGATGACCAGATTTGGTTCCCCGCGACTTCCCTTCCCCAGTAAATACATGTAATTTTTATTTTCTCGTAATTTGTGTTCCTCTAATTTTTTTTTTTCACTGGTTGGAAAAAATAAACTTGACTTGCCTTTTGTGTATAGTTACTTATATATTGTGCTTTGTGTATCATGCATGTGTTAGAATTTCGCTTTGTTCATATCGGAAACGAAAGGGTTTTCTTCAGACTTCGCATTGTGTTTCTTTCGACTGGGAATTTTATTTTTAAGCTATTTTTGAATTATCTTTCACGCCTGTTTTTATTTTGGCTTTCTTTTTCCGAATTGAAATTAAAGAGTTTTCATTTTTTTAGCAATCTGTCAAAAGGAATGCCTCAACGGCGGAGTCTGCGCAGCACCAGATCTTTGCAAATGTCCATCGGGATATACCGGAGATTACTGCAATATTGGTATGGGAGAACATTTTTTACAAACTTCTACTTCAGTCATAAAATCTCAATTGTACATATAAAAATAGCAAGATATAAGTTAATTAAGATATGAATAGAGAATGCTCCAAAAATCATTTTTTGGGGGAATGGGTGAGATGAATGACACATCACAACATAGCAGGTATAAGAGTTGTAACTGTTTGCATTTCCGATTGAAATATAGCCATGGGCAAACGATCTCTGGTTAAACGATTTCTATGTCAGTGGCATATGGCGATAACTAATATATATATACATATTTCAGAAAACCCACAATGCGCAACCAAGTGTCTCAATGGCGGAAAATGCACAACTGGAAACATTTGTAAATGTCCTATAGGCTATGGAGGAAAATCGTGCGAATTTGGTAATTTAATTAAAAGATTACTTGTTATATCGGATGCATTGTCGTATGTGGGCTTAACAGTTGATTCAAGGCTCTCCCAAAGAACTGAACTTTTTATACGAAAACCGTTAAAACCCCGAAAGTGATTCAAAGAAGTACCTAACGAAAATTTTTTTCCGGAACGTTGCTAGTGCAGTTGGAGCACATGACAAGTATTTAAACTTGATTCCACGTTCTCATGGACATGATCCGCGAAAGAGCTAGTCTGAAATATTGAAAAAAAAATGATGTTGACTGTTTAATTCGTAAATTGACTTCTTTGGCTTTGTGGCCAAATTGGGATCCATCGATTTTTAAACTCTAGATTTTCAGAAGTTCAGCATGAAGTGCTATATTGCAAAGTGCTTCATATTTTTTATGATAGAACAACTCGAGATTGAACCGACAAACACTATGATGTAACTAGCTACATTTATGTGAACGTTTCACTGTTTTTGTAATAAAATAACAACCATCTTAAAAATTGCATTATAAAATTTGAATTTCTGTCTAATTATATAGCTATCTGCGAGCCTACCTGCCAAAACGGAGGAAAATGTCAATCCCCTGGTAGCTGCGTTTGTCAAATTGGATATGAGGGAAAATATTGTGAAAATAAGATTGACGAATCTGATATCATCAATGGAGAAACCGATGTTAGTTCATTTTTTTCTCAAAGACAAAAAAACAACAAAATCTAACGAATGTATTAAAAAACGTCCCCAGTGGAATTTTTGATGATTTTGGGACTGTTTTCGAAATGTTGAATAGAATTTATAAAAAGCTTGAAATGCCGAAAATTGTCAAAAATTATATTTTTTAATAATATATATTATATACCATTTATTGATTGATCGCTATTTATTTATTTATTCTTTAATCGTGTACTTGTTCGAATTCCAATATACGGAAATTATTCTTACAATATTTGATCTTCTCTAACAGGAGATGAGATTCCTAGACGCTGATACCCTTGATTTCACCAAAGAAGAAGCGGCATGTGTAACTTGGAATATGAATCATTATGTTACCTTTGATGGCAAAGGCTTCTATTTTGCTGGCAAATGTACCTACAATTTGGCTTACGCCTGCTCCGGTCTATTCCATATTCAGGTAATTTTATCATTTATTTTTTGCTATTCGTACCATTTTCAAAATTTCACACATGCTTTTATTTCTGCATGGATTTTATTTCCGTGACCAAAAAAAAATCAAACGCCTCCACTTATGAAGTAGCCGTCCATTGTACAATATGTCTACTTGTCTACTTAAATATGTATCCTTGTAGCCCGAATGTCAAGAAACTAATAAGAAATCAGTTACAGTAATAGTTACATATGATCTCCACCTACCATAGGATAATTACACACAAATAACGACACATGAAATTGTTTTTGTGATTTCGTTTCTTCTGCATATTTTATCCGGTAGCCTTTAACTACAGTCTGTAGCGTATTGCGAAATATCTTTCAAAATTTAACTCTGATTTTCTTAGGTCGACAATGCATTTGAATGTGACGAGTATGGTGACTGCAATCGCGCTGTCCGATTAGAAATTGATTCTGACCAAGTTGTAATGTTGTATCCAAATGGAACTGTAGTGCATAACGAAAAGTTGGTCAATGTTCCAAAAACTATAAAAACTGCAACACAATCGTTTATGGTCGAAAAACTCGGGGATTACACCGTCGTTGGTTTCTCAAGCGGTAAATTTTTTGTTTTTGAATTTTGAAAATTTCAATAGAACGATAAATGGCTAAGTTTGTGTACGGGTTATTATACTGTAACATTGTAACGTTAGTGTTGGCAACTAATTCTAACTTTTAAAAATATTAACAATAATTGTGCCGTTGTCTATTATTTTAGGCGTCCGTGTATTCTTTGATAACAACAAATCTGTCTACATCAGAATGTCAAAATCATATAAAGGTGAAATGTGTGGTTTGTGCGGAAATTTTGACGGAGATGCCAGCAATGATTTCACGTTGAAAGATGGAACGGTATGCAGTAATTGTTATGTATCTTTTTTTGTCTCAGGTGCAATATTTTACAGGGTCAATATAACAGTTTAGTTAAATGTAATTAAAGAGAAGGTCGAAGGGCATTTTACTAGTTGATTTGACCATGCCACAATTAGAAGACCGAGTAAGAATTTACGTGCGGTACCAATTGTTTGTTCGAAATTGATATATATATTTATATATAATCATTCCATCGTGAGATATTATCTGCAATATACACGATAGAACGTTTGGTTGCGTCAACTTGCTTTATCAAACATCGTTTTTAAAGAAAGCAATGAAACCACGGCCGCACGCCGGTTGTGTGTTTTAAAATTTAAAACTTTAAACTTCGTGGCGTGAGGCTAAAAACAGTCGGTGGAAGAGTAGTCTGAATTGAGTTACAGGCAATACTGCCCGCCTCGCTAATTGAACTATGGTGGCTGACCGGAGAGCATTTTCAATCGCATATATCGAGAGTTTCTGGTTGCTCTCCACACTGCTTTTGTGTGCCAAGCATCTCGAATGAGAATCAGTCACTGTCTCAGACCTTCCCTCGGTCGCCCCGCTCAGGGTGCCGATAAGCGAGCTTCCCGCCGACGTGAAGATCTTTGCCTCAATTGCCTTAAATAACAGTAGATAAAATTTATTCTAGTATTTGTGGTGAAGTCGTCAAAATATCAAATTGAAAATACAATGTTTGGTGTTTGTCTTAATATGATAGGCAAACCATAATATCATCAAAGATACAGATTTCAGTTTTGAATTACGATGAAATCACTTTTAAATTTACTAATTTTCAATCTACTAATTAGTAACTTTTCATCACAGACTTTAGAAAACGATAATGACTTCGGAAATAAAATGGTAGTACACCAACCTGGAGTGAAGAAAGCGATTTGCACAGCTGTTCCATCAAACCTTCCGCACCCATGCAGCAAATACGATGCAACGCAAATATCTGTCGCTGAAAAGCAATGTGGATTGTTGTTGAGTGAAGCTTTCTCGTCTTGCCACGAAAAAGTCAATCCTCAGGTATGATTTTGCTAGCGTTCTGTTTCTGTGGTACATTTGTCTCAAAGCTGATGTGGTATTAACTAAATAGTTCGTACTAGATATATCTAGTCCATAATACATATATGAATCAGCTTATCAATTGATTTTTATCATTACGCTCAATTGAAGTCAAATCATGTTTCGCAAATAATGTTAAGAAAGTTTAATTATTCTCTCACAGGACTTCATCTCAAGATGTGTTATGGATGTTTGCGAATCAGGAATCGAGCATTACGAAGCAAGATCTTGTGAAGCATTTACTCATTACTCAAGACTTTGTTCATACAATGGCATCATACTTTCATGGAGAAGACAAGGATTCTGCTGTGAGTTTGTAATAACACTTATCATATATATTATATTATAGCAGATTTAACAAAGTTCAGGGATCACCGATCCGGACCTCGTGCACATGCCGTTATGATAAATTGGGTAGACCTAAACCGAAAAATTCCGCTCCATCCAAAAACTTGTAGCTGCTTCAATAAAGCCTTGTTCAGAGTGAATCTTTGAAAACGCCTCAAAATACGAAAATGTATTATTTTGTTTGCTGAATTTGATTTCCCTGTACAGTCTCAAACTGTAGCTTCTCTTAAAAGTTGCTACTACTTTTCAAATATCAGCTAAATACTCAGAGAAAAGACTTGGTAAAGGTTAAATTCAACAATATGTGATTGGGCCATAAAAATACCATTTAAAGAACGAATTGTTATAGTAACATTCAATAACTTTAAGTACTTCAACAAAAACAAAGATGAAATATTCACTATCCACATTACTATGCAAAAATACTATAAAATTGCAGTTAATTTTATTTTTTGCTCTATACATCGTAAATGCAGTATGGTTATAGTCCAGCTTTGACTTACGGTATAAACCTAATGGTCATTAGAAATGAAATTGAAAGCTTACAATGACTATTTTACGTTATACCAACTTTAAGCGCAACTAAAATCATATCATTTTCCTACAATCAGACATCGATTGCCCTGGTGGACAAATGCACAGCGAATGTGGAAGTGCATGTCAAGAAACTTGTGAAAACGTAGCATACCCAGAAGAATGCGTGAACAACGTATGTGTTGATGGGTGCTATTGTCCAAAAGGTATGCGGAGCTGAATCATATTCAAGTATTAAACACATAGTTCACTGCCAATAAATAGGACACTTCATAACAAAACAGCAACGAAGCAAGTGTTTCAGTGTATGATTAGTGTATAGGACTTTATTAAACATGTTATTTGGCCGAAAGATTTGTGGTAGTATCTTAGTCTCGGTAGCCTTTGATCAAATACTTTTTCCATGGTATTTGTAGAATGTCTTACAACCGTTGTGTCCAACTTTTATTGTCAATTGAGTCACTATAAATACAATGCCAACTTTGCTTCTAATTGCGACGGCGACTCACTCGTGTTTTATATTATGCAACTTTTGTTATGTTCCCTCGATTACAGAATTGAAGGAAAAGATCTATGGAGATTAATGAACATGATAAATACTCTAAATTTTAATTTACAATCTTTTTTTTTGTTTAAATTGAAAAAAAAACTAACATACTTTTTATACAGGAACTGTACTTGACTCAACCACAAACACATGTGTCCAGAAGGAGAGTTGTCCGTGTATGAAAGCTGATGTTATTTACAAAGCTGGTGATACTGTCTTGAGAGATTGCAATGAATGGTACAATTTTTTCAAAAATTACCATTCGAACAGTAAAAAATTATCTAAATGTAACTGACAACCAACAGTGACTATGCACAATGTGTCTTATTAATATAACGATTTTTCTCAAGATGATCGTATTGGTTGAACAAATACAATACTCTAGAAAAGGCAATCGCATAGTTCGTTTGTACCTTACAACTAACATTTATCGAGTTAAATAAAATGTTTACAGAGGCCAAAAATTTCCCCCACCTTATCTGTCGGGCCATGTAAGAGTGACGTAAAAAGTTTGTCATTTTATGAACACAATTTTATTTACAGTGTTACAAAACCAAAAGTGAAAAACAATAAGCCTTGTGCCAAAACTAAATTTAATTGCAATCTCAACATCTCCTTGAGCTATTTATTTTAGCTAAAACATCAAAATTTGTTTTTAGTTTGATTGTGGTAGCATCGGGCGGGTCAAATTGAACTACCCAAAGCGCCCGATTTGGCCCGTGTGCCGTAGTTTATCAATTTCAGGTCTAAAATCTTCCGAAACTAAGCCGAAAATATAAAATACAATCCCGAAATCCCAAATTTTATAACGGTATATACCGGTGACTGAAAATTGTGCGTCTTATTCAATGAAATAACCCCTATTTATTTCATCTCTTTATTACAATTTTGTTTTCAAAATTAGTACTTGCACAAGTGGACGTTGGGAATGCACTCAAAATCAATGTCCAAGAACATGCAAAATCGTTGGTGAAGACCATTATACTACCTTCGATGGAAAACAATTCCAGGTTTGTTTTGTGTTATATGCAAACATGATTTATTTGTTGATTAAATTCTATATCGAAGGTAATAGTACAAATGAAAATACAATTCTCGTAAATGTTCATTTTCTTGTTCATCTTCAATTTAACTTCACAACTTTTTATTCTGTCTCTTTTTCACATACAAATAAGCAATTTATTTAATGGGGCTCAACTTGAACAGAAAAATCCTATTTATATTTGGTGTAAAAGTATATATAGTACGCATTAAATTTATTAACTTGTTCATAGTTCTCTGGTGGATGTGAATACGTTTTGGCACAAACCGAATTTGGCGCTGAAGCTCCATTGTCAGTCTGGGTTCAGAATACTGGATGTGGATTCTTCGATACCGAACCATGCAAAAAGACAATTTCAATGAACATCTATGATGTAGATACAATCAGGTTTGTTTTTTACACGAAATCATGATACCACAACCTTTTTGTCATTTCAACTCTTTCAATTAAAACATATTTATGTTGCCTTTAGATTGATGGGATTGAACAAAGTTTTGATCGGAATCCACACCATTCCTCTTCCATATATGGATGGTTTGAACAGATTTACAATCCAAAAATTTTCTTCATCTTTCATACGAGTCAAAACAAACGACGGATTCGAACTTCTCTGGGATCAAGATCACAGAATATATTTGAAACTCGACCCATCTTACAAACAGAAGGTTTGATTTTCTACATAAAAATAAATTTCGCCCCAACAACGGTCTGCACAAACAGCTGCTAGGTAAAAAGCTACAGCTACATAACTCGGAAGGAACAGGCCTATAAGGAGGTGGGCGAGTGATTCGAACGCGAGATTTTAACCTGCGATGCTCGGATGTCGGGTCTAACACTTCATCTACGATGGCAAAGCGCCGGAAAATGACTAAAACCAATGTTTTAAAATGGGCTTTAACTTTCTCGATCTCGGGTTGGGGCCCTATTCCCAACTACCTATGACCTTGCTGAAAAAATTTCAAATCTAATTGTTGTTGTGACGTATATAAAAGTATATTTAAAATCATATCACAGCCAATGCTTTTCCTGGTGTGTGAAATAGTAATTTCATGAATTTTTTTTCTGTTGTCAGCATAATTTTGGGTCAATTGCAATCATGATGATGTTGCAATAAAATAAATTTAATTAAAACATAATTTCGAATATCTTTATTTGTTTATGAGCGTTGTCGTTTGGATTTGATAATGTACTTTTAAACTTCGTGATTTCTTGGTTGCTTTTGAGCTTTCAACTTGTCATTCTAAGACAGACTGCTTTTTAAATCTGAAACTTCATGCATTCATGATTTATTTATACTTTTATATATTACCCTTTGTGTAGGCGAGAGGTCTTTGCGGTCTTTACAATCTCAACCAAATCGATGACTTTACACTTCCATCTGGAATCACCACAGTCGACACTGTCGAGTTTGGAAATTCGTGGAAGACCGACGTAGCCTGCGCTGGTCGTTCTCAACTCACGGGAGGAATCACAATGGACGCATGCTCCCAATCTGCTGCATATGGATTGTTTGCCAAAGCAGAATGCATTTCTATACAAACAGGTTTGTTTAATCATATAGAATTAACGGAGTAAAAGCAAATGCAGGCGTTAAAGCAAAAGTATTTTACATTTGATCCATGTCGTAATAAAACGAATAGTATAAAAACATACATATTTCCGCAAACGCATATATATGTGATATGCCATTCACAGATGACGACCATTTTTATTATAATTAGAAATATAATTACAAATTTCAAATTTAATTATACTCGACTGGTCACATTTATGAAGTAGTTTCCAGTACAAATTGCTATAGCAAATGTTGCATATAAATGCTTGCTTGTCACGGAGTTTATATTGTAAAGTTGTTTAGCATTCGAAACACATTAGTACATTTCTTGGCAAAGTAACACTACTTTTTACAGGGAATCTAAATGTTTGTGGAAAGGTTGTTGATGCATCTACATATATGACAATGTGTGAACACGATATTTGTAGAAACCTTCAAAAAGGGCTCGATATCAGCCAAGCTAAATGTGCCGTACTTGCCGACTATGCTCGATCATGCGCTTTGTCGAGCAATGCATTGAATAGGTAAGAATGCAAGAATATAATATTTTGATTTAAATATAATAAAACTATTTATTTTGTTATAATTTCAGTAAATTTCAAATAGTAACTCTAAATTCATTTAAACCTAATTATTCAGATAATTGTTTAAATATCTGTTACTTACCTTACTTACAGTTTTTCTTAACTTGTATTTTATTTCTTAGCATTTCCTGGAGAGAAGCAACAGGTTGCGAGACTTCATGTGAAGGGGGAAGGATATTCCAGGAGTGTGTAACATCATGCGATATGACATGTAACATGTTGGGTGATCCAAACTATACATGCGAAGAGGTGAGGTTTATTCCTATTTATTTTAGAGTATAGGCAAATATATTCCATGCTGTGACTGTGTGTTACTTATACATCAATGAGACGGTCATGAGAAGGCCCAGAAAAATGCCTGTCATCACACCAGATTACTACCTGTGTGGGGTTTCCTGGTTTAAATACTGTGCGGGTGATTATGTGCGAGAAGATTTCTTAACCCCTCACCGTTGCTGGGTGTTTCACGCACCAGCTCGTTGGGAATAATAAAAAGGTAAATCCAAAAGTTCCATACCCGACCTGGGCCAGTATAGTAGCTTTTTAATATAGAGTATTCCCAAATTTAGGTGGTGGTAGATATGTTGATGTTAGCGATAAACTGTTTGTAACTTATAAATAACTTCTATGTATTTGATTGAATATCTGCACTGGTATATACAAAATGTAGGAAAACTACAGTACCTGGACATCAGGCCGAGAGACTGTGGTGCATATGCATATGGTGCAAGCATATGACGTCGTAAACATAAATAAAACTTCATTTATAATTTCCAATCTCAACGTACATTAACTAATACTCTCTAAAACTAAAAATTTCTTGCTCTTTCAGGTAAATTCTTGTATCGAAGGATGCGTCTGTCCAGAAGGAATGGTATTTGATGAAACCAAGCAAGTTTGTGTACAAATCGCTGAATGTTCATGCTTCCATGGGGGTGTAGAATTTGCTGCTGGATCATCCAGACAATCTTTTTGCGATTCCTGCTCATGCAAAAATGGGAAATGGGAATGTTCTCCCATTGAAGGATGCACAGAAGAAAATGTTTGCCCATCGGTAAGTCATTGTGTAGTTAACTTTTTATGAAACGCAATGTAAATATCTCTATTGTACATTATTTTGAATTAGTTCTATGTCATAGTAATGTTTAACTTTAGATGTTTAGATTGTTTATATCAAGGGTGTGCAACCTGCGGCCTTCAGGCCAAATACAGCCTTCAAGGAAAAATTGTGCGGCCCGCGGAGAGGTGCCAATTTTGATTAATTTGCGGCCCTCGAAACGACTTTTTAATTTAATTCAGGACATGCGAGTAATTCCAATCCCATTGCGTTGCCAAGCTTATACCTTGGTCCAATTTATTATCAATGCCTATGACTTTACAATACCCTAACATGCTTGTGGAATGTTATATGAATTTGCGGCCCGCTGTTTCGCTCAGTTATTTCTATCTGGCCCCTCCTGTATTAAAGGCTGTGCACCCCTGGTTCAGATAACCAATTGTGAACCATTGAACTTATTGCTAAGTTAATAGGATCACGATTGGATTTTGCATAAACGTATTGCATAAACCAAAATATCAGTTACCGGTAAGTTAATGAATGCAAACGTCAGAAAAACAAATTATGAAAAGACTCAAAAGTTCAATTTGGAAAAACATCCCATGACTTTCCTGCATAACGATATTAATATATAACAGGGACAAAGATGGACTGAGTGCACTGAATGCCAAAGAACCTGTGACAACATGCAAGTAGTCTGTCAACAAACTGTATGTCATGAAGGTTGTGCATGTCCAGTTGGTATGGCATTGTATGAAGGGGAATGTATTCAAGAAAGTTCTTGTCCTTGCCAACACTTGGGACGAAGCTACAAGACTGGATCACGAATCAAACAGAACTGCAATTATTGGTATATAACAATTACGATACTGTTATTATAGTTTAAAGAAATAAGCCCTTGCAGGCCATCACAAAAACTCAGAGCTTATTCAAAAACTGCATTTGAAAGCGCTATTTCTCCTTAAAATCACAACCAAACACAGCCATTTTAAATAAAAATGATTTCAGTTACTGTTGTGGGAAACATTTTGTCACATTGTGGAAACCTCCTTATTATTACTGACAGTAAATCAATACTGGCCTTCTAGATGATTTTGATTAAAGTAACACAGCTTTCCAGCGAGTTCTTCTATACTATACTTTTTAGCCCATGTTTGCTTTGTTGTGAATTGTTTTGTTTTTGTATTGATTGAATCCGATACCTATATCAAATGTATGATTTTCACAACTCAATATATGAAAAGAGAGTTCATTGTCTGGGTATTTTTTTTATAAAAAATGGATACTAAATTATTTTTAATATCTCCAGTACTTGCCAAAACACCACATGGACTTGCGATGAAAAAGAATGTCCATCCATTTGCTCTGCTTATGGTGATCCTCACTACGAGACGTTCGATAAAAAGAGATATGAATTTCATGGTGATTGCACATACGTAATGGCAGAAGATTTCTGCGGAAGCACCGTAGGAACTTTCCGAATCACTGTAGAGAATGTTCCTTGCAGTACTGGAGGTGTTACATGCACTAAAGCAGTCAAGGTAAAAAATGATTTCGAACATTCATAAAATGTGTCAAATGAAGTGCATTTTGAAGTATACCGTACCACATGCGTGCTATCACTAAAACCATTCCTTTCACCAATCTGTTTGTTTACCTGGCTGTATTGAGTTTGAATGTTTCAAGTTCTGAGTTTTCCGTCAGCAACACTAAGTAGTTCTTAGCTTTCTAATGTTAAATTCGTAAGTCTTCTATTAATGTTTTTCTTCTTTTCCATTGATCATAACAATGTTTGATCCAAAAGCCTAACATTTGAGGACAGCTTTGTAGCAATATGTAGTTCTTTGCACCTCGCTGTTGGATTTATATTCTCCTACTTATGTTATCAACTTTTTGTTCACTGATCATGATGTGTTGTCCAAAACGTGCAAAATATGTATAATTTTATAGAAACTTGTCATTTTGGCTGTACTCAAACAGATCTTACGAGTTCTCTTGATGATCTATATAAAAATTAGAATAATATTTTACTGATACCTTCTAGCTCATGCTGTATGATTCTATCATCCAAATGATAAGAGGAAGTGCTCCTATTGAAGCCAAAAATCCATTCTCTCCACCTGGAACTCCAAAAGCTGAATACACTATCATGTCTACTGGATTGTTCATCATTGTGAAAACTGAGGTAAGTAGGGCCTAATTCTGGACAAAGTGTTTACCACTTGACTACAGTAATTAAAAGGAAGAAACTAAAAAGCTATAAGAATGTAACTAGCATAACAATTACTGAAGTTCTGTAAATGGATATAGGTTTTGGTTTAACTATTTTTTATACTTTTCTCCCTCTGATAGATTGGTCTCACAGTGATGTGGGATGTTGGAACTCGTGTCTATGTGAAACTTGAACCAACCTTCAAATCCAGAGTTTGTGGTTTATGTGGTGACTTCAACGGTGATGCTACAAACGACTTTATCACAAAACAAGGTAACTCCAACATAACAGAGCTATGTTGAATTATTCATTAATATATAACCTGAGAATGATTTACACATTTTTGGATTCCTCAGAATTTTTCTCACGACTGGTAATGCAGTTGAAAATGTTTGCTCGCATATTTTTACAATTTATCAAAAACTTGTTTTGCTTGAAATTTGTGCTAAATTAAAATAATATTTCACTTCATTGATATGGCATCAACTTATTTTACCATGTTCTTGAAATATCAATCATCCAAATTATCATATTTAGAATAAGGATTTTCATTCTTTTCATACAGCCTATTTTATTCTATGGTAAATAAGACAGTAATAAATCAAAATATTTATAAAGAAGTTAAGTTTCATTCAATCACATATCTTGCTGCTGCTCAAGAAAATATTGAATATTGAAATTTCTCCAGGAAGTACGCAAACTCAGCTGGCTTCTATATTTCTATAATATAAGATATGTCCATCAGTACACAGTGGGCCCTTGCTCGTACTGGATGAGAAACCTGAAGCTAAATTATCTGTGCAATCTTGTTATGCTTTGTTACCTCATATTAAGTTTTCACATTTTAGGTGAACTTACATCCACTTCCAATCTATTTGGTGACAGTTGGAGAGTATTCAGCTCGTGTCCACGATCTGAGGAAAACCCAGTTCATCCTTGTGTTGTTAGTCCACAACGTACTGAATGGGCTCAATATTCTTGCAGAATTATCAACCAAGATCCATTCACGGTATGATTGGACGTTCTTTTGTTTCATGATACTGTAATACATAATGATAATATCACAAAAGTGCTCAAATAGACAAAGTGATTTTTTGGGATAATAATAGAAATTGGAAAATGCACAAACAAATTAAATTTAGGTTTTCATTGTTAAATGTTGAAGCCCACGGCAATCTTCTCTCAAGGTTGAGGTTACATGCGAACTCTGAACTTGCTCTTGCAACTAAATGGTTTGTATTCTATTCTTGTGTGTTAGACCAAATAATGCAGAAAGAGATCTTTTCCGATAATTATAATCATCTCACAGTATATCTATTTTAATCTATCCTATATCTAAAACAGGAATGCCACGCTTACGTTGACCCAGAACCTTATTATGAAGCTTGCGTTTGGGATTCATGTGGTTGTGATAGAGGTGGTGATTGTGAATGTCTGTGTACTGCCATCGGTGCTTACACCAGAGAATGTAACGAACATGGAGTACATGTCAGATGGAGAGCAACTGGAGATTGTGGTAAAATTTCCAACTCTATTATTCAGTTTACTATTGAAATATATGTGATTATGGATTTGTCTTTGACAACACAACAGATTCTGAAAGACTCAATGTATGAACATAAATGTAATGAAAGGTTAATTTTAAATGAACAAAAATTAAAAAAAAAAGGAGAGATAATTTTGCGATTGACCATTTCTGCCATTGATAAACTATTTTGCCCCTTTAAAATTAAAAAACACATGTGCTCTTGGTGCGAAAGGATTCTGAAATTTAGTCGTTAAGCCTCATATGAGATTTTCAAATCCTGCTTTCCACCAATGACTAATGCAGGCATTATTTAGCCCTACTCCTGTTCATTGGAGTGGATGCTTCAAAAGATGTGTACTTTGTTTGTGTATAAATAAACACCCATGCAATATATATTTGCACAATAGGGTAATATTATGTTTTTAAGGACTTCAATGTGAAAACGGTATGGTTTACCAAGAATGTGGAACTACTTGCGAAGCGAAATGTTGGTCAACTACACAAGACGAAAGTTGTTCTGAAGTCTGTGTTGAAGGTTGTCATTGTCCTAATGGCACTGTACTTCATGAAGGAAAATGTATCGAAAGACAACAATGTCCATGTATTGTTGGAAGTCTTGAAGTACCACCTGGATATGTTTTGGAATATAACTGTATGGATTGGTAAGATCAATTCCTAGCTATTTCGAATTTAAATACACCATCAAATAGAAGCAAAGGGTAATACTGTCATATAACTATCTTCAACGCCAACAATATCTGAAACTCTTGTGCACAGACGGTGAGCCAAAGGCCTGAATACATGATTTTCGGTGTTAACACATTTTGGTCAAGCCCCTATACTCACTAGGTTTACGAAACCACTTGGCTTCAATAATAATTGTTTCGATGCTAGAATCTTGGTAGCTTAATGATAATATGACCAATTTTTAGTTCTCTGAAATATAATCAATGTAAAATTTAAATTTAAGCACATGTCAAAACGGAATCATGAACTGCGTTGATAGAGAATGTAAAACAACGACAACAGGAACAACCTCTGCACCTGAAACTGTCAAAGTTCTGACAACCACTGGAGAACCAGTTTACACAACAACTGTCCCAGTTCCTGAAGTAAGTTGAGAGTTTCATATTTTATTGTTTAAATCGCTTTTCCTCCCCATCTTGCCACTTTAGCATTAGAAAAGAATCAATACTATTTTAACAACAATTTTTATTTATTCTATCCTCACTATTCTTGATGATTTTACTTTTTTCAAGCCAGAGGAAATAAGGGTGAGAAAACTGTAAAATCTGAAACAGTAAAACGACTATGTGATACCTCAAATGGGGAAAGAGGAAACAATTTATAATGATTCATTTTCTCATTATCAAACCACTATATATTTATTCTTATTTTAGTCGACGACTCCTGTGGAAACTTCTTCACCACAGACTGTTTCTCAAACCACAACTGTTATGCAGACAACCACCATGGGTAAATAAATTAATTTTGGGTCAAACTTGGAATTTAGTGGATTTTCAATGATTATTCACACTCATATCTCATGGCGAGTAATGATATCAGGATAGGATATAGTAATTTTATATTAATCCTGAGGAGGGGAAAACTGATAAAATGGCTTAAGCATATGGAGAATCACGACCCATCAGTCCGATTACCAGTTCATGTCATGTATGGGAGTAGTCAACCAGATATTTGTCTCAGTTTGCTGGACTTAGATGCATGGACAAAGCTATACTTATTTGTAACAAATGTCCATTATAACTCAAAACCAAAAAGAATGAAAGTCAGTTTGCACACAACCCTAAATGACATATCAGATTAGAACAAAGTTACACGGTTACACATTTTTTAAAAGACCGTAAATGTATGCATAAGATGTTTATCACCAATGATTACAACAAGATTATGAAGAATAAACCTATCTGGACCAATACTTTTACTCATTTACATTCTAGCTTGCCCAGAAGGTATGGAGCCCACAGATTGTGTAAGTTCGTGCCCAGAAAAATGTGAATACAACAAAGTAGAAGGTGAATGTGATGGTGCTCGTGTTATGATGTGTCAACATGGATGTAAATGTCCTGGCAATAAAGTAATCGACGAAAATGGAAAATGTGTTGAACCAGCTGACTGTGCATGCATGGATCATGAAGGCAATAGAGTCGAGGTAAGAAGTTTAAGAAGTTTGTTTTGTTTGCTGCATTTTGGTAAGCAAAAAGTTCTATGGTACTTTATTTTACAAGCTTATCGTGATGTCATTATTATATAAGTCAATGAAAAACAGGTCACTTATAAAACCAACTTGTATGGTTTTCAGCTGTTGAATAAAAAAAAACATCTTCAAGGCGATAGAATGGGATTGACCTAAACAGTGTTTCAAAATAGGATATACAGAGAGATTTTAAATTTGAAAAGGATGATTTTTATTAGCTGTCATTATTTTTAAAAATCGGATGAAGATGGCTCAGGCAGAGCTATGTTATTGAATTGCACTTATAGTATAGCAAATAGTGAGAAGTGACATGATGTGTTCATGAGGCGTCTCACATAGTTTTGGTGAATGCTTGTTGAAATTCCATCTACATTTCCAATATTTTCATGTTATTGTCTCATTAGTTCGGAAAACATGTGTAGTCTTATTTTTAACAACTGGAATCATTCTAATGCCATTACATTTTAACATTACATGTGTTCTATTATTTTTTTAACAGCCTGGACAATCTTGGAATCCGAGTCCATGCGAAACATGTACATGTTATGACAACGAGCCTAGTTGCTATTCTATGGCATGTGCTATTACTGAATGTGATGAATCAAAAGGATATGAACTAGTTACTGTAGTTGGACAATGTTGCCCTGTAAGTATTTATAGAGAGCTTTTAATGCAAGTATTCTTTGATGCGCTTCAGGCTTATAAGCTTTGAGAATTCTTCTGTGATCATGGGCTTTTAATTTGGGGTTTTAAAAACGTCAAAAGCATTAACATTTTACAATGGCAATTACTGTTAATGGCTACTAACAACATATTTACAAAAGGACTTTATAATCTTAATAATAATTCCATTCATAAACAATCTTATTATCTTTCAAGACATGTGTTGGTTCACCAAGCAGTTCCACAACACCAGGATTGAAGACAACACCAGGTGTTGTTACAACAACAACCATTGGATCAGAATCTACAACATCAGGAGTTTTTGTATCCACAACAACTCCTTCTTCTACTTGCAATGAAGAGAATGGTTTGTCAAAGTTTTGTAACATTTGTAATTGAATATTAACTTCTGCTGTGTGGTATCATATTCATCTATTGGTTGTATTTATGGTTATATTAGTGTAAAATGGTTCAAATTTTAGCATTAACACAATTCTGTCACTAGTGCCCTATAATGCGCTTGCTCTGCAATTCTGTGAACGGTAACTCCTAGTACTTTAGTGGTTCCACAGCCTCAATAGCCAAAAAGCTTTTGAGGTGCCAGTGACCCTACCTTGAGCTAAATTGCATAAAAATAAATTAAAAAGGTCCCTTGTGATTTAACTATATTGCGTGCTTGTTTCTTTGTTAGTGCTTATCAATTATACTTTTGGTTTCATACAAGTAGTATGTGTGAAATACGCTTTTTTTACTTCCCAAAAAATGTTACAAATTTGTGTGTCTGTTGTGAATGTGATGAGTATGCCAAGAATAGAAGAACTGATGTGTAGCAATTTTTATTTTTCAAATTAGGTGAAATCTATGGTCCATGCAGTTGCATAGAAAAATGCGGACAGAAATCCAATGAAACTTGCAAAAAGGAAGCAGATGAAAATGGCAATTGTTGCACTTGCCCAGAAGGAATGGTTCAGGATGAAGCTGGACAATGTATTCCAAAAGTTGAATGCCCTTGCATCGATCCTAACGGTAATTTGAACAAGTTTACATATAACTATCAATTATGAATATCAGCTTGTTTTGACATGATTTAATTTGCTGCTCTGAAAACTTTTAACTAAATTTTCTTTTCACTCTCTTCATGCAGATAAAACTCAAATATTAAATTGAAATATACCTGAATACAATTATTAGTATTTGTGAATTCACATAAAAAATGAGTTTCGAATCAGGTTGCAAACAGAATATTAAAAAAAAGCAATAATGGCATTATTCAATGAAGTTTGACTCTAAAAAACAGAACCCACAAATTCCTCACTTTTAGAAAATCAAGGAAAAACAGTTGAATTTCTGTTTTTGTATGATTGCACCCAAAAGTTTCAGTAATCTATAATGCTTTGCAAAAAAGTTATGTCCCTCTAGAATTTGTTCCAAATCATCTGGGTTCTGTTTTTTTGAGAATCCTGTCCACATATTCGTCTGTGTTACTCATTTTAAAAATTATTTTCAACAGTCTATTAACTTTGGGCACAATTTTAGGATCTCTAGTTCCACCCGGATCTTCAGTCACTGGCGAATCATGCAACAAATGCACTTGCGTTAGTGGAGAGCTATTGTGTAAACCATACTGTAGCATTGATAGCTGCAAAAACCCTGACATGGTATTGGCATATGATGATGAAGGATGCTGTTATTGTGGAGGTACTTTTTTATATTATTGATATTGTATGTTATTTAATGTTCAAACCTCTTGGAGATGATGCTATTGATGGATGATCTGTTATGATATGTGGAATATGTTCTATGCTTGTCATTTAAGGACCAATGGGAGCTCTATTATTAATAATTCTATTTTTTTAGTTATGTGCCAATGCACTCTCTCTCTCTCTCTCTGTGATGTATTTATAATACAAGCACCAAAGCTGAAGCGGCATACTTTCTTAATTCACTACACATGATGGTATCAGTAATTCCTTTTACCTTAGACGCAAATGCGGCAACATCAAATATAATATTCACAGTGGCAATATTCCGATTCATGAAAATTGCCGGAAAAGATGCGTAGTTGTCCTTCTTTTGCGGTATCCTCCGGTCTAAAGCTAATGATAAGATGACTTCAGCAAAAAGAATATAAGCTGAGCCACTAAATAACCCCGAATTTTCTGACCCCAGAAAATCATACTGAAAAATAGGCCTGGAAATTAATTGTTTTCATAATTTTACTTATTCCAATCAGTACCATTTCCATGCCAAAAAAAACATTCCAACAAAATTTTTGCTGATACTATAATATATTATTTATTTTATTTTCAATTACGAATTGTATGCGTCATTTATTTTATACACTACTATAACTAAGAATCATAATTTTGCAGAACTTACTACTACAACAACAATACCAATCAAGACCACCAGTCCAATCTCTACGCCAAAAGAAACAACCACAATTATGGTATTAATTTAAACTTCAATATCTTGGTTGAATTTTTATAATACAATAGATATTATTTTAACGTATACCAACGATGGATGCCCGAGGCTTGTTCAAATTTATTCTTTTTATGAATCACTCTTTTCGAGATGATTTGTAGTTTTATTTTGTACTAATATTAAGTTTAATTCTAAGTCAATACCGAAGATATTTTTCATATTGGTTCATTCATAAACTTTTTTCGGCTATGCAAAGATATTTCCTATGCAGAGATATTTACTGCAGAACATTACATAACATCAATTTAGGCAAACTGGATATAAATTCCGATCATGTACTTTCAACTTGATGATATTAGTGCAATCTAATTGAAGGATTTTCATGCATTCAGTCATTACATTTGATACGAAACATGTCCTGTGATGATACCCTCTTATTTGTCCTGTTGTAACAAATAGATTCATCCACTCATATATTGCTTAGCATTGCAGGTACAATATGAGTGTTGATAACAATGTGCTACAAAAAAACAAATTACTTTTTACTTCAATAGGTCACTTCTGAAGAAGTGTCCACTACTCCAGAAGGTGGAGTTTCAACAACAACACCAAAAATAGCATGTTTGTGTACAGAAGGTTACATTTCATGTGATAATTGTGAAAAATGTATCAAAGACAGTTTGAAATGCGATGGAATGAAACAATGTTCTGATGGTTCAGATGAAACGAATTGCCCTTGTGTATATGAAGGACAAGAAATGGAGGTAAGTCAGATTTACTTTAGTTCCCATGGCCATGCAAGAATTATATTAAATAAACATCAAAAAATTTCTAGAGTACTTATGAAAATGAGTGCGTTAGTTTGTAACCATTTTAGAATACCAGTCATTCACTTTTAAGAAAAATATATTTACGTCGTTACCTTTATGTAAATTTACCCGGAAGCTGGACAATCTCTTATGGTCTCCCGGTTCATAGTATTTACAGTTTTAATTTTTTTTTAAGAATGAAGAGACCACAACAGTTTCTGAATGCCAATCTTGCACATGCAGTGAAGGTCAAGTTAATTGCACAAAAGTATGCAATAAGCGATGTGCTCCAGGATATTTCCTTCAATACTACACCGACGACAGGTGCCTCATACATGCATTTAGTTCATTATTTAACACAGATTGTCATAATTTGCATATCATTTAATTTTATTGTATTGTATCAAGTTAAATTTTTTTAACAATTTGACTTCTCGGATCCATTCAATTTATCAAAAAGACAATATGAAAAGTTAATCTTATTAAAACAAGTTGCCACACTATGTATTGTTTGGTTGATATTGTGTCGTGTTTGTTTTCCATTATTTGTCATTACTAAATCCAACAAATTTATTGTAAATGTGCGAAAAGCTTTTTGCGCTGATGCCAAAATAACTCACCATTGTACCGTAATTTACATTATATTTGAGTCCATGAATATGATTTTATCTGAGTGTCTCTTTAGAATCTTTGCCACTACTTTTTCTAGTTAAATAATGCCAGTCTATTTTTTCATTCTTCAATTTCACTATTGCTTTAGATGTTGTTCATGCCAACTTACCTTAACTACAACAACGCCTGCTGAGACGACCGAGTCTGTGAAATCTTCAACAACAGCTCCACCAGTATCAACAACTGGACCATCTGAAACAACAATTTCCGAAGCCGTTGTTACTACTGAGATCTCAACAACCAAAGAAACTGTGCTTACTACCAAAGGTAGTGAGTTATTATTATTTTATATAACTACCCAATGTCTTTATTGAGAAACAAAATTAGCAGTCAATTTCAAATAAAGTAAGCATTCAAACTGGTTGGCATTAAATACCACTTGATTTGTTAAATTGTTGAAAAATTGCAAAACCTAGGGCGACAAACTGAGGATGATGTCAATATTTTCATCATTTTTCATTTGTTGTCATTTTTTGAATGCCTGTAAAATTATTGTGTATTCGTTAACTATACCTTCAATTAATTCATATTTTAAATAAAATAATATTATTTACATCGATTTATATTATTTTAGCTGTTTGTGTCGATGGCCTCGGACTTCAATCTGGTGATATCAAGGATGACCAAATTGTAGCATCAAGTTTTAAACCTGGATTTGAGCCTTATCTTGCTCGTCTTGTCACATCTAATATCATTGATGGATCACCAAAATCTTGGTCACCAGATAACAGTGATGCAGATAAATATTTGGAAGTCAATTTCAATGTACCAACACAAGTGACTGGAATCACCACACAGGTGAGAACTCCTTTTTTTGAAAATATTTCAACAACTTATTCCTGCTGAGAAGTATATTTTTGAACAGAAGTTCTCAAACTTCTGGTGTTATGTGAAGAAGTTGACTATTATTTACTGAACCCCAATATGAATTTATAAAAATCAAAAAACAAATGAACGCATTATTATTTATGATTACTATTTCTGAGTAAATTAAACTTACTTTATTTAATGACTCGGATGTATTTGCTGCTTTCTATTTAAAAAATATTAAGTATTTTAATAAAAGAACGAATAGCTTGCGTAGCCTCTAGGTTTTTCTCACAGAGCCCTAGGGCCCCATATGTAGCGCTTTGAGAACCTATGATCTAGAACACATAGTATATATCATAAGATGTGCTTGCTCTTCACTGAAATCACCAATATATATTATAATTGATATTCAAAAACTGATGTTTACTGTAAGTTAATACAACATATCAGCTTGGATTTTTCTATGCATGGAAGAAATTGAACTTGATGACTCAGTGCATTCCTAAAATTGTCTCTTAGCAGAATGGAGATCACAGTGTACCAATCCATTGAGCCATCTTGTTGACTTTTTTTGTCTTTGCATAGATACAAAATTTAACTTTACAAACATTTTTTAATAAACTGAAAAATACATTTTGTGCTTTCTAAGTATATTTTTTGAATATGGTTATTTGAGATTATAATTATTTTTATAAATTCTTCAATTTTTGTTTAACTTTAAATATTCAGGGTGGACAAAATGATCAATATGTAACCAAATACTCAGTCATGTACAACAATAACGGTGAGGGATGGCATGTAGTCAAGGAAATTATTGTTGGTGATGATGGACAAAGCTTTTCAATGAAGAAGGTTTTCAATGGTGAGTTTGAAAATTGGATAGAGAGGTTCTCAATTTAATTTCAGAGAAAAAGGGCTCAACAAAGATTTTTAGAAAAGGCTATGCTGGATTTCCTTCCCAATCGTTACCAGTGCTCAAAATGAAAATATATTTTTCCTTCAGTAATCTGTTGGTTCCATTTGTTCATTGGCGATAAATGTGTGGCCGATGTTGAAAGAAAGAAAGATATCAAAAACAGAGATCATGTTATTTTATCAGCTACAGTTACTTTTGCTTAAAATAAAGTTTTTCTATCATTAAGGCAAGAAGTCCAGCTATTCTTTCCTTTATATGGACCTACTACACAATTAGTTTATTGGAAAAAGTAATCAATGCTCCCTAGTGTATGCATTTCAATGCTAAATTGCCACTGTGTGTCCCAATTTGACTATATGCTTAACTATTATTCAATTCTGATTGTGTAAATTATCTTCAGGCAACAGTGACGATTCATCTTCAGTAAAGAATGAGCTTCCTGGAGCTGTTGTTGCAACACAAGTTCGTATCGTTGTTGAAGAACCAAAATCAGACATCAGTTTGAGAATTGAAATTCATGGTTGTGCATTGGGAACGGCTTCAACTACTCCTCATCTTGTGAAAACAACCACTGAAAAAATTGTGAAAACGACTACTCCAGTTATTGAAGAAAGTACGACTAAGGCTTCCGAAGGTAAATATATATACGGTATATATAAATTTTTATTGAAACAATTAATACTCTTCATTCAACCAAAAATTGGGCAGACTATTCCAAATCAGAAAGGGAATATTCAAATGTAGTGCATCGACTTTTGGAAAAAAGTTTTCAAATTCTATGTTGAAAGAGTGAATTATAGTGTTGAACTAATTGTAAGTGTATTTTCAGAAACAACAACCTTGTCTGTGGTCGAAACCACCACAAAAGTTTTACAGACAACATCACCCGTCACTGAAGAATCTCCTGTTACAACACCTGAAGGAAATGTTGAAAGCACAACAGTAAAAACAACACCTCCTATTGAAACAACGGAAACTGTAACCAAAGGTATGCTTTTTTCAGGCATAATAAAATAGTCAAGTTTATTAAATGTATACTAGTTTTGTGTTATACAAAAATTCATTTTGTTCACCAACCGGGAAACATGCTTTCATACATATTAATTTTCCATCAAAATTCTAATCTATCGGTATATTATTTAATCAGAAATATATAAATATTATGCATTAGTAAATCAATTTAAACTTAAATATATAGCGGAGTCATTTCTATTTTCTCCCGGATTTTAGAAGATAATAATAAACATATAACATTTACAGTTATTGAAGAGACAACATTGTCAGTTGAACCAACCACAACACCAATGAAGGAATGTAGCATTAACATGGGGCTTGAAGCAGACATGCCAGTTTTGTCAGGATTCACATTAACTGCATCATCAACTGATGAAGGCAGCAGCCCTGACTATGCTCGCTTGAACAATGAAGATGTTGATGGAAAGCCATTGGCTTGGAAAACTTCATTCCCAGGAGAGCAATATCTTCAGGTAGAATCTCTATGGAAATTACATATCCTATTATGTGATTGCAACTTTTTCCATTATAAAATAGTTTACAATAGTTTATCATAATGTTTTACGAATTACTTTGTACTGGGAAATATTTTTGTTTTTATTTGTGAGTGTGATTTTGCTTGCCAAGAGCTTGGAACTACTGAAAAGAATTTTGTTTTACTTATTCACGATTGCATTTGGTAGTGAAACTCTATACTTATGTAGAAGAATATTCTGTTTTTCATTGCTTTAATACTGATGTTTGAATACTTGTTACTATTATATTTAAATATTATTTAGGTCAACTTTGAAAAAGAAGTCATCATCACTGCTGTTCAACTTCAAGGTGATGGTATCGAGGCCTATGTGAAAAAATTTGTTGTTCAATACTATAACGAAAATGATGAGACTCCTTCCTGGCAACATGTTGAGGAAAATGAAAGTCCATTGAACTTTGGTGGAAATCATGATCCAACCACAGTTGTTCAAGTAATTCAAATTCATGTTCTAATGTTCAAATTTTTTTTTAGGGTATGTTATTTTTGATCAATGAATAATTGATTAAATGTTTGCTGAAATTTAAACATGGTCTATTTTCACATAAAATGTTTGAACCTGTGTTATGGAAAATTTTGAATATTTTTATGCTTTTTTAAAATCTTCACTTCCATGCATAGCCACATTGTATCCTATGATTTATTTTATTATCTTTCAGGCTGATTTACCTATTGGCATCAAAGTAACATCTATTCGATTGGAACCAAGAGCTTGGGTTAAATATATGGCTCTCAGAATTGAATTCCGTGGATGTGTTCCTGAAAAAGTTATCACAACAACAACTAAAGTTACAACTGAAGCTGAAATCACCACCACAGAGAATAAGGTAATAATCTCCTATTCCAATTGACCAATTATTCACACATAAAAAAAATGAGTGTTGAGTTCAAAGCAGACACTGAAAAAGAGTAAACAGGTTATACATGCTGTATATTTCTTAGGGTCATTAATGTGAGCAAATCTTTTTAACTAAGTTATATTTATTAAAAATGACATAACTTTTATAAGAGTCCTTTTGATCTTAACTCGTATTAATTTGAATTATTTAATTAAAAATTTAGTGCATACCGTAGGTACTACTCTGTTAGTCCATCCTCCCCCATTTAACTCCATTAAATAATCTTTTTTTGTATTTCGTATAATCTACTTTAAAATATTATTTTTATCAATCAAATCAGGAATAAATATATAAAATTCACAATATCACAAATTAACTTACCGTATACTAATAAAATTTTCATAGATTTCTGATCAAGAACAATTTTAAAAATGGTCTTCAACAATTCTGAAAAGCTTGATATAAATGTTACATAATCTTTGTCAAATATACATCAACAGGTATCTACAGAAGTATCCACTACGCCATCCGGAGAATCAGAAACAACTCCAATTGTTGTTGAAACAACGACTAAAGAAGTGCTTCCAACAACTGTTGTTGTACAAACCACATCACAAAAAGTTTCAAGTGAAACTCCTGAATTTCAAACAACATCTCAACCCATTGTAACCGAAACAGTAGAAACAACACCTGGACCGCCTGTGTCTGTGGTTTCAACCTCAAAACCAGTGTCTTCGGGTAAATGCTCTACTACAACTACTCAGTTCTTATTTCTGTTTAGTGGAAGATCTAAAAAGCCGATTTTTTGTCAAATGAAATTAAAAGAATTCACATATGCTTACGCTTGGTTTCACGATATTTTTGTAACATTGAAAAGCTTTAATGTGTTATTCACATTCACTGCTTCACTGTTCATATTTAACTTTTGATAAAGATTTGTATAAAGCCTACAATTTGGCAGAAAAATTATTCCTGTTATATTATCTCACATTATTTTCTTGGGTCATTGGTGTCACTGAATATTATAATTCAATGGTTGTTATCGTCAACGATGTACTTCTTAATACAATAACGTAATATTGTATATCTTATTCTAAATAATACACAAATGAATCAAAATCAATAAATCCTGGAATATTTATTGAAACCTCTAATTCAATTTTTTCGCTAATTTTTCATTATATACATGTACCTTTTATATTAGTTGAATATGTTAAAAATCCCAAATTTGGATCAATAATATTTTTAGAAGTGACAACTACAACAGTTCCAGTACCAAAAGAAACCGAAAAACCTACTCCAGAAGTTACAACAACTAAAGAGATCGTCGTTACAACGTTGTCCACTGAACAACAAACTGAATTGACAACCAGAAAAAGTAAGCTTGAAAAATGACTTATTAATAATTACTGTGGATCTAGTTATATTTTTTTTGTCAAAATTCATTTAAGATACGCCCATTTTTGTAGTAAAAGTTTGCTGTTAGGTGGTTTTTAGTCTTGATCTTTTGTTTATGATTTTACCAGATAAGCATTTGTTTAACTCAACATTTTTTATTCAGAAATATGTGATGTAAGTATGGGTATGGAAAAATACCTTGTGTCAGAAGATGGCATTACTGCTTCTTCAGAAACAAGTGAACATCAAGCTAATAATGTCAGATTTGTGCGACTGATACCAGATGAAGATGACAACACTAAGCTTGTTGAAGAACTTGTACCTGGTTCTTGGAGCCCAGAAGTTTCTGATGATAAACCTTATTTGGAAATGAAATTTACTGAAACAGTGTTAATCACGACTATTGTTACCGAGAATATGCTCAAGGGTGTAAAAGCTGGCTATACAATTTCTTACATTCCTGAAGATGGTGACAAGTTTGTTTCTATCACTGAAGTTGTTGAATTTGTTGAAAACGTACCTTCTGAGATAACTAAGGTATTCTCAGTCAATGACCATGCTGATAGCACAAATATCATAGATTTGGAAACTCCAATTAAAGCTGCGGTGATCAGGATACACCCACAAGGCGAAGTACAATTGAAACTTGAATTGAGAGGGTGCTTGCCAGAAAAGGAACTTACTACCACTCCCGTTATCATTGTTACCACAAAAGAAGTAGTTACCACCACGACTACTCCTATTGTAGAAGAGAGCACTACCTTGGAACCTGGTGTATCAACCACAACATCAGGACCTTCTGGTGAAACCACAACATCAGGACCCTCTGATGAGACTACAAGCATCAATGTTGATACAACCAAACCAACCACAGTAGAAGTTGTTACCACAGAGATAAAAACTGAAACACCAATTGTTACTGAACCAATTGAAACAACAGGAGAAACTGGATTTTCTACAACTGCAAAGCCAGGTGAAACGACAAAGAAAACTGTAACAACCACCAAGGTACTTGAAACAACTGTTTCCAAAGAAGTGACAAGCAAACCTTCGGAAGGGGAAACTACCAGTGGTGTGGTTGTACACACCGTTTCTCCAACTGCAGCTACAACTGAACATCTCAAGTATTGTGATGAGAAGATGGGCTTAGAGTTTGGAGCACAAAGTGATTTAAATCCACACTTTTCAGCGTCAAGTAATCAAGAAGCGGTAAGAAAACTTTAATTTAACGAGATATTGTGTGATCAACCTAGTCATACAAAATATAGAAATTTGAGGTGATGAAAAGGTGGAAAAATCAAAATCAAAGATTAAAACTCAGAGTTCGATATTATGTAATATTAGTAACTTTATTTTTCATCTCATATATACTTTTGCTTGTAGAAGAGTGATTTAATGTAATTATTGTATCAAATAAAATATATATATTGTTATATCAGCAAACATTAAGAAAAATAATTGTAGTTGGAAGGAGATTTTAAATTTATTTTGACATTATTATTTATCAGGCAAATGAAGCAAGATTACTGAATACTAAATCCTGGAATCCATCAGAAGAAGAACAATACTTCGATGAAGTGACAGGAAAATGGGTGACACGACCATGGTTGCAAGTCAGCTTTGAATACCCAGTTTCTATCTCAACAATCTTAACTCAAGGAGATGAAATAAGCGGAGCTCATGTCACTGTCTATGAAGTTTCTTATTCTAAAGATGATGCACAAACCTGGAGTAAAATATCTGATGAAAGCGGGGCACCAGTTAAGTTTAATGCAAACAAAGATGGCAATTCTGTTGCTGAAGTCATTTTGGATGATGTTTTGGAAGATATCACAAATTTCAAAATCAAACCAATTGATTGGAACACGGATGCAGCTTTGAGACTTGAATTAAAAGGATGTTTCAACAGAGAAATCAGAACAACCACTGTACGTACAACAAAAGAAATCGTCACTACGTCACAAGTTGGAAGTAGCACCACTGAAGCTACCACTACACCTGGTGGCTTAATTTCAACAACCAAAGTTATACCAACAACATCTAAAGTTATAGTGACCACTTCACCAAAATTGTCAACCGTATCATCAGAAGGTAGCACAACAAGCAAGGTATTCGCTTCTGCTATTTATTTTTTTATTTCTATTAGAATGTTATTTGGGTTTTACTTCATTTTTGTTCCATAACTTCTATATTTCTAAAGAAGGGAAAAACCAATAACATAGACATTCCAGGTTGATTGTGGCCACAAGGTTAATGATCAACTACGGTATGCAGTACATAAATACTCTCGCCCTTAATCATACCCGATGTGATCCCTGACCAGATGATGGGATGATGGTGAGCCTGTAACTAGCATGTCAAAATGAGATCCATCGAGTCACCACCACACAATGGTTATTTTATGTATAAATGTTCTTATTCTACATCTTTTTCTAATTAAGACATCATAAGAAGGCTTTTCACCGTTGTTTCTCTTATGAGATCTATTTTTTATATTTTTCTTTCATGAATCTTGTTTATTCAATTCATCTTAATTCTGTTCAGACTGTCACCACTAAAGTAGTATCTAGCAGTACTTCATCATCAGGACCAGAAGTAACAACCGTCTCTGAATCGTCTGAAAGCACGACTATGCCTACTGGTTCAACAACAACAAGCATCAAAACTGAAGAACCTGGTTCTACAACAAAAACTCCAGTTGTTGAAACGACTACTGGCATTACAGAAACTACACAGTTTGCAACACAAAGTAAATATTGTTCTCTATTGCATGCATCAAATGTTTTGAAGCAAGTTTAAACTTAAATATGCTTGTTTACGCTGTTTCACTTAATAATGTTCGATAATATTGTTTTAGAAATGTGTGATGATGAAATGGGAATGAGAAACCATCAAATACCAGATGACAGTATTACTTCATCATCTAATAAGCCTGGACATGAAGCACAGAATGCAAGAAATGTCAAATTAGGAGACACTGAGAACATCGACATCAATAATCTTTCATGGTCACCTGAAGATTCTGATGATACTCCTTATTTGGAAGTTGTTTTCCCAGAGGTTGTCATGATTTCTTCAGTCCTTACCCAGGGTGGGGAAAATGGAGAATTTATACCAGCATTCACAGTCGAATATGCACCCGAGATCAACGTTGAATTGGAAGCCATTATTGAATCTCCAGAAGTCGGACCAAAAGTTTTCCCTGCTAATAGAGATGACAGTACTGTTGCTGAAATTGTCTTTGACAAAGCGATTAGGGTAAAAGTTATCAGAATATATCCAAGAAGACCAGAAGATAACCAACCAATCAGTTTGAGAGTAGAATTCCATGGGTGTGAGGAGATGACTACTACACCTGTTATTATAAAAACAACCACGGAAACAATTGTGAAGACAAGCACTCCTGAATCAGGCATTTCGACTACTGAAGCAGAAAAATCAACCACTCCTTCTGTTGTTGAAACTACAGTAATTGTGACAGAAAAGACAACACCAGTAACAGAATCGAAAGGACCAACCACTGTGGTTGTCACGACCACTAAGAAGATTGAATCTACTACTGGAAATGAGGTAGAGATTACAACTTCTGCAAATGTTGTGAAAACAACAGAAAAACCAATTGTAACTACAGTCCCAGTTGTGGAAACAACCAAACCAATGCTTTGTGACAAAATCATGGAAAATTTAGGACAAACAACTGAATTAGTATCTTCAGAAGTGAGCGCTTCTAGCAATGTTGAGGAAGCCAAGTTGGCCAATTTGGATGAACCCTCTGATCAACCATGGTCACCAAACGATATCAATGAAGATTCTGTCTTTGGAGCCTTTGTTGAAGTAAAATATGATCGACCAGTTTATATCACTGAAATATCAACTCAAGGTGATGGTGTTGAAAACTATGTTAAGACTTACAGAGTTTATGTTCTCACCAAGACAGAGAGTGAACTCACAGAAACATGGAAAAGAATAAGTACAGTATTTGATGCTAACACTGATGCTACTACACTAGTACCCAACATATTCCCCGAGGCTGTACTTGCCAGTGCTGTAAGAATTTCACCCATTGACTATTTTGGTAAACCATCCATGCAATACAGAGTTAGTGGATGCTTTGGAAGACTCTCCAGTACAACCAAACAACCGAAAGAAACTACAACCACTGGAGAATCAACTGAATTGACAACAAAAGAAACACCAGCTGTAGAAACGACCCCAATTATACTTGTTACAACCACGACAGTAGAAACAAAGCCAGTGGTCACTACCAAAATAGTTGGTGAATCAACAACAAAAGAGCCAGTTGAAACTACAGAGGGTGAGATTGCAACAACAACAACAGGTATTTCCAAATCAATACCAGTTGTAACAACCGTAGTAGTGGTCACAACAAAGAAACCAGAAATTTCTGTATCAACCGAAGTTTCTGAATCAACTACACCTGCCATGGGAAGCACTACAGTAGAAAGTACTGAACCAATCGAAACTACTACCAAGGAGGGACAGCAACAGGAAACGTCTAAAGAACCGATAAAAACAACCCCATCAGAAACTACATCTAAGGTTTCTGTGGAGACTACACTACCGGGATCGGAAACTACTACCAAAGGATCAGAGAAAACAACAGAAGGAATCTCAGAAACAACTGAGCCTGCAAAGACAACAGCTGTCATGAAGACCACGACTGGCAAGATAGTGACATCTGAACAAACCACAATAAGTAAGTACTATAATGTTATATTCACTATTATGTAAATTATTTTATGCCCTAGAGTGCTAATTAATTTGTAATTATATTTTCAGAAATATGTGATGAAGAAATGGGCTTGAAAAATCATGAAGTAACTGATGCAAATGTATTAGCCTCGTCATATAAAGAAGGAAAGGAACCCATTAATGTTCAAAATATTAACTCGGGAGAAACAGTGTCAGAAGAACCACTTCCATCATGGTCTCCTGAAGACAATGATGAATCACCTTATTTGGAGGTTTTCTTTTCTACCCCTGTGGTTATTACATCTATCCTTTCCCAGGGAGGTGAAAATGGCGAGTTTGTATCTCAATATAAAGTAGAATATGCATCAGGCAATTCTGTTTTAATGCCCATCAAAGAAATATCAAACAACCCATCATCTCCAGAAAAAGTATTCACTGCCAATAAAGATGATCATACAATTGTCGGAAATACTCTAGACGAACCTATTACAGTGCAAATTCTCAAAATTTTACCTATTAGAGAAAATAACTTGCCTATCAGTTTACGCATGGAATTCCATGGTTGTGGTGAATTGACCACTGTACCAGTAACTGTTGAAACTACCACAGAAGCTATTGTTACAAGCATTGTACCAAGTAGTCCACCATCTTCCTCAACGGAAGGTGTTGTTACCAGCAGTCCAATTTCAAAAGAAACCACCCCATCTGGAGAAGAAACAACTGCATCCGTTGTCGAAACAACCATAATTGTTACCGAGAAAACAACACCAAAAGAGGGTGTTTCAACTACATCTGGTTCATCAGTCGTGGTCACAACAACAAAAACTGTAGAATCTACAACTGGAGGAGTCATAGAAACAGTTACGACTAAAGAAATGGTGAAAACATCAGAAAAGCCTGTTGTAACATCTGTCGCTGTCGAAAGCACTACTCCAGCTGTAACTACTGAATCAGTTGTTACTCTTACGCCAGGAAAAATTTGTGACAAGGTTATGCAAGAAATTGGGAAACTCCAGGAAGTGGTTTCACCTCAAATATCAGCATCCAGCAATGTTGAAATTGCAAAAGAGGCACAACTTGATTCTGATGTTGCTTGGTCTCCAGTAGATATTACGGAAGATGCAGTATTTGGAGCATACATTGAAGTCAGCTTTGATTCAGAAGTATATCTAACTGAAGTAACAACTCAGGGAGATGGTGATGAAAGTTATGTATCAGCATACAATGTATTTGTGTTGTCTAAGACTGTTGAAGAAGAAACAAGTTCATGGAAGCGCATTAGTCATATTTTTGATGGTAATACAGATGCAATTGGCAAGGTTACCAATGAGTTTACAGAAGCCATATTGGCATCTGCTATAAGAATTGCTCCTCAAACTTTCAATGTTTCTCCTTCAATTAAATTGCAAATTGGTGGTTGCTTTACATTTATATCAAAAACTACTACTATTGCCACATCTAAAGTACCCGAGTACACAACAACTGCCCCTGTATCTCAAGGAATTGGGTCCACAACAACCCTCGGTCAAGCTGAATCAACAACACCAGTGATTATTGTAACAACGACCAAAGTTGTCTCTGAGCCTGTGGTTACTACAAGACCAGCCATAAGTACCACTCTTGGTGAGGGTATATCGACTACTAAATCGACTGAACAAACTACTTCTAAACCAGTAACGGTAATTGTCACCAGTGAAGGAATAACAACTGAAGAAGTTGGTACATCAAGTAGCACAGAAATAGTAAATGTAGAAACAACACCAGGCAAAACAACCCTTGCTGTTGTTGAAACAACAATAGAAACCAAGGTGTCTACAACTGAGCCAAATGAAGCATCTACAACTGTAGAAACAGGAGAAAGTACCACAACAAACAAAGTGGTATTGACAACTAAGAAAACTGTGGTAACAACACCCTTGACATCTAGCACAGAAGAACCTGGTAAAAGCACTGAAATAACAACCACTGAGGTTCAAGAAACAACCAAAGTTACTGAGCAACCAGGAACTGAAGAGACAACGGTTACCAAAGAGATTGAGACCACAACAACTGAAGAATCTGTGGTTACGACAGAAAAACCAGAACCGACAGAAGAACCAGGTAAAACTACAACCAAAATGAATGTTGAGGTTACCACAACTAAGAAGAGTGCACCAACTACCACTAAAATTGTGAAAACAACCGAAAAATACAGGTTAGAATTTTAATTGAACACGTAAGATGAATATTATCATATCAATGAGCATCTTATATTGTATCTTTACCATTTCTAAATATTTCAGTACTGAAGGACCAGGAACCACAGAGGGTCCATCAGCAACGACCAAAGTACCTGTTGTAACCGAGAAAACCGTTGAGGTCACATCGACTACTGCTGGACCTGAGATAACTACAACCATTATTGTGAGTATAAATAAGCATATCATATGCATTATATTTGAAACTTGTATATCAATTATTTTGTAAACGCAACCAATTTTCACATTTATCAGGTTGAAAAATCAACTCCATTAGTTAGTGAAAAGACAACTGTTACAAGCAGTGAAACAACCAAACTACCAGGTGCATGTTTGTTCATTTTTGTTTGTTTTCTGATTTTATTAATATTTTATCAGATTTAAAATTTAGATATTAAAATATAATAATAACACAACATCTAACGATTACAAATGGCCATATCCTTTCCTTCTGAATGTAATAGGATGCAAATTCTATTTTATTTTAGTACCGGTAATTGAAAAAACGAAAGTACAAAGCTTGTTCAAAAATAGGATTTTACTTACAATAGTAATTCTTTCTTTTTCGTCTTATTTTATCATGGAAATCATGCACGTTTATTAGTAGTACATATTGTTCCATTGGTTTATTTGACAATATATTTTTGAACCAGCAGTCTCCTCAACAACCGAAAAAGAGGGGGTGACTACCTCTGGACCAGACGTTGGTACTACTACCAGCAAGCCAATTGTTTCAGAAGGTGTAACTACTGAAGAGGTGAAAACATCTAGCAGCACCGAGGTAGTTAGTGTTGAAACAACACCAGGAAAAACAACTCCGGCAGTTGTTCAGACCACAATAGAGACCAAGCTGTCGACTACTCAACCAAACCCTGCATCAACAACTGAAGGAATGGGAGAGACCACAACAAGCAAGGTTGTAATAACAACAAAGAAAACAGTTGTAACAACTCCTGTGTCATCTAGCTCAGAGGAACCTGGTAAAACCACTGAAGTAATAACCACGGAGGTTCAGAAAACTACTAAAGTAACTGAACAACCAGGAACGACAGAGACAACAATTACCAAAGAAGTTGCAACCACAACAAGCCAAGAATCAGTAGTTACAACTGAGAAACCAGAACCAACGGAACCAGGCAAAACAACTACGAAAATGAATGTTGAAGTTACTACAACGATAAAGACCACACCAACTACTACGGAAGTTGTAAAAACAACTGAAAAATACAGGTGAGCATATTACAGAGCTTGGAACGTTTGTTATTTCAGCATATGAATATTATTTGTTATGAACTGTAAATGTTGTACACACAAAGCAATGAAACAGTCTTTTGAAGCATGTTCATATTTTCTAGTACCGAAGGGCCAGAAACCACAGAAGGTCCATCGGCAACAACCAAAGTACCAGTTGTAACAGAGGAAACTGTTGAAGTGACAACAACTCCAGCTGCTCCAGAAACTACTACAACCATTGTTGTAAGTATATACATACATAACTAGTTTTCATGTATGTATGAATGAATAGTAAGCATTAGCATTTGAAACTTCGATCTGATCTGTTACTTTGCTATGTCGGTGAGGTACAAATACTGGTTCTGGTTTGCAAAAAATGTATTTAGGCACGTTAGAAGAATGTAATCTTTAAAAAGATATATAGTGATTGTAAAAAGGAGTAGCTAACTTGACTCGACCTAAGATGTGTATTAACAAATACTATTTCAATTTTGGGCGCTTCAGAAGAGTGTGTACCAATATGGAGGTAACTAATTTTGTTGCATACTTTACATCAAGTTGTGTGAAGGGACTGAAACCTATGAGCAGGATGTATATTCACTTGGCTAACACAGATAGTCCCTGAACTCGTAATAGAACTAAAATAAGGAAACCTTAATAAAATTATGGCCTAACCCTAACCTGGTACACACACTATGGGAGTACCCAAATTTGTACTCATATGTAAAAAACTTTGTACTTTTTACTTGCTAATGGGTCAATCTTTACAAATTAATTTTTCATAAGTCTTCATTATTTTTCAATAGATTGAGAAATCAACGCCATCGATAACAGGAAAGACGACTGTTTTGACAGAAAGTACCAGTGAAAAAGTAACAACTAAACCAACAGTTGAAGAAACAACAAAACTACCAGGTTTGAACAAATTTCCATTTACGAAAGCCATAAGTTTATTTGGTGGAAACTTAATATACATTGTAATAACACACTCAATGATTCATCTTTAACTTTAAGATTCATTTCATTAATTTAATTTTAGAATGCATTTCTATACTACTACTATTTTTATTGAAATGGCTTATCTTGGCGTTTTTCAAATAGGCAAACCAGCAAGTTCAAGTATATCACATAAGTTGTACATTGTTTCTTATTGATAAATTTAGAGTAATAGCCTGACCTTTATAATACAGGTTGTGAGTCTTAAATAAACAATATGTATATGTAAAAAATATAAATACCGGTTGTAGGTCTTAAATATGCATAATGCAATGTAAACTTGACAGCACCTAACAATCGCTTCGATTTTAATTTTAACTCCAGGAGTTACAACGGAAGAATCTGGAGTAACCACACCTGCAGTTGTAACCTCTTCTTTGTCCACAACAAGCAAAACTATTCTAACAACTGAACCAAGTGAGAATAAAAATATTTGTAATAGATATAGCGGTACTTCTTCAAAAATATTGCCTTGCACTTGAAAAAAATGCATTTTAGTTGTATGTATATGAAGGTAAAATAGTCAATAAAGTTAGTGTTTTACTATTCTAAATGTATTATTTGCATCCTCTAATATTTGAAAGACTGATTGCAGACTCGCAATTATTTTTCCTTTTTCAATGATAAAACTACTAAAATTAAAGTCATTATACATTTTATTACTTGCAGTGGTCTGTGATGATGCTTTGGGCATGGTGACACATGCAATTACAAATGAGATGATCAGTGCTTCATCTAGTAAAGAAGGAAAAGGGGCGGAGTATGCTCGTATCACTTACAATAATGATGAAACCGTAGCTGCACCATCTTGGTCCCCACTTACTGATGATGAAAGTCCTTACATAGAAATCAACTTTGCTCAGGCAACAATCATTCATTCTATTCTGACACAAGGAGGCGGAAATGGTGAATTTGCTGGCAAATATTCTGTATCTTACATTGATGCAAATGATGAATCAGCAGAGTTCAAATACATCACTGAAGAAACTACCCAAGAAACACCTCTCGGTCCTGTAACCACACCTGAAATGAAAATTTTCGATGGAAATCATGACGACACCACTGTCGAAGAGAGATTCTTGAAACCTGCCATCACAGTCACTGTACTTCGTATTCATCCTATTCGTCGAGCTTTGAAAGAAGAAATTTGCATGCGACTTGAATTCCATGGATGTTTCGAATCAGCAACTGAAACACCAGTGATTGTTTCTACAACTAAAGAAGTTCAAGTGACCACAAGTACTCCAGTAACTGGACAAGAAACTACACCCTCTGGAGGTAAATATCATTACCCAGCCATAAATGAAATTTCACTATTATGTAGCACAGTGGTTCTCAAACTTTTTAAGCCCTTTTAAACTTTTTGAACCCTTTTAGAATTTGTCAAGTATTGCGCCTCATCTCAAAAATAACTAAATAACAACAAGCTACAAATAACAGATAGTGATTATGTTTTATTCAAAAAACACGTTGAAAATGTGTGGATGGAATCGCAATCTCTAAACAATAAATAAATCTAACAAATATTTTTAATTTCAATTGCTCCACGTCATTTTGTGGTACTTTTGCTTTGAGGTATGATTTCTGATGAATTATACTGTATATTTGCATTCATTAATCTCTGTATAATATTTCAGGTGAGTCAACCACTTCATCATCAGTGAAAGAAACTACAACTACTGAAGTGAAGACAACAAAACCAATTGAATCAACTAGCAGTATTTCAACTACTCCAGTTTACAAAGAAACTACTACTACTAAAGTAACAGAAGTTACAACCGTTCAAACTGAACCACCAATCACAGAAAGACCAAGTACGCTTTTACACGTTTATTTCAAAGAATTTATGATAAATACTGTAGTAATGCAGATGAATGCAAACAAATCTAATATACTGTATATATGAAAAATAAAGTATGAGCATACATTTTATCATTGCCTTCGTTTGCATTACTACTTTGCAAAATTAGTTATTTCTTTTTGAGACCTTTGGAATATTTTATTTCCCTGTTTTTTCTTTGTCTCATTTATGTAAATTGATACATCTTTCGACATGTATTTTCTGAAGAATATCTCACTTATTGGAAATATGCACATGCTCTAAATCTATCTTTGATATACCTTTCTATTTGTGTATATGATTTTTTGTTTTGGTTTTGTTCTAATTATCTCATTTGGAAATGAAATGTTCAATATTTCATTGTTTTTCTATTTAAGGACTTTGTGATAAGTTGATGGAAGAAGAAGTCAAAATAACAGTCCATATTCCAAACTACTATGCCTCAAGTAACAAAGAAGATGCAGAGAATGCTCGACTTAGCAAACTCACATCAGTTAGTGGATGGAGACCAGATCCTTCAGATAGCAACATTTTCCTCCAAGTTGTTTACGAGAAGGTCGTTGTCATGACAACAATTACAACAAAAGGTGCAGTTAATGAAGAAGGCGAGGCTGAATATGTGTCCTCATACACAATTGAATATACAGATGATGACAATATGGAGATGTGGTATTCTGTAACTGATGAAAGCAACTCCCCTGTTCTTTTCTCTGCCAACACCGATGCTCAATCTCTTGTTTCAAATGAATTTGCCAAACCTGTAACTGCCAAGGTACAATAAAGAGATAATACGAAATATATAAAAAAGTTAGATTGATAGATTGACTTGGCCGAAATATTCCATCAACTAAAGCTGATGCATTCTAAATATTTGGTTTGGAGAGCCAGTTGGGTAATTTCCTCAAAAAGTGGGATAATATTAATTATATATTCTTTTCTACAGTTTTAACAGTATTTGACATGTCACATATTCTTTAATTATATCCTGCCATCATTTTGAATATAAAGAAATAAGACAATCACTAACAATTTTTTGTAGGCGATTCGCATTAGACCTTTGTCATGGCATAAAACTCCTGCTCTTCGTGTTGGAATCACTGGTTGTTTTGATATCACCTGGGAAGTAACAACAACCACAGCAAGCAAAGAATCTACCATCGTGACAGAAGTACCAGTTACAACTGAAGGACCAACTGAAGAACCAATCACGACAACAGAACCGAAAGAGGTAGAAATGGTTTGACCACAACACTTCATCTGATGAAATTTCATTTCGTAACTATGTGATGTGATAATATTCTTTGATAACCAAAATGAATGATAGTTGTTTAAATTTTGCAACAGCATAGTGTAATAATAAATTTTTTGAATGATGCCTAATTCTCCAACTGGTTATTGTTATTGCTGCAGGGATCAACTACTCCAGTTATTGTTACAACAACCAAACGAGTGTTCCCAACAACTGAAACAATTTCCTCAGGACAATCTACAACGCCAGGTTAGTTTTGGAATTTTTTATTGCCATTGTTGTCAATAAAGTATAATAATTGAGCACTTTACACATCAAACAATATTTTATATCAATGTAATATTGATTCTGATTTGATAAATCAAATCAAACTTGGGAAGATATATTGTAAGTGATTAGTGATGTTGAAAAAGTTCTCACATAGGGTTTTTGATTGTTATATCCAGAGTGGTTTATTTCACACAAAACCCTCCTTGTCAATTTTATAATCCAGATATAATTTGAAAGTTTTACATCATTTTAAGAACTCTGTGAGCACAGTAAATTGAAATATAGACTAGTTTAGAAGATGATTAAAATACAACAAAATATGATTAAAATTTTCTTTTTGTGTATTTATCATATTAAAGTCCAGGATCGAGGGATTTTCAAGTTTTTAAAATTCGATATTATTGTTGAGATGTTTTGGATATTTCTAACTGGAAATTTTTTTAATTATACTTTTTTTATTTTGTATTAGTCTTTAATTATGCTATCTATATATTCAGAAGAAGGAGTCTCAACATCATCTGCTGTGACAACAACCAGCTCGAAAGTTGTGGTTACTACCAAAAAATCGGATAAAACAACTCCAGAATCAGGTGAGAATACTCCTGTAGTTGGTCAAACAACCACTGTCACATCACCTGTTGGCAAAACTACATTGTCCACTCATGCTGAAATGAAGACAACTCTCAAACAACTCACTGCCGAAAAACCTGTAGTGGTGGTATAAATACTGGACTAAGATATGTTTGTTGATGACCCCTAATTTAACCATGCTCAACACCTAAAGTAGAGTGCAATAAATTGGAAATTAGATAGGTAGAGACAAATCGAAAAAAGTCCGGTTATTTCTAAAATAGTAATATGTAATGTATTCATGGCTGCTTGCCTGGAACATGAATAGATTCTCGATAGTTGATTTAAAAATTTTAAGTTGGTTTAGCTTTGGTATGTAAAATTTGTTAGTTCGGCATGAAAATTTTAATTATATGTTGTTTCATTTTAACTTTCCTAGTAATTATTCCTAGTGATTTTTTGGAATTTGCAATTCAAATTTGATTGAAATGAATCACCAGTTATCATGTTTGAAAAATGCAATAATATCAACTATTTGAAATTGAAATTTTTCCATTTCTTATTTCTGTCTTCATATTTCAGTTTTTTTCGCAAATTGGTGAAAAGGTCTGTTCAAATGGCTTATATTAATACACTGCTACATTATTCCAGGCACCTCACAACCTTCTGGTCAAACAACAACTGGAGGACAAGAGGTCACAACTAAAACAGCCATTCTTCCTCTAACATCAGAAGCATCAGTATTCACAACAAGTGGTTCTGGTGAATCAACAATCAAGTTAACAACAGTTCACCCACCAACTACAACCACGCAAGTTATCACCATAAGCACTGAACAAGTTAGTGCATTGTTATGTTCTATCTAACAAAAAGAGGTTTATATTAATGCCTTGTGTCTGTGTCTGTCTGTTTTGTATGATTTATTTTCACACTGGTTTATTGCACCCCTCATTTCCTTTGTAGAATACAAGACTAATTTGCTGTAGCTGTGTGGTTCACATACCCACTTGTACACTTTAGCTTGTTTATGCATCTGATAAAAAGAATTTTCAACTTTTTTCTATACTTGTGCTGGACTAGTACCTCTGGATAAAATGCGTTTTCTTCTTTCACAGGAATAACTATGAAATGTTAATATTACCATCTCTTTCTTACATAATATATTATGATTATTTGTGCATAAATTATTTATTAGAATAAAGTTTTATGATGTCACAATCTATTTAGTGATGTCATACAGAATTGCGAGCTAGTTGGGCATTTAATCGAGTTTGAGTTTAAATTTAAAAGAAGAAAAATTGGTGTTTGGTTCACCACATATCACAAACTTTGAGCAAAGTTGTTATCAAATCTATTGAATGTTTTTCTTCATTACTATTATTTATGTTGATGAATATTTTACAGAGGACTTATCATAAGTGTCTAAAATAATTTATATTCTTTAATGCAGCTACCTTTTACCACCGGTAAAATAACAACAAACAGTTTAGAAACAACCACACCCAAAGACCGTGTCTGTATGGTAAGTAAAAGAATATAGTGTGTAACATTATTCTACTACCTTGTGGTATATAAAGCAAGGTATTTATGAAAACTATTTTAATTTGTTTTGTAAGTGACAATCATTTGTTATTACATGTTCATATGCAAATATTACAAACATATTATATTGGCTGTGTATGCAACTATCTGTGTTGTTAACTTGATAATAAACAGTCGTGATTGGATTGATCACTCTAGTCTTTTATGCTAGATCAACTGTGAAGATAGTTGTGCATCAGGATTTGTAATGACAAAAGAATTCGATTCTGAATGTTGTACATGTATACATGAAACTACCACTGCCAGAGTGACAACAACAAGTCAAAGCATTACAACATCTAAATCGTAAGATATTTGCAATTGTATATTCATAGCAAATTACACACATTATGACATATGTGAAGCATAAGTTGTTCATCTTAATATGATTGTGTTATCAGAAACACATTGGGCTAGGAATTAGAAACATGCTCGCTGCTTCACTGATTAGCATGCATGCGTCTGCAAGTTGCGATCATATTCAGTATTGCTGTTGTTGTTATTATAATTTACGGTCCTTTTAACTGGTGTTACCTTTGTGCAAGAAGATGACTGAACTTATCGCCATCACAGGTTTGTTCATGTGACCGGTTGTCGGTTATGACTACACCACCATCCAAGTCCATGCATTTTATAAAACAGTTGACTAGTTAATTACTTCTATACCTGAAATGGACGAGTAGTCAAACAGAAACATGGGGTTCATTATTTATTATCAGCTTTTCTTCGGGATGAGTGTAGAAATCCTATGTTATTCGCTTTCATTTTAATTACACTGTTTGACGGACTATATCTTAAAAAATCCAATTGTTATTACTTGATAATCGGTGGTGAATTGAAGCACAAGTTTAAAATGCTCAAACTTTTATTCACAGAACAAATTGTACTGCACCGTTCGTCTACTACAACTGCAAACCACAATGCGATGCCACATGTCCTCATGTTCAAGCTGACTGTGTTGAAGACAATCCTACTAAATGTTTTTCAGGATGTGGATGTCCAGATGAAACAATATTTGATGGTGAAACCTGTATTCCACTTGGAAACTGTCCATGCGTTGTTGATGGAGTTGAGTATGAGGTAGGTTTAGGTATCTCAATTTTTAATTATATATTTCCCATAACAATTTGTATAAATTGAGTGGCGGTTGGCGCATCATGATAAACATTATGAACACGCTTGTCATTGCACCCCGGAGTACACTGTATGGGCTTGCAGGTACGAATCCCGTGGAGGATAATTATATGCGATTATTGGACACTCTCGCTGTTGAGTGTGGTTCACGTAACCACTGGTCGTTAATGGCTTCCTCCACCATCAAGTCCATGCGTCTGAAAACAAATACCTAGCTAAATAATCTCATGCCCAACATGGGTAACCGGACGAGAGGCCTCGGTACTTCATATGATTAATCGATTTTATCGAGTTTTCTCTTCCCCGGGATAAATGAGAATATCCTATCATTTTTAAAAAGTTTATGATCTAGTTAAATAAAATAACTTCAAATTTGAAAATTCAGTCATTCACAATTTTTATTTTTTCCTCTTCATTCTATGAAATTTCTTTGTGTTTGAGCTTGAAGTAGCGTACCTAGAGCTATGATAATGTGTGTATATTGTTTTATATATAGTCCGACGATACCTGGAAAAATCCCACTGATAACTGCAGCGAATGTACATGCATCAGAGGAAAGCAATATTGTAGCACACCGGACTGTGCAATCCCTGTTTGTGTAACTGGTTATGTGTTGGCAAAGGTAAACTTACAATTTATATATTGATTTTAATTAAAAAAAGTGTTATTATCTGTAATTTATTATGTGTTACTATTTTGTTTTAGTGTAAAACCTTGCTTGATGAAATTGTCATTAAAGTGATATACAGTGTAATTAACATGTTTGTTTTGCTTTCTATCAAATACCTAGAGTAGTATTGCATAACATTTTACAATATTCATTTTAATTAAGGTGGATGGAAAATGTTGTCAAGAATGTGTACCTGAGACAGAAACAACACCCTCAACAACATTAGCAACCACAGAGCCTATGTCTACCACAATTCCAAGTATATATAAACTTCTTGTTTTTCATCAAATATTCATTCATAGTTTAGATATTTTAAATAAAGTTTAGGAATGAAGCCATATGTTTAGTCTAAATTTTTACAGGGTCCGACATAAAATGCTTTGACAGGCCACATGCAAACCAAAGTCACAGTTTTTTCCTTCCCTGATATAGATTATAGATACATGCAACCCTTTATGTACTTTGAAATGTTACAAATTTCACAAGCATAGTCACTATTAATGAATTATTGTAAAATTGTATTCTCGTTATTGGAATATAGATCAAATAAAACAGTTGATGTCTTGCTGAGAAAACTTAATAACATTATTCATAATAAAAAAAAGTAAATTTCTCCCTAATGGCAGGTCTTGTTTGATAAAGCATACCTGGCATAATCAGCATTTAATACTATTTTTATATATCAAAATTACGTTCATTTTACAGAATGTGACCTCAAATGTTATTGCATGGTTGGATGTGACAGAGATGAATCACAATGTCCAGTACTTGCCGATTGTCCATACAAATGCTTCTGTAATGAAGGAACTCAAAAAATAAGAGGAAGATGTGCTTTCCTAGCTGAATCTAAACAATGCTTACCTCCTTCAACAACACCTGAATATGAAGAGACAACTGGTATACATTGCGATCATCATTTATTAATGATAAGAAAATAGCAATAAAACTTGATTTATTTATAACAGAATACTAAAAAATTAAACAAGGTCAATCGAATATTTATACCTAACCTAAGATAGCATCTAAATTATTTTTAAATGAAACATTGTATTTTTGTAACAACAGGCCCTTCAACAGGAGGCCCAGAAACAACTGGTCCAGTAACACAATTCAACACAACAACAGCAGAACCAGTTGTTACAACACCACCAAGCGTTTGCTCAGATGAATGCAACTGTAAACTTGGATGCAATGATGATGGAGAATGTCTGCAGTTATATGGATGTAGCGTTGATGTGAGTGTTAAGCTTAGAATACTAAGGATCCTATTCCTTACTTTCAAGTTAGCTTCACATGTAAAATTGTCTTGAAGAAGTTTATTTAGGTATTGTATTCTAAGGGAATTACCTAAAATAGCTATCTTCACTCTTGCTACAGCTTCCTTGAATTATATACATACAGATTCACCGGCACAATGACGATAAGTACTGGGCCCCACCCAAACTCAATCGGTAGCATTATATCTACGGTATTATTATTATTATACGGTACTGAATAATGGAATCTATCATTATAAAAGAAGTGAGAATTAATAATAAGTTTTTATTATAGGATTGTCAATGTTCTGATCTAAATGCTGACAGAGCCAACGGTAGATGTGGAAGTTATCCTACTGATGAGGAATGTGAAATCACAACAACTACACCACCATCTACAACACCTGAATCAGGAGTCAGCACCACTGAAGGTATGTCTACAACTAGAATCTTTTATTTTTACAATTCAAAGTCAATTAAAATTAATTTTGAATTGAACTAATTTCCAATGGTTTCAATGTTCTGCCCCAACCTGTTAAAGTGACAAAACAAATAGCAGTACAGCCACTACTTTGGTACTATTTTCACCATAAAAATAGTTTCCTTCAAATCTATGTTAGCATTTACCTTTTATTACACTGGAGATTATTTTGCTTTGATTGATGTAATAATGGCTTGACAGTGTGACGCATCCCGCTAAGCGTTAGAAATATGCATTCTACCACACTTCTGATTACCAAGCATGGGTTTGCAGGTTCGAATCCTGTGGGGGATAATTATGTGTGAGAGGATTACTGCAGGGTGCAGCTTCCTCCACCATCAAGTCCATGCATCTGAAATATCTAACTAACTAATCCCATACCCAACATGGATCGGTGAAAGGACTATAGGTCGTGGTTCGGCATATAATTAAGCCATTTTATCAACTTTCTTCTCCCTCGGGATGAAAAGTAAATCCTATCCCAGTGTTGTAATTATTATCATTGTTTTTCATTTGTAGGCCAAGGTGTAACTACAACAAAACCTGTTGGTGTAGAAACAACAACCAAAACAGTCATTGCCACAACTACACCTCCAGGTAATTTTAAATTCTTAATTTTGTTTTAAAATATTTTTTTATCGTTGCATCCAGTTGAATACCGGTAGTTTAGTTCATGAAATATTGTATAACTTCAACAAGGTTTTAATGTTATGATTTATTCATTAATATTCATGCAATGATGTTTATTAATTTCTTTACAGTTTGTCCTGGTGATAAAGAAGTTCGTCCATGTCCATGCCAGAAGACATGCACAGACATGGCAAATCCAAATTTTGTGTGCCCAACCTCATCAGAGCCTTGTCAACCAGGCTGCCAATGTCCTGGAGGAATGGTAGAACATAATGGACAATGTATTCCATCTCAAGAATGCCCATGCTACCATGAAGGAAGCTATTATAAGGTTGGCCTTTTAGAAAAAATTTAAAATATTGCTATACATTAGATTTTTAAGCTTCATTGTTTGTTTAATTTTCCAGCAGGAAAATCGGGAAAAAATGGACATAATTGTGTGACAATTTCAAAATTTTTCAACGCTAAAATTTCAAAGACACTTTTCTAACTATTGGGGTTACTGAAAATGTTTCTATTAACTGCTGCATATTACAGACTTTATGGTGTAATGTTAATAAATTACAAAATATGTCAAAATAATTATTATTACTCATATCGAGATGTTTTTTCTTATATAATTCTTTCATTTATTTCACTAGTTCAATGATGAAGTTACATCTACCAGCGAATGCGAAAAATGCTATTGTACTGAAGAAGGTGTAAAATGCGAAAAGGTTTGCAAACTCCAAAGAGAAGAATGTTTGGCGTTCAACGGAGTTTTCAGTTTTGTTGAGGGATGCTGCAAATGCACATTTTCACTCAGTATGTTATATGTATTCTGTGTATTTTCAATGTAGTTTGTCTGGAAAACCTAAGGACATTATTATAAGGCTCATCTGCTTTTTATTTTCTTAATTTTTAATTAGATTCCTTTTTATTTATTTAATTCCCTGCATTTTATTGTGATATCATAATTAACAAAACAAATGGAGGTATTATTACTGTGATGGGTGGTTACGATCTTGCTCGGTAACCTGAGGTAACTGCTCATTAAAATAGTTTTTATGGTTATGTTCAAGAAAATTGTTAATATGTTGTCATTGCTTGATTTAGCCACAACAACGGTCCCTGCCAATACCACACTTCCGGAAACAGAAGTGCCAACTACACCACCTTCTAGTTCTACATCTCCTGGAACCAATGTTGAGGTAATTTGAATATTGTGTGATTATCATAATAATCTTTTAAACTTGGAATTGCCGATGTAATCAGAGTATGTCACAGTATGAAAATTTAGGTAACATCAGATGATGAATTTATTTTTAATTACTAAAGTTAGTAAGATTATGAAGATTCCATAAATTTTTTGTTTTGTTTAGACAACGCCATCCGGAGAAATTTCCACAACCAAAAAATCAAGTGAAACGACACCTATTGTAACTCCATTGGTCACTACACCAAAAGAAGGTAACCTCACAAAACTTGGCTTCATGAATATTGACCGCAAATATTCCATTTCCACTCAACTAATATATTGTATTTATGGTTTAAATTAAATTACTTTTTGAGATGAGATACTAAATCAGGGGAATGCATATTGTACCACATAATAAATAAATCCAATTATAATTGCTTAATTTATATCCATATAAGATGGAATAAAATTGTTTTGAAAATTGAAAAAAATAGATAGATAGTCGGTGAATCCCCATCAAACATTATAATTGAATACTTTACTGAAAGTAGTTTTCCAAGTTTTCACTTTAATCAATTGCTTTACATTCTGAAAACCACGATACAAATGCATATAACCATCTATGGATACTTATTGAGAATATTCGAATCTAATCCTTTCTTATGATAAAACTGCAGTCTGCATGCCACCATTGGTCCCAATTGGATGTGGATGCAATACAACTTGTTCTGACAAGGATGCAGTGTGTGGAACAGATAATTGCAAACCAGGATGCTATTGCCCATCTGGAACATTTGTCGATGGAATGAAATGTGTCACTGAGGAAAAATGCCAATGTATAGAGGATGGAAATAAGTACGTTTAAGTACCTAAATTTACTGGAATTTTTCAATATGTATTGTTTATCACAGTTTTCATATCCAACGCACATTTTATATAGAATACCTTTACTAAATGGTGTGGTGTGCATAGTTATGCTGGTATTCGGTTCATGTACACCCTTCCATTCCACGCTTTGAAACAGAAAGATCCTGGTTCTGGTTACAATAGCATAATGTATTCTTGAACAAATCGAACTGCTTTTTATGGACTTTTTTTAAATATTAGCGTCTTAGCGCCATTATTAATTAGTAAAAATTATAGTTATGAATGTGCTGTCAAGAAGTAATATAGGTAGGAACAATTCATTCTTTTGGAACCTTACATGGAATACTATTTTCTAAGTCAATTATCATAACTATCAGCCATTGAAGACAAGATAACAATTTGAAACTCTAATACAAACAGATATCCTGCTGGAGGTCAATGGTCCAAGAATGAATGTACAACATGTGAATGTACATCTGGAGAAATATCTTGTGAAAAATCGTGCAAGTTGACTTGTGCAACTGGATCAGAAATTCTAGTATTGAATGAAGGAACAGACAGTTGTTGTTACTGCAAGGAATGTGAGTATTCGGTCTATGTAATGAATGCAAATTGAAAGCGTATTTATGCAACCTTTTTCTGCCACTGATAAAAGAAACAAAATTACTGGTGTTGTATGATATATTGGGAAAATTTATATTAAAAAATGATTTACATTATGAGTGATAATTAAGAGTATCCTTACAGTTATGAACTCATTAATATTGCTTCAATAGTTTGGCATGAGGTGATTGTAAGAATGATATTATTACCCCCATCCTCTCAATGACATCATATATGTTTCATTTGATAAATAAATCCTAGATGTTATATTTGATAAATAAAACTAGTGTTCTTGAGAATTCTCTCCTAGCATGACATTTGTTCGACCTATTTTTCATCACTTTTTTATATTACTTCAGTGCCAACCACCACACCAGCCATTGGAGTGACAACGACACCACCAGTCAATAAGGAAACAACCACTCCATTTGTCACAACACCAAGAACTTGTTCTGGATGCGTTGTTGCTGAAACGTAAGTTTGCATATATACATTTTCCCACATTACATCCTTATTAAGTTTCTCTCATTTTGAAATAAAATAAAACAACGCGTGCAATGATGTGTATTTATAATGCTGCTTATATACAAATATCATTTGATTAGAGTGTCTTCGCATGATTAAAAAATCTCAACAGCTTTCTTTTTTTCTTGAAAATACGTAAAAATGATGTTTTGTTCAATGAATTTTTTTTATCAAATTTGGAGGCCACATTGGAGTTAATTTGTCACCTTTCAAAATATATTTTATGTATTTTATTTATTCTGTAAATCTTACATGACACTGATTTCATTTATTAGTTGCGTGGATGTTGGAGCTAAGTGGGAACCAAACCCATGCGAGACTTGCACTTGTACGAATGAACTTGGCAGCACATCATGTGTACAACAAATATGTCCTGAGATCTTGTGTGAGCCTGGATTCAGATTAACAACTGTTGAAGGAGAATGTTGTCCAGTTTGTGGTAAGTCTTCAAAAAAAAAAATTAGATTATTTTGATAAGGGCATTGCAGAATCAGAAATTTTGATATTTGAATCATGATGGTATACTCAATAAAGTTGGCTCGCTAAGTATGTTTATTTTTTATTGTTGTATAATGCTAACTCTGGTAATGTTCAGATTTTTGCTACATATTGGATCTCTGCTCTAGGACACCCTTATTTTCATTCAGTCTGTCTATCTGTTTAGAATTTAGATGTAGCGTCTAAACAGCTGGATCGCCTAGATGCAATTTCTCACATGGGTTATCCTGTCACCCAAGCTGGGAGCATTCCACCAAGTCCGGTTTTATTTCCATGGCATCATCGAAAATATGTGCTAATCATTGGAAAACTTCCAATTATCTCACAATTTCTCATCAACTAAGTCTCAAATTAAATATCCAAGAATCATACCCTCTGCAGAAGAAAATACTTTTTTAAACAAACTGTCATACATCTTGATAATCTATAAACTGGGAAAATCTTGTGAATTATAGTAAACATGTTTTGATCATTATCCACGTCCAGTGCTTAAAATAAACTGTTAGTTCTGATAATCTGGTGACCGCAGTACACTGCCATTATAGGAGTTATTTTGCATGGAGGGTAACGGTTTACTGGCGTACGGGCTTCAAATATCAGCGGAGATCATGTGGGCGTACCGTCTTGTTCTCATAACGTTATACTCAAGCAGATGACATTATTTATATTCCATTTACAGACAAGCATTGTCCAGGAGAATTCCAATGTGATAATGAGAAATGCATTCCAATGAACTGGGTTTGTGATGGAAGAGAAGATTGTTCTAATGGAAAAGATGAGCAAAATTGTGAAACAACCACAACAACACCTATGCCAACCACACCAGTATCAGTTACTACTAAGATTGTATCAACAACTGAAGTTACAACTACACCAACAGGTAAATAGATACAAATGACTGTTTAGAATTTCCCAATATAAAGGATCATAAACAATAAGAGAACGAACACTGCTTGTCTGATGAAGTCTGATTTTGGTCAGATGAAACATTACAGAAATACATTTGTGTGAGTGTGCAGCAGGATTCTTGAATTGCATAGTGTGGTCATGTTCATTACTGCTACAGCACCCTTGCATTATAAGCATATGGATACACTAGCTCAAATGCATTGAGAAATGATTGGGAGTTAGTCTTGCATAACTTGTACTGATAGTTACATTTATATAATACTGGTAGTATTTTATAAAGTAGTATTGATTCATTTATTATTTCCAATTTGAATGCTGAATGGAATTTCAACAGTCTTTTTTTATTTTCAAAATTATTATTATTCTATTTTACCAGGCAAGGGCAACTTTCATGGAATAAAATTTTGCTATCAAGGTTTTTTTTGGGTAATCAAATAAGTTGAATGTTTTTATATTTTTTTCGTTGTTTTCAGGAGTTACTGGATCACCTAGTCCAGCTGTAACTACTGAAGTGACTGAATCTACAACTGGAGAAGGTAAGATGAAGTCCATTTCAATGTTCTTTGTACTTTACTATTCATATGCATGCATGCATAAATAAGTAATAGTTAATTCCAAATCTATCACTATAAATTATGATACCAATATTACGATGTCAGTATCTATTTCAGTCTTTTTCCATTGATCTTCGAGTTTCAATCTGCGACTGTTTGGAAAAAATGAGTACATATTTGAAAAGTTATTTATTGCCTTCTGAACTTTCTCTGCATTATGATCGAGACTAATCAGGATATGCTATATAAATTTTTCAGAAGAAACAGAGAAAACTACTCCTGCTACTACCAAGATGGCTAATCCTACAACCAGCTCAGCAAAGACCACACCAAAATCGACACCAAGTGTTTCAACAACATCTGCAAGTGTTGAAGAATCCACAACGAAGAAACCTGTTATTACTTCTGAATCAGCAATGACAACGATACCTACAGAAACTACAACATCTAGTTCCAATGTGACTACTACTACAGGATGTAAGATTTTGCATTTTATTCATGTAAAAATGGGTTTATAACGTGTGTTATTTTGTTTCTTGTTATTCGATTTACATTGTATTTAATTCAAGATTAGTATGTTTGATTTTGCATTGATGAAGTTTAAAAAAAAAACTACAAATTGTTCGTGTATATGAAACAAATACCGGTAACTGGGTAAATAATCCAATACACATTATGGACTGGTAATCAGACAAGCGGCCATGGTACGTCATCGACTAACCTCTCCCTCAGGATAAATATGAATCCTACCCCATTATGATATATCGGTTAGAAAATTCTCAAAAATATTTTGTATACCTAGATAAATGCTAATAGAAAAATCTCTCATACAGGGTATATGTTATATATTATAGATTGCAAATGGTGAATCAGTGTACAAATATGTATTTCGAAATAAGTTATAAAATCTGGATTAATTTTGAAGTTATCTTAACAATAATCCAGTCTATAAAAATTTAACAAACCAGCACAACAATATATTCACAATGCAAGCAACTTGTTTCGACTTCTGGTAATTTTACAGCAATCCCTAATATTTCAAATTGAAGCCTATATGTACAAAATTTTACTTCATGTTCAATTTTTCAAATATTCTGTCTAAATGTCAACTGCTTTTACAGTCTATTGTGAACCACCATTCATACCTGCTGGTTGCCGATGCCCACACACATGTGAAATGGAAGCACAAGGAAAATCTTGTCCAAAGATATGCATACCTGGATGTCAGTGTCCGGATGGTCTGATAGAAAGCAATGGAGAGTGCATTACTATTGAAGAATGCCCATGTTACGTTGAGGAAACTGGAACACTCCATGCTGTAAGTTGTAAACACTGGTTTATTAATTTGGAAAATGGGAATTTTGGAGAATAAATTTCCTATTACTTCAATCTTATTATATTTTTGGCTACTTACAGATGAATGAAATCATTTCTGTGAGTGAATGTGAAACATGCCGATGTGGATTCAACAAAGTCATCTGTGATATGGCTTGCAACCTTGAATGTGAAGAAGGAAAAGAACTGGTTGAAGAACCTGGAAAATGTTGTTACTGCAGAGAACCTAAATGTGTATATGAAGATGTGTATTATGAGGTTTGTTTTTTCGTAAATTGTTTACAAATACATTTTTTATTTATTGTCACATATGGTTAACTTAAAAATTCCAAATTTTTATTTTTTGCTGTTTATATTCATCTTATAAATTACTATGGCAAAATGTTCATCAATACCTCCCAAAGAGCAAAATTATTTGGCTTATGGCTTTACTGTTATCATTATGCTAAGCACTGATTGAACTTTGCCTTTGTTTATTCTGCTTGGAGCTCACAGGTCCAAAATGTAAGAAAAAATCTCAGAGACTCCAACATCGAAGTTTAGTTTACAGAATCACTGGTTACATATGGCTTCTTTGCCTAGCATTGCTATGCATCTAAAATGTTGTACTGCTCTAATATTCTTAAATTCAATTTGGAATAGTAACAAAAGTGAAAAAGAGGTTCTTTTATTGGCCATCTCTTCCTAACAGGATAAATACATAATTTAAATTCTCTTCTCTAAAATTAATTGCAGCATGTTTTCAGGCAACGAAAACTCATTAAAAGTTTTTTATTATTAAAGTGAACCAGTGCTATTAGTGTCATTTCCTTATTACCTTATCATAAGATTTTATTGTATTTAAATTATTATTTTATTTTGCAAGGCTGATCAAGTTTGGTATCCTGATAACTGCACAATTTGCAAGTGTGATGATATGACTGGAAAACCAAGTTGCGGAGAACATTGTCCACTTTCTTCTTGTGATGAAGGCCATGAACTTGTCAATGTTGCCCCCGACGATGGCGTTTGTTGTACATGCAGACCAAATCAATATTGTGTTGATAACACAGGCGCCTTCCGAGAGGTAAAACTTGTTTTTTTTAGGTTGCAATCTCAATCTTTCTAGTTTTAGTTCAGCAGAGGCATATATTTTGTAATAAAATCTTTATTTTAAATGTATTCTATCATCCTGTATTGTTGATACTTTTTATAAAATAAAACGTTGTATAAGCCTTCCACTCAGCACAAGACTCCGTGCAAACTGCTTTTTCCAGTGCATCATTATCTACCGATTCATTACACCCTTGATGAGGTTGTGTGGGATTTGAACCGGAGATATTAAATTTGCGAAACCAACATAGTTAAGTCCATCCATTTAATGTTGGTAAACTTTGCAATAGCAACCAAAATATTCATTGTTACGAATAAATTGAATTTTGTAGCAATTTCAGTCTCAATTTATGAATGTAACTGATTGTTCTATTTATATTTCAAATTTATTTACTCTTAGGTTGGAGATACTTGGTCTGTTGGACCTTGTGAACAATGTTTGTGTGATAGTGCTGGACAAACAAGATGCAATTTAATGTCTTGTGCAGCTTGTCCTGAAACTCATGACGCTGAATATGTTGAAGGCCAATGCTGCCCTAACTGCATTGAGCGTAAGATACCTACTACAAGTAAGTGAAGAAATTTTTGTGTTACAACAAAGATATCACATTTGAAAACATTTTATAATTGCATTCAATTGGTGAATTCTGCATACTGATTACCGTATTTCCCGACTAATACCATAAGTTTACCGCAAATGGGACGAAGTCTATTTTTAGCACTGAAAAAGAGGGTTTGTCATGTTTGAGAAAACTCATGCAAAAAATGAGAACAAAAAATAAATAAAATAGTTGCCCAATAAGATCCGCCACCCCCCCCCCCCCCCCCCCCCCCCCCCCAAAAATTAGGCCAAAAAATTGGGTTCAGAAAATAGTCTTGATAGCCGGAAAATACGGTAGTACCTTTCTGAAGTGAGAAAGTTCTGATGTTCGATGAGAGGTTGTCAATTCATTGGTTACTGAGTGATACTGTTTAAGTTGTATTTCATTCAGAGCTTCCATACTTTTATGTTATACTGCCGACATGGTGATGTTATATAATTATAGTATGTCAAGACTGTGTTGTCTTTAATAATGGTTTGGTCACACACATTCTGGGTGACCGCTACAAGTGTTGATGACAAATGTAGGAATTGTGAATATTAAACAGTACACTTTTTTGGGCTCATTCATCAATGTTCTGCAATAATAAGCTATTCATACATAATATGTCAAAAAGAGTTACTTTTCAAATTATGAAAAATAATATATGTATTTTATTTTTATTCAATAAAATTGTACTTGTTCTAGCTACTCCAATACCAACTACCACAGTCACTCCACCTATGCCATGTAGCAATGATTCTTACACTTGTCAACCCGGTGAATGTATTCCTAAAGAAAAACTGTAAGTTATATTTTATGTTATGTCATTATATTTAAATCGTATATACTTCTTTGAATATAACTTTACAGAAATTATTAAATTATTTATTAAATAATAATATATTGGTAAATTTGACATCACTTTGTTACATCAAAAATTAGTGGATATTAATGAAAATATTATCATCTTGTTTCTCATTTTACCACAGATGTGATGGTGTGACAGATTGCGTCAATGGTATTGATGAATATTATAGAATATGTACAACTACAACTACATCAATTATGACTACAACAGTTGGTCCACCAATCTCTGAAACTACAAGTGGTCCAGGAGTTCAAACCACGACATTTGGTGGACCAGTGACAGGAGAGCAGTCTACAATTACAACAGTTGTGGTATGTTAGTTAACTAGTTTTATTGTAACCTTCATGATTTAATACTAGCGAATTACAAATCATTGTAAAACTAAAACTGTTAAATAAATTGCTGAATGAAGGAATGAATGAATTTGTCCTCAAAATATCTAATAATATATCTGTTGACATACCGTAATAGATTTATTTGTAAATCAAGGATCAGTAATTTATTATTTCTAATTGTAGACTAATGGCGTTGTTCTGTGCAGAATTGAATTAAAAAATTAAACCTATTCCACACAGGTGACCACTCCAGAATACTGTGAATATAATTGTGATAATGGACAATGTCTACCAGATATTTCATTGGTTTGTGATGGCAAAGTACAATGTTCAAATGGCAAAGATGAGATGAATTGTGAGAAAGGTACAAACACTAATGTTCTACTCATCATGAAGAATTAAATACATACTTATGACGAGCTACTATTATTTGTAGGGACCAAATTTCTCCCAGTTGGGCATTGCCTACTCAATTCATCACTCCCCTGGTGAAGTGGGGGCATGGGATTTGGATCTAAGATGTGTAATCTGCAATGCCAAGTCTAACAAGTTGAATAATATTTTTTTAGATACAACAACACCAAAAGTACCTACAACACCTGCTGCACCAACAACAACACCTCCTATTACAAAATGTTCAGATAAATGTTTGTGCATGTCCAGTTGTGATGGCTCTACTGATGCATGTGGCCCTCTCTCTGAATGCGACATGAAGTAGGAAAAACTTTCACTTTTATATTATGGTATTAACACGTAGCAAATCATGGAATATAATAAAAAATGGAAATTTCTGATAATTTTTCTATATAAACGTCAGTGGAACATATGCAAAAATGCCCTACATCTAATTAATTCTGATATAATTAACAGCTGCGAATGCCCAGCATCCGACCTTAACACTTATGACCGTGCAAACTGGAGATGTATTCTTCCACCGCCGGCTATATTGTGCAATGTACAAACAACTACCAGTGTACAAGTAGCATCGACCACAACTCTGCCTACAACTCCTGTACCAGTAGTAACAACTGCTCCTTTAGGTAAGTGGGAACGTTTTTTCAGCTCTTTCAGCTCTATTCGAAAAAATTATAGAGAGAATACATCATTCATATGCTTATTTCCTTCATAGCAATTTTATTCATTGATTATCCTAGAAAACTTTCACTATGAATAAGGCTCAATGCAAGCTTGCATTACCATGTAGTAGGGCTGGGCATTTCGAATGGAATGGTAAATTATCCGAATGGATTTAGACGATCTGTCCGCCATAGGTCAAGGTAAAAATTTCCTAATTGTTTTCATTGGAGCCGTATTTCCTGACATAAGACTCTTATCTTCCTAGCGAGTTATTGACGGAACAACATGTTTTTATTGTGTGTGAACGCTCAGCAAACTGTATCAGTGATGGATTCTATGTTTTCAGTAATTAATTTATATGTTGAGAGGACCAATTACAATAAAAAAGTTACATACAGTTACATATCTCCCAAGTATTCAAGATTCGATTTGAAATAAAAAAATGTTGTATTCGATTCTGGAATCATCGGGTTTCTGAAAATGCCCTAGTTTCATTATGGGCTACTTTATTTTGGAAGGACTTGAATGTTTTTGGTTCAACATTGCTTACCCAATTGGGTGAGCATGGGATTCCAAGACGATATTTAACCTGTGAGGCTAACATAGCTAATCACAATGTTTTAACCAATACCATTATTCATTTATCTTTATATGATAGAAATCTTAGACCTTGTGGTAATTTTAATACATAGTAATATTTTCCTCATCTACGGTTTTTCAAATAAAAGCTACACACTTTATGAAACATTATTGTTTAAAATGTTTCTTTAGTAAGGTAAGATACGAACAAAATATGTATCGATATCGTCAATATGTACTGGTAATATAAATTAAATATTCGTAAAGCTATATGTATATAATGTAAAGCCTGATTGGGAAGGAATGAAAAGAACCTTATAAAAAGTAAAAGGAATAAAAAAGAAAATCTATTTTTTTCAGGATGCACCAAATGCACTTGCCAACTATCTTGTGAAGATGAAAGCGCAGGAACTATTCCACCAAATTGTATTGAACAACAACCAGATTATTGTGAAAATTGCCCATGTCCTGCAGGAACTTATAGAGACCCATCTGGAAGTCTTTTGTGTTTGCAAACACCTGATGATGGATCTTGTGGATGTGTTGTTGATGGTGTTGAGTATGAGGTAAAAATTATACCTCACTACAAGTTATTTTTCGGGAATCTTTCTGTAAAGAATTTGTAAATAGTATTGAGGAATAAAATAGGATTCCATACTTATCTCGAGAGAGGAGGAAGTCAATAAACGACTTAATGACAACCGCTCGACTAGTTACCAGTCCACGTCAGGTATGGAATTAGTTAGCCAGTCATTTGTCTCAGATGATTGGACATGATGCGGAGAAAGCTGTAACAAACGACCGGTTATACTCTATGGTGGCGAGGAGTCCAGCAATCCTCTGGCACTATTACTGCCATTTGGAGCAGAAAATATGATTCAATCCATTTTAATATTTCAATGGTTACTAACTGTCATATTTCCTTTTTATTTAGGATGGAAGCATCTATTGGAAAGGAGATTGCGAAAGATGTGCTTGTATTTCTGGTCAACAAACCTGCTTCCCTGGACAATGTAGACTCACAGAATCTATTTGCTTGGCTCAAGGAAAAGTACTTCGTGAGGTATAATATTTGCGATGGCATGGTATTCATAGTTTTAGCCCGAATACATTCATTTATCAGCTTGTATTCTAGTAATCTCAAAACATAGATGCTACTTTACCATGGCAATTGAATTACCTTTTCAATATTGCAGTATTATTTTAAACTCTATTTATGAATATATATATATGTTGATCTGATGGTTTCAAAATGAATTATTTAATAGTATACTTTTTTTTATACCATATTTCTTATTTCATTGCTTTACAATTGTTTTCACAGGAACGTGGGGAATGTTGTGAGTGTGTTTCAAGAGCAATAACAACAACAACAGAGAAAACAACCACTACTACTCCTAAACTTGTTACAACATCTGGACCATGTAAGTGTTCTAGTGATTGTAATGCTTTGATAATTACTTTGTATTATTGGATAAAGAATGAAACATGATTGAGTCTTAAGTACTCTATTGTTCAAATCATATTCACGAAATAGCTAATAGTTTGTTTAATTGAGTCGTTATGGTTTTGTCATATATAAAATACCAAAATTCCTTTGGTCGTAACGTAATATCATATTTTATATTTGCATCAGCGCATTGTCAAATCCTCTTTTATTGTACATTTAGACTAGTTTTTTAATGGATACTAATACAATAAAAGGAACCAATTCTTGACTTGAAAACCACGTCAACCAAGTCATTAGAATCATAGACTAGAGTCTAAATTTGTATTTTTCTATCCAAGAATGAGATAACATTCAAATATCTCAACATAATATTTTTAGACTGTGAGACGGTTTGCACCAAAGAAGTAACATGCGAAGACTTGAGAAACTTCAATCCATTCAGTCCACCTGACTTTGGAGAATATGACACTTTCCAATGTGAACAATGTGATTGTCCATCCACAGCACCTCAAGGTAATTAGATGTGATGCAAGTGATGGATACTTTACCTAATCAGATATTTTTCTTATATGTTGGATCTTTGCTGTGGGAGGCTCTCATTTTCAGTCATTAGGTCTGCCTGTGTTGTGTCATTTGTCTGTCTGTCTATGCGTCTGGCTGTAGCGTCTAAATGGCTGTACCCCTCTGTATGAAATTTCTCGCAAGGGTTATCGGGTCACGCTGGTAATGTGCATTTCATCAAAAGTCCGGATTGATGTTTTATTTTCATGGCAGCAGCAAAAAATGTGCTGAACGTTTGCAAAATTTCTCGTCATTTTTTAGTCAAACTGGAAGTCATTAAAAATTTAAATTTTAAAAATGTTGTGGAAGAAAATACTCTTTCGAACAAGTCGTCTTTAATTTCCATAACTGGGGAAACCTTAGAAATTTCAGTTACCATATTTAGATTACTTGTATACCAGACAGGGATGCTGAGAGATGAACACTACTTAAAATGAACTGGTGGTTTTGGTAACCCAATCACTGCATTACACTAACATTGTATTTCTGCCATTTTACATGGATGGTAACAAATCGCTGGAGTGCTACTAAGGGTAGGATCTATTACCACTCTTTTCCCATATTTTCAGATCCGATGTGGAATACTGGTCTCTGCTTGAAAATGCCTGAATGTGAAGGATGTGTATATGAAGGAGCAGAATATCCAGTTGGTACTAAGTTCCCAAGAGGTACATGTGAGGAATGTGAATGTATTATGGATGAAACTACTGGTTCTGTGACAACAAAATGTTATGAAAAATGCAACCTTATGACATATGATTGCACAAGTGTAAGTAACGTAGTAAAAATAACTGTACAATTTTTTTTGGTTATGCACGGATTTGCTAACTTATTAATTTGAATGTAAAACGGTAAGCTATTTCATGACCTGCTAGTGATGTTTATTGGAAATTTATTATAGTTGACCTTTTTCAAATATTTTTACATATATATTATATTTTGGAATTTAAATGATCATTAAAATTTTTTAATTTTCCATTATTTGCATTATGCTGAAAACGATAATCTCAATGATGAAGCCAATAATCTTCTGCCACAAAGTGCTTGAATTTAGGGCAGAGCGATGGCCTAGTTGCATTGAACTTAATTGTGTTGCCATCGCAAGTTACTAATCTTATGTTCAAATCCCCTGATCTCCATAGAGAACTTGTGTAGCTTGTTATGTACAATGCTCATCTTGGATAGCTGCTAAATGCAACATTGTCTTAACAGAAGGGTATGATACTGTTGAACGAGCCCGGTGTTTGCTGCAAGTGTGTTGCTGCACCAACCACAGAGCCAACATCCACAGCACCAACCACTCCTAAATCAACAACACCATCTGGACCCGTCTGCGATGAATCTTGTGTTATTGAACTTACATGTGAAGAAAGTGTGAGTATACTGTGTCTTATATTTTGAATTACCGGTAGATAGATAGTTTATTTTGAAATACACACATAATAAAAATGGATATTTCTTGAGGGGGGGGCAAAAGTTGAAAACATGAAAAATATCACGTGCCTGCTTTCCAGCATAAACACACACAAAAAAATTATAAAAAACACAAACCTAGTTAACCATACTTTGGCCAGTAATAAACAAGCAAAAAATCCGTGAATGTATGTGAACTTTCGGGATGTTGTAACTTTGAAACACTTAAGAAGCTAATAATGACCAATACAATCTGATATTAATACATCAATACATTTTTAATGCATTTGTTTTATACTTTCTATGTAATGTACATAGCAAAATCTGTAAATATATTATATTTATATAGAGAACATATGAACCTGGTTCTTCTGCTCCATTTGAAGTTGATGCTGAAAAATGTGGATTGTGTGCCTGTCCATCTGGTACTATTGAAGACGATACTGTATGGGAAACTGGAATGTGTTTGAAAATGCCTGAAGATTGTGAAGAACCTTGCAGAGTAGGAGATGTTGTGCATGAGGTAAGATTAGCTGGCCTCATTTATATTTTGGACACAAAGTGGACGTATAGATCGTTTTGGCATTATGTTGTTTTGTTATGAAATCGCTTTTCTCTTAAATTACTGGCCAAATTGCTTTGAAATTTTCAGTGATTGAAGATTGTTCTTGTCACTAGAAGGCTATCAATGCAGTGGAGCCAACTAAACAAAGAGTTGTGGCTTGCCATTTGATTGAACTCTTTTGCTGGCTTTATTTTAGAGCTGACAAAACAGGAATTTTATATTGTATCTTTATAAATGTAAATCTCAATATGATTTAAATGTATAAATTTAAAAAAGTGTTGATTTAAAACTTTGTTTTAGGTCAATACAACATACTTCAAGGGAGAATGTGAAGTTTGTAAATGCTTATATGAAGATGGCTTGTACAAAGAAAATTGCGCTCCATTCTGTAAACTCACTGATCAAATTTGTTTGGCAATGGGAAAAGTTCTGTTGTCTGGAGATGATATTTGTTGCAAGTAAGTGCTCATGCAGGGTATACACATCTATACATTTATACTGTGATTGATTCCACTGGGATAATTAAAGACATTAACACATTATTTTGAATTCAAAAACAATTCAAGAGGTTTGATATTGCCATACATAAATTATTTGCAGTGACTCATTGCCAACTTCTAATATTTGATTCTGCTAAAGCCGCAAAATTTTTAGAATACTTCATGAATACAGGGTCACCCAAAAAAACAGAATTAATAAATTACTTCATAAAAAATGAAGAAATTCATCTAACATTTAAACTTTTGTTTGTGTATAAATGTATCAAAAGTTTCAGTAATTTAGGGCGCTTTCCACACAAGTTATGTTTTTAGAATATGTTCCAAATGACTTTTATTTTTAAATCATCATTTTGGAAGGAAATTTTATGAGAGAAACTAAGAGCATAGCAACCAAAAGCTCTTTATGGTTTTTAAGTTTACATTTCACTGACTGACTTTACTTATCATACCAGGTGCGCACCACCTACTCCAGAGACAACCACTACCTTGAAACCTGTTGTAACTACAACTGAAGGTGAATCAGAAGAATCTACAACGAAGAAACAAGGTGCACCAACTTCTCCATTAACCACTCTTACCAAGAAACCAATTGTTACCACAACTGAGGGACAAAGTGGTGAGACCACAACTGCAGGACAAGGAGGTGATACCACAACTGCGGGACAAGGAGGTGAGACCACAACTGCAGGACAAGGCGGTGAGACTACAACTGAAGGACAAGGCGGTGAGACAATAACCAAAATTGATCCTAGTGAAGTAATCGTTTCTGAAAGCTCACCATAAATTAATCACTTAGAATAATTAATTCTAATAAGTACTAGCATCAATGGTTACAAAATACATGTCTATAGTTTTTTTTTAAAAGATAATTCTGTATTTTGCTTAACAATTTTAAGATGCTAAAATATACAATTGCTGGAGAACTGGAAGCTCTTGATAAGTCCTGAGTCCAATGTTCTCTTGTACATGAAAGTTAATGTTGCTTTAATACAAACATGAAATAAAGAAAAATATAAATTTGTTCAGGTGTCAGTACAACTCCAGCTATTGTGTCTACAACACCTCTTCCAGAATGTCTACCTGAATGCGAATGCCAGCTACCTTGTGATGGAGACCAATCCGAATGTCCAGCCCAACCTGGATGTACTTCCAAATGTGTTTGCTCTGACAGGTAACATATTGGATATTTCCATAAATTTTTTTGCGAAAAACACTATGTGTTAACTTCAATGGTTGTGTTTACAGTTCGGCTTTGAGAATCAATGGACGTTGTGCCATAAAGCCAGAAGAATCATCATGTGTTACTGAAACAACAACCGTACCTATCGTTACCACCAAAGTTCCAGAAAAATCAACTACACCTAAAACAGGAATTTGTGAGGTAGCATAACACATGTTTTTCTATTATCATTTATTATTTTGAACAATATAACATAATATAATTCAAGTCCACTTATATAGAACAATTAACTAGTTATCTTTTACCTTTCCTATCTCTCGAATACACATTAAAAAAGCCATCGTTTATCAAAGTAACCTATCACTGTTGGAAGCTGATAATTGATATTTATAGGTAGAAATATATTTATTTTTCAATGTTTCAATGTGGTTTAAACATAACATTCTATTTAAAATTACCAGGATGGAGAAACACGTGAAGATCCAAGTTCATGTCAAGTTTGTACATGTGAAGATAACAAGTTTGTCTGTGAATCAGAATGTTCACTGACTTGCGATGAAGTATGTATTATTGATAGAAAAATATTATTTTATTTTTTTTGTTCTGAATGCAAGATCGTATTGAAATTGTTTTGAATCTAATGAAAATTATGATACTTTTTCAATCAATAATTTTATATGATATACCTCAAAAAATAGTACAATTCTTATATTCAAGTCAGAAAATATCCTCAGGTTCAGAAAAGTTTCGGCGGTTGGAACATCCTTCTAAGAATTAGGAATATGCTTGCTATCACACCCCGACATTGTACCCAATATTGTAGAATGGTTTATAAAACCGCTGGTCGATTACAATTTCCTCCATAATCAAGTCCATACATCTGAAACCAATAACTGGCTAACTAGTTACATATCTGACATGAACGGATAACTGAATGAAAATGGTACATCATATGATTAGGCCTTCATATCGTCATAACATTTTATATACCTAAATACTGTAAAATTAAAACTTCTGCTATATGAAGCTCTCATTGGAGGAGGCTATAAAAAACCATATATTTATTTGAATCCACATTTGTTAAGTAGTTGAAAATACATGTGATCAAAGTTTTGATGTTTTGTTTATAATTCGTCAGGGATATACTCTCGTCAGTTTCCCTGGAATATGTTGCTACTGCTGCCCTGGAACGAAAACTACAACAACAATTCCATTTGTCTCAACAACGAGCAAACCAGGAGTTGTAACAACTTCGGAATCAGTTGTATCTACCACGTCAGGAACTGGAATTGTATCTACTACTAAAGAAATTGAAAAAACCACGGGAGAAACTAAGGAAACAACGACTGTAAAGCCAGGTGCTCCAACTTCCGCAACAACAAAGAAACCTCCGCCAACAACTACTACTATTGGTCAAGGTAATTGGATTTTTTGATTTAATTTTGTGGAAAAGCTTCTAAAATTTGATCTTTAGATCTCTAGTCTAAATCTTTTTTGTTGAATCGATTGTGACACACTTGTCAACACACTCTTGGTTAAACTGCACAAAGTCACTGGCTGTTATTATGCATAAGATGGTTGTTGTTAAACTATTATTCAAACACAATTATATATTGAATATACGGTTTAATTTATAATTGTAAAAGAATATGTAAAATTAACTTTGAATTTGTGTAATTTTAGGTTTTTCTATTATCGTCATTTGATTTTATACATAACTTATGCCTTCGAAGCAAAAGTTTTTCACTATTTAATATAGATTTTAAAGTAAGAAAATGTTCAATTTGACCAGGTGAATCAACAACTACCATTGTCACTGTTGTAACGACACCGAAAGTTCCACAAAATTGTTCATGGGATTGTAAATGCTTTGTCACTTGCGAAGATCAACAGATACTTGTAGAAAGTAAGAAATATTTACGGTAACAATAGTTTTATATGGCACAATGGCAAGTTCTGATAGTTTCAAAATTGTGACAAGCACAAATGTGACTATCATTGCTTGGAGATTGACATCACTGAATGGATAATCACATGATAACTTGTTTAATTTACAGTAATATGTTTCTCTATGTATGTTACAAAACAGTATTTAAAATTGGTCAATATGTAACAATTGAAGACCTGAAAAATTACATCGACAAAAAATAGTTTTATATAATTTTATGATTGGTTCACTCGAAAACTTGATGGCCTTGCCATTAAAAAGTAATATGACATCACATTTAGAATTACGGTATGACAAATCCTGTAAATTGTTCAATGTGCTTTCCATTTATCTAGACCCTAATTATGCTCATTAACACACACAATGTTAAGATGTATCATACTGTCTGTGCTCCTTTCTTCTCTCAATTCATTATTCTGTATATGAATGCTGTTTTTTTCTTTTTACCCATTAGATCAAATTCCTGCACGATGCTCTGGTGTATCTGAAAAATGTGATCTATGTTTGTGTGAAGAAGGTTACATTAAAGATCCAGAAACAAAGAAATGTATCAAATATGACAACGACTGTAAAACGCCAATTTGTGATATTGGAATGGAGGTAAAACGTGATTAAATGAAGTGGAATTTTTCCATGAGAATGTATTCTATTATTATGATTAATCCCAATAGCCCAGCTGTTGAAGTGTTAGATTTAACTGTGTTGGCATTGTAGATTACACATCTTGCGTTCAAATCCCATGCTCCCCACATATTCCCAAAGCAAAAGGTGTGAGTTAATACTGTATAAACAAATTAAAATCTGTAATATGGTATTTTAACAATTTGATCCCATTAAAAAGCTATGTAAATTTGATGACAGAGCTAACTTTGGTGAACAAATTTTAGATCCTAATTCTATTCCTTTTGCTTAACAACTGCTTTCTGTTCAGCCCAATGAAACATTCTGGAAGGGAGATTGCCAGCTTTGTGAATGTGTTGAAGGAGTTGAACAATGTCAAACAAATGTATGCAGACTCACAGAAGTATCATGTGCTGCTGAAGGAAAAATTTTGATGAACATTCCAGGTTTGTTCAGCTCAACATTTGAAAATATGGCTCATTTATGAACGCAATTTTAACCCAGTGTAATTACCGGTAATATCACTTACTGGGAATATAAAGAATGAATATCATTTGTATTTAGAATTTACATAATTCTTCATTTCATCAGTGCATTGCGTTGCACAAATGTAACCAAAGAGTAGATTCAATTGTTACAAGCCTATTTGTATCCAAATGAAAATAATTGAGCCTTCTATTTTGCAATTTTCTGGCAATTTTGATTGTTTGTAACACAATATCAGTCGATGTTTTCCAGCCAGCTAATAAACCATCTGTCATATTTCAGGTTCATGCTGTTATTGTGCACCAAACAATGTAACTATAACTACAACTAAACCCGTAGTAGTCGAAACAACAACAAGACCACCTTCTCAAGAATGTATTATCAATGGCATCAACTATGACAGACCAGCAGTGAGTAAAAATTTTGTATTTTAACTATCACAATATGTCTTAGAGTACTTAGAGTACAGTTTCTCAATGCCAAGTTTAGGCATATTGTCATTATTTGATGCAATATGATTTACAATAAAATGCTGATTGTTCTGACGGTTAAGTGAATCAAGTGGGGAAACCTGGGACTAAATATTCTATTAGTTTCAGTGATGGAAAATTATTATCAAATGCAAGAAACTTACATGTTTATATCAGTTCAGTTCTACTTGAAATGTTGGAAATTGTTGAAGCATCTACTGTACATAATAGAGAGGAATGACCAATTTGTTTTGCTCTGCTTTGTAGAATATTAGATTCAATAATGTAACATTTATATATATGCCATTTAATAATTTGAATATGTTATTTGTATTTTAGCCTGACAATGTATGGATGGAAGATGCATGCACCATATGTATGTGTGTTGATGGTGTTAAAGAGTGTGAAAAAGAATGCAAGATTACAAGCTGTCAAGCTAATGAAGTTTTCGTCAATGGCACAGAAACTGAATGCTGTCGATGTGGTATGTGTGTTTTTCTTTCTTTTACTACAGCATTATTTGAGTGGCGAGTTATGGTGGCGACACGCTTGTCACTGCACTTTTCCATGTCCCTGATGGCAGGGAGTTGGGGAATCAAACTAGAACATTGTACTCGATACCATCTATTTACAAATCTTTAAAAAATTTTTTAATAAACTTTGTATTTTTCAGAACCAGCTCCAGTATCACAATGTCAACCATCAATTAGATTGGCTCAAGTTCAAATGCCAGAATGTTATACCGCCGAAGAAATTGAATTGACTACTTGCAGCGGAAACTGTCCATCTCACTTCAGCGCTGTTGCTTATCCACCATACATGGAGGTAATATATCATCAAGTTCATATTTAGGCCAGTTTGCAAATTTATACATGGCCTATTCTTAATAAAGTCAAATAGCTTTATTGTTATACAGGGTGTCAATAAAGTCAATAAATTATATTTAATAAACACTACCGGTTATTAAAATAAAACAAACCTAGGATATATTTCGAACTGACTTCGTAACAAAATTGAATTGTAACAGAACTTTATGAAGACCCTGAGTAATCTACACACGAAAATAGTTGATATATGACTTTCAAAGTTTAAAATTTTGTTAAATGGTGCAATGGCTTTTTTTGTCTTCATTCTAGTCTAGTGTAGTGTACTGTAAATTCCATGTTCCAGGTATACTTTGGAACAGAGCATGTCCCTTTATATATACAATCCAATTGCGAAATTGTTTTTTTTTTCATGCGAGCTTGTGGTCTCCTCTCATTAATGAAATATAATCATAGAACTAAAATAAATATACAAATGTGCCACAATGTATCCTTATCTTCTGCCATCCTTATCTTAACAATTTCTCATGTTTAGGTTGAATGTACTTGCTGTAAACCTGTTACAGTCGAGAGTAGACAAGTCTCAATGAACTGCAACAATGGAACAGTGGTTATTGTCAATGTACCAAAGATTACAGAATGTTCATGTAATGAATGTGAATACAATCCTTTCGCACCATAAACAGGTAAATATTATTCTGTTTTTAGCAAATAATTCAAGATGACAGGCTGCAAGACATTACATTGATGCCTTATGAAATAAAAGTTGAGACATGTATTGTAGATAATTGGGTCAACTGACAAATAGTTTAGGAAATTGTTGTCTAGGACCTAGGTTGACAATCCGATTATGTCAAATTTTTAGTGACCAATTTCTGTTTATAATTTTTTTTTAGGCAATATCAGGTTGCACTTTACAATGAATTTTGAGAAGCTCGTTTAATTATAGAAATATATCATATGGGGAACTTCCTATTTTCGACAATATATCAAATTTTAAAACTCTAATTAATTTTTGACAGATTATCTTCGAATAACTGACCGATCAATCGAAGACCGACGATGAAAACCGTTGTACATAAACCATTTTATTTTTTTCTTCGCATCGCACATATATTCCCATTATTAGCATTATCACTTTCATTGCATATGTAGTATATCTTACTTCAAGAAGCACTTACTTTCTGAACTTGTTCTCTACCACAAATGAATATTTCTAACAACATAATTCATTTCATGGATTTACAAGTCTATGATTGTTAATTATACCCACTGTATCACTTTAGTGTCGAAACGCCTATAACTTTTGGCCGACAGGTGCAATAACTTCAATAGAAACATGTTTTTGTTATTCTTCTAGTTCACAATGCTCTATCGCTTTAATAAAACTTTCTGCATAAAGTTGTGTGAATATTTGATGGTTATGACAGGTGGGTAAAGCAAGATAATGCCGTTTCTCATGTAATATGTCGAAGACGCATTTGACATATTCTATTAGAGCTTGGAGTGGGATTAGTTTTCACTCGGATCGGCGATCCTCCTAAGAAACAAAAAACAGTGACGTCTACCTGAATGGACCTGATCTCGCACAGTTTTAAGAGAAGCTTCACAACAATCATGTCATTCAGTTTGTAATACAATTGGGGCCTCCAAGCAAACTGAATATTCGAAATCGAATCGCAAAATTTGCCTAATCATTTTTCGGCTAATTTGCGAATTGCTAAGATGATGTGTCATCAAACTAGCTCTGATTTTGCGACCTCCCTAAATGTAATTTTTAATTCCTTGGGCAAAAGTTTTATCTATATTAATGGTTGTTCATCATTTTGCCAAAAATTACACAAAAAACCTTGCGAGTTAAGACTAATGATAACAGGGTTAAAATAGCACCTACAGGCTTTGCATGCCCTATTAAAACTTAATCCATTAGAATTGAGTAAATAAGGTATTGAGAATCACTGCAATTCACAACTCTCAACAGTTTTTATAGTACAATAGAAGTAAATTTAGGATTGTGCAATAATATTCGATTTTGGACAGCCCAATCAGAGATTTTTAATGCATTTCCCCCTCTCGAATAGCAAATGGCTTCACATGTCCACCAGGGTTATAAAAATTCTTTTAACCACCAGAAGCAATAATTGTGGACAGTGGTAATCAACCAAGCTGTAATCCTGTAGAGGCACTTGCGAAAATGGGCACTGCTGAAGGTATTCTATTCAACAATTAAGCTTTGACAGAAAAATAATTGCACAGAATGTATTTATATATTTTACATTTTTATTAAATTAGGCTTGTGGTGTTCAAGAGACATTACTAGATACAATTTTGCACAAATGATGATAATTTTCATCTTGAAAATATGATGAAAAACATGAAATAAGCAGCAATCTTGTTCCATCAGAGTCAGTTTGGGCAATATATATATATAAATCAGTTCCAATTAATCCACCAGTGCACCAACACAAACTTGGCAACTTGGTACATATAAATGGGCATCAGACCAAATGTAGGTTTTACTCCAATGAGAATACTATGAAATCAGACGCAACATTCCAGCCTGATATTTTGGAATTCACATTGTTTAACATAGAGATATAAGAATTCCTCCTCAACAAGGCTGAATTATGAATATTCAAAAACTTATAATTTCGTTGTGGTGAATGATTGAATTTTGGCTTCACTTCTCCGTCGAATACCATCATTTGATAAGTTGGCTTCAATGTCAGCAAACCCAGAAAATATGAATACGAGAAAAAAGCCATAAAATCCTAATGGAATGCGAACAAATTAATCATTTTAATTCTGAGTTGCCATCTCAATATTTGATTAAAGTGTTCCAACGTCAAATAGTATTTTCTACAGTATAAATTCAGTATTACAAAAATTCTTCTTTTGAAACTTTCCAATGATGACAATCAATGAGATTCGCCCTCTTTTCCAGCAACCTTAAAGAGTACATTGATATAACGGTCAGAAAACCACAATTAGGGTCTCCGAAAAAAAGGACCCAATGGCCCATAATCTGACATATATGATATTATGGGGTCACACTTTACAATATGAAGTCAGATTTTATTATAATATCAATTTTCGTAGATTATTCAATACCTAGTCCTATTTATCCTATCCTAAATAAAAATCAATGAAATAAATTTTAATCAGATTTGATAAAGCAAAAAAATTTACCCTCTTGAATTCAGACATATTTGTTGTTGCAACTGTTTTTCCTATCAAAGTGAGTTTCTCTATTTTAGTCGTTTCTTCATCTCCTTGATTATCGGGAATAAATATCTAAAGACAACTATTTTATAAGACAGAAGGCCTACCTAATTCATTACACTATGGGTGAGCTGGGGTGGGGCTTTAGACCCAAGATTTTTCACCTATAGAACCAGAATAGTTAGGATCAATACTATGACCACTGGGCTATCTATAGTTCAACCTAGTGCAGCCTCAATGCACAAAAATTCAGAACTCTTTTCGCCTTAACATAGGCTACCCAATTTTTGACTCTGCAAATATGGCCTTACATTAGTATTAATAAAAAGATCTCATTCGGAGATGCCACATAGGCCCAATAAATACATCAATCACCACTTCCGTCAAAAAAGTACTCCCTGTAAGCGAAAATGCACAGTAGAATATGTACTTACTGTTAAATTGTGTACATTCTGAAACTTGACAAATCTGAGATTGATTAAACCATTTTCCGAAATGTCATCTTTTGTGAGACTGAAATATAGTTTAAAATAGAAGTTAGATTTACATATTATTTCTTGCAGGCCTCAGCAAATCTTTCATAGAAGAAGTCTAAATTGAGGTCAAGATTTATACGTTTTCTATGCTTGGCAAATAGAGCATTACCTCACACGAGTAGCATAATTTGGATTTTTAGATAGAGAAGAATAGAACATAATATGAATTTATATCGAATTTGTATTGAAAGTTTTTGAAAAATGTCAAATTGTTTTTTTTGTGTAAATCAACATAACATGTCGGTTGGAAATGCAACAAGAACAAAACATGGGACTTGGACAAATTTCACTTTAAATTAGTCAAAAACTCATTGATAAAGTTTACTATACTCATACTTTGAACTAACCTAATTTCCTGGATAGGTTTTCCATCTCGCGCAGAATCAAAATCCATATTATGAGGTTGATTTATGAATAACCTCAATGCTTTCGGACCAAAATCATGTGGAGCTACCAGTTTTAACGAGTGCAGTTTGATATTCTGATTAAATTCGACTGATATAAGAAGCTGAAATAGAATGACAGTTGAAAAATAACAGGTTGTGTTCAGAAAATTTAAACCAAACAAATAAAGCGAGTTGAATATTCGATTCAAACTTAATTATATTAGACATTAAAGCAGAGGTGTGCAACCTTTAATACAGGCCAGATACAAATAACGGGGTAGAACTGCGGGCCGCATCTTTATTCAACATAGGCTTTCTGGTAGTTGCAGGCACAAAAATTTTGTTATTGATCTTATAAAATGCGATGTTTGCTTCACACAAGCTCAGAAATAGATTTTGCAACACAAAGGAATTGGAAATACTCACACATACCAGATTGAATTAAATTAATACTTGTTTCACTGGCCGCACACCATTCAAAATTGGCACTCTTTTTTCCTTGAGGGCCGCATTTGGCCTGCGGGTCGCAGGTTGTACACACATGCATTAAAGTCATGATTTTAGGCATAATTAAGAACACAGCCTCAATAAAAATTCATAATTTTTCGAGTAATTGGAGTCTCACAGTATGAACAAGAGCATTATCTTATGTTTTTATTTACATTGTGTCCAGATGATTGCCATCCTGGAATAACTGTCCTCTAATCTTATTTCCCACTCTTTAACTGATCAACGAGAATATCGGTCGGAGGTCGAAGACTTATCGATCGATAGTTAGGGGATCCCCCAAAACAGAAACTGCTGTTTCGATTTATCCGCTCTTGTAACTTGCGCACTGCGCATCGCACACACACACTCGGCGGGTCTCAAAATTCTCTCGCTTTACAAAAATCTAGATCACTATATCAATAATTGATTGATAACTCGCTAATTATACGACATAATTCGCCCAAAATCTTCTTGGCTTCTGGTCCGAGATAAGATGAAAGCACATGCAAAATCTGGAGCAGATTCAATCTCGCTTTCGTGAGATATGGCGTGCATCTAACAGACATACAGACAAATACCTATCAACATACTTACCGATTAAAATCGATAAGTAACAATTCAAATCACTTTATCTACTGTTCCTGCATTTCCCAATTCAAACTCACAGACTCCCCATGTGTTTTTGTTGAACATATAACCCAATTTAGTATATATGCATTATTTCATATTTTAAAATATATTCATTCAGAAGTATTCATAGTGGTATTGTCATACTATCAATGTAAGAACAAACAAATTTGATACCTCCGGATCACAGTCTGATTCCAAATATAAATCTGAGTTTTCTTCGAAGATATACTTGACAGTATGGTCATCACTTTCATTGAGACAAGTTAGTTGAGATATATTAACTTGTGATAACAAATCAACCTGAAATAAAGAGATTAATTTGCAAATAACTATATTTGATAAAAAATTTGTGTTGTCACAGTATTTAAACAAAATTGAATTTGTTATTAGTATTATTATTTAAATCGATGAGCTGACAGAACCACAGTCTCCCACCCTGTTATCAGTCCAGGTCAAATATATAATTATTTTTTTAAAATTGAAAGTAATCATCGCATAGATGAATGGTGAAATGCAGAACAGTGACTAACTGATCTACATTGCAATGGTGGGTCAAGAAATCTTCTCTCAGGTAATGAGATATTCCAATCAGCGAGGCCATACAGGGTAATCAGAAGAGTGATACCTGATAGTAATCATACTACTGCCGCATAGTATGTGCAAACTTGACTTTTATTAATAAAAGCTCTTTATCTTGAGTGGCACACTTCGATTTTTGAATCCAGAAAATAAATGAAAAATAAAAAACATACAAAAACAGCTGCAAGATAGATAATTCATTTAAAAAGCATTGGTGAGAACTTTGCTTATGAGTATTATTTGCCATTAACCTATTAGCCTACAAGTCAACATGAGTTTTTTCGGCTTTGGTTCAAAATAAAAACAAAGCAACAGATCATGCTTCTTACCATGCCAGGAATCCCAACACTTGATTCTGAACTTGATCCATTTGCTGAAGAATCGAGTGATAATTCATGAACCTTGTTTCGCAATTCCTCAGCCTTAGCTCCTTGTATTTTATGAAGTGTTGTTTCGTTACGAATGAATAGAAATGTTGGCATAGCTCTAACACCATAGATTGTTTTGGTTTCCTGCAAAAAAAAAACATTTTATACAATCATTAATCTATACAATAATAAAAATATAATAGCTAGTAATTAACTGGATGGTAAATTGTTACATCCAAAAATGGCTAAGTAATAAATAAAAGACTAATGACAATAACTATCCATTTAAAATGACTTTTTGCTCATAAAAACATATTATTAGAAATAATACAGACAAGTTGAATAGTCGTTTGACTTATACCAGTGTTTGACTGGTTTATTAAATAAACGTATTCATCAATCAGCCTATTCATCTACCCACTCTTATTATACATCATTAAACACAATTTTGAACAAACTTACTATCATAATATCATGCCCAATGTTAAATGAATCAGAAAATAATAAATACAGTAAAAAAAAATCTTACAAAACATTTGTCAACATCAACTTTAAGAAATACAACTCCTTCATATTGATTTGATAATTCTTCAAATACTGGAGCAATAGCGTGACAGGGTCCACACCTTTAAAAATAAAAAAGATTATAAGCATTCTACAACATAACACTGCACACAACACTAATGAGGTTCTTATCACTTTATCTGTATGTCACTCGGAAAATATATTACATACATAAATGTTCTAACAACTAAATTTTATCAATTTGATAATATACCAGTAACTCAGACTTCAGGGACAAATTCGATAATTCAAAAATAAACGATTACATATTCAAATGTAATATCTACTATCTATATCTGAAAGACTTACCATGTAGCAAAAAAATCTATGACAACGAGGGATGAACCAGCATCGTTAAAACTGAGTTGAAATGCTGCGTCGTTATCTATATGTTGTACAGGCATTTTCTATCAATTTAGGTATTTGATTATTAAACAATTCGACTGAGAAAAACAAACAACGATTAGCTTTTACACATTTCTCAAAGGGTCAACATTTTATAACAAAACAGAGGACACTCTTTTTTATTAAACATAAATTAACCAACCAGAACATCTGCAGAATTTCATAGCTGATTATATCCAACAATTATTCTGGCAATGAAAATATTTAAGATCAATCCGATATCAAACAAAACCATGAAGTGCCATATTTCATATGACGAAAATCGACACCAAATAATAGTTACTTAGTTCAAGTTAGTTGTCTGATCATTTCAGTGATTAATAGAACATTGAGACAATCTACATTCAATCGAATGTTAACAGCATTCGTCCCACATTACCAGTGGAAAAAGGTAACATTATGAAGAGATCTACGTCAAATTTGTAAATAAATGTCAGTCATCATTCAGAGTTACAATCCCCACCAGAATTTCAAATTTCATATTATGCAAGCCAAATGAAAGTCTAGATATAAAAATTGGTGATGTAGGTAGATTCACTTTTCAAATGTTATAGCATATTATATTTACTTTTCAGGCATGGTTTCAGTGCAGGTCTACCACAAATAACTTATGATGAAAATAAAATTCAGACACAACAAACTTATCCACTGCAAAAAATCTTGTGGTGTACCTATAAATATTTATAGACGAACACTCTAAACACTCGATTACGCCTAACTTAAACTAATCCTGAAATTCAACAAAAAATATACACATGTGGACTTTGTATTGCATGTGTAAGTTCAGAAGGTGGTTCAATTACTGAATTATAAAACGAACAAATTGTCCAAATCAATACCAATAAAGAAAATTCCATTTCATCATCAAATACCAATGTTAAGCAATATACATTGTATCGTTCAATATTTGCCGTTGATGGTAAAATTATGACTTGGCTTTCTGGCCGGATTTTTCTAAAATAGCTTTTAATTGTGATGAGAAGTCATCTTCTATATTATCATCATCCCAGTTTTCATCCCAAAATACTTTTGGTTCTTTGTCTTTCCCGGTCCATTCTTCCGCAGGAAATTCTTCAAATTCGTCATCATCTTCTAATGATCCTAGTTCAGTGACTGGCTTTTGTTCATCTTTCTTGTCTTTGTCAGCCATTTATCTCGAAGAATTGAATACTTTTTAAAGAATAAGTTTTATTACTATAATACTGTAATAGGATTTGATAAAACGATAGTAAAGGATAGGTAAAAAGATGAAAAAGGGGCACACTACTGCACTACGCATAGGTTTATACTAATATATATTCCTGTAAAACCTTTCATCTCATACGGTATTCAGTATATTTTGAACGATACTTACAGACTTAAGGTTTGTTTACCGGTACCGATACTCACCTGATTCTAATACTAATTAAAGAGTGGAAATAATTTTATACTTATACTACACTTATTATCCAATCCATTACCCAGTTTGTTACCGGTATGCAGGTATGATTATAAGATTTTTGAGTTGTTATTACAGTATTAAAATCACAAATTTACAAAAGTTACACAAGAAAAAAATAACAAAAAAAATGAATATCGGTATTTATTAAATTACAGGCATTATAGGTAATCTTATCTTACAATAATCTTACAGTTTTCACGCGCCGTGCGGTTTTTCTTTTTCATTTATTTTTTTAATGAAAAATAACAAATAAAATAATATCAAAAAGAATTACCAACAGTACATTATTAATATTTTATACATGTTATTCAAATCTCCGTTCTGCCTTATGATTTTCGAGCAACTTTCGTCCCGGACATACATTGTGAACATGACACAGCATGAGTAAGCATAATAATACACGACACTCACTGAACTCTGCTGCTATATAGCGAATGTATAAAATATCGTAAATATTTCTTTATTTATTTATCAACAGAAACAAAAGAAAATCAGGTGATTGATATTTCGCCAACCCTTCTGCATTGCGTGCGTACCGGTACCGTGTCCGTATCCCTTTCTTCATCTCCGAGTTCAGGCGTAGTATTGGTACCGGTATCGGTACCGTTCTTCTGTACTGGGAGGTTGCATGGCTTAATCTTCAGATTTTTTTTTTCTATCATAAAGTTTAAAAGTGTACAATCTTCAGACTCATGAGTAATACTAATAGAGTGTCTGAGCAATTAGCGACATGTGTCATTGCGAGAAGCCAGGCATGTCATTACTAAGTTAGCCCTTTTTAATATTTTGACTCTAATGCATTTGTGCTTTGCCTTTGTTTGTTGGCGTCTATTATTAAATTTGGCATATAAAATAACTGGTTGAAATTGAAGTAAGGTCTATAAAACAGCTTAATCTTGTTTTGAACTGTCGCCTCGTCTCACAGCCTCGTCAGAAATGAAAAAATTTACTATAACAAATACCGTAGATCAGCGGTTCCCAAACTATGGACCCACTGGTGGGTCGCAAGAAAAATCTCAGTGGGTAGTGAAAAGATGTAGAAAGCTTTGATTAATCATACTGGTTGGTTATTAGCAGTGTTCCCTCTAAGGTGTGCGCGTGCACACAGCTTTCAGAGGCTGCGCACACGCATAGATTTACTGCACACAGACGTATTTCGATGTAATGTAACAATGATCTCGATTGGCAGGTTGAGAAAGTTTGTTGTTGGCCCACCCATTACACGGTTAGAACACCAAAATTTCTTCATTGGTTTTTGCACAAATATTATTCATTTCCAAAAAAGTGCGCGCACACCAAAATTTCTACGCACACATACTACAATAAATTAGAGGGAACATTGGTTATTAGGATCGGTGGCAAAGCAAATTTTGGAATAAACTGCAACTTTTCAATTTTTCACGTCTAAAACTATCTGAAATCGAAATAAATATCAAGTCTATTATGGAAAATAGCAAAAAACAAGCTCTTCTTTCTCACTAGCTTCACTGAAAATTCAATTTGAGAAAATAAATTTGTTTACTCCATCAATGTTTTATTAATTTATTAAAGTTAAATGGGTCGCCATAAGCTGTGGTAAAAAATAGTGGGTCCCAACTCTAAAAAGTTTGGGAACCACTGCCGTAGATAGTTTATTTTGAAAACTCCATAATACACCTAAATAAAAAATAAAGAATTCTGGAGAGGGAGCAAAACCTTTAAAAAAGTTTAAAACATGAGAAATATCATGTGCCAGCCCACGGCACACACAAAAAAATTACAAAAAACACAAACCTGGTTAAACGAGGCTTGGGACAGAAATAAACAAACAAAAGATACATGAATGTTTGAACTTACGGACTGTTATACTTTTAAAACACTCAGTAATAATGACTTTGTTTAGTGCCTTAATTTAAATGTCTTGGAAGGATGGAAATGTATATTCAATTTATAATCTTCTTGAAACTTACAATGTACACTTATACAGCAATATACAGATATATGTTGTAAATAAAAGTTATATTTATTTTGCCCCATCCCTCAGTGATATTGCGATAAACCGAAGATCTTTGGGATCAAATGTAAACCTTGACAACTATTAACATTTTTCCAATTCCTCGAAATAATTTTACAATATGATCTGTTGATCATTACAAAATAAAACCCTCAACACCAGATTACTCTACAGCCTACATTCCTAATTTCAGCATCTCCGTGTATTAAGACTAAAGAAAAAAATAAACAAAAGGATGCATATCTTTAAAAAATGAATTGTGTGTGAGTATGCAGACATGTCTCCCTTTAATGAATGTTTGTATGTTGATCCTTTCAATAAACCATTATCTGCAATACTTTTTTCGTTAATTTTTTTTTGTCTTTACATCTTGTGAATGTTCTGTTTCGTACTGCAGTCGGACTGCTGTCAGTCTGTCAATGTAGCATGCAAGACGGACCAGCTTTTATAATTGAAGTATTGTTTAATAATTTTTTAAGCCTTCAATCCAAATCCATTCTATACTTCTTTTCAAAGATTGATGTTGTAATAGCCGAATAAATTGGTCTATAACTCTAATGGGATGAAATTAAGTGAATATGGGTAGCATCATCAGCTCAAACACTAAAAATAATAGTGAATATACTACAGATGGAAATGTAAATTCTACACCTGGCGAAAGAGATTTTGGATATATAGAGTTCGATGGAAGTGATGGCAAAACTTGCCCCACTTGTCAAGGCACGGGGCGAATTTCTAGACGTCAAGAAGATGAACTTGTGGCCCTGATTCCATATCATGACAAAAGACTAAAACCTCGCAGAACCACAATGTATGTTATGTTGGCCATCATTGTGTGCTTGATAATATGTGGACTTATACTGTTCTTCATTCTACCAAGATCTGTCAAAATAACAGAAGGAAAAATTGCGAACTACTCGGTGAATATAAACACCAATTTGTCATCCACGGTTATTATAGCTACCAACCAGTATAACATTACAAACACCAACTATTTTCACGTACAAATTACAAAAATTTCAGTTGAAGCATTTTTTGATCAAGTGCAAGTTGGCACTGGGAAGTTGAAGCACGGCCCTGTGGTTGTACCCCCATTAACAAACAACTTTCCTGTCAATATAACTGTTCAAATGACATTTGATAAAACTAATCAGTTAGACTTTATGAGTAGTTTGTGTACTAATGATAAGCGACGAGTGCATGATATTGTGATTAAATTTCAAGCAACACAAACGTCAAAGTACCTTTCCCATACTGAACAGGATACAATATCCTCATATAAGTACATAGATTGCAGTCCTACTCCCCCACCACCTAAAGCAAAGAATAAGAAGTCTTAATTGTCCAATTCATAATAATATTGGTACATCATTATTTTCTCATGAATTTCACTTTTCATTGTGACTCCTCTTGATTTAGGTATTCTGATGTCTCGCATTGATGTCATTCTTCTTATATTATTTTTTTATCAAATTTGTGATAGGAAGTTAGTAAAATGATATACTTTGTATGCTTCAAACATTTACACCTACATTAGATTAAGAGGATGTATTAACGGTGTAATAGGATTCTGAATATCTGACAAGACTGGTGCAATAATATATTTGTAGGCATGGTGGTTATGTATTTCATATTATTGATCGTTTTCAAGATTTCAAACCATTTCAACTTAATTTCACCAAATAGCTCAAAACAACTTCTGATAGTGTAACTTTAATAGATATTTAAGTAGCCATTTATTTGATAGATCTTGGCCCTGTATTTTTTATTACAAGAGTAAAAAATGAAAACATTAGTATGAATAGTTAATGTAATATTAATTTTGAAGCAATGTTCAATATGGCGGCAAACAAAAGCAGGAAGTTATCTGCATTACTTCATAGAGCCTTTATATTGATCAAGTGTTTGGATCTCTATTCTGATATCATGAACAATATGTTACACATGTATTGAATATCATGTAGAAATCTGCATGCAATGGTTAATTCTGTATTCACAGGTGTATCGATCTCTCTTTTTTTTCCTCAAAAAGTTACCAGATATGCTTAATATTTTTTTTATTTTGTTTTCATTAGCGTGTAATTTATGTCTCATTCTTACTGCCAAGGCGTTAGGGATCACTGCTTTGCTTGGAAGCATAATTTTGTGTAGTCAAATCAAATTGTCAGTAGTAAAACATTAGACATATTATATACTACATTTAGCTGCCTCATCAATGCTTCGCTGCTGGGTATGTGGTATCATAACACTGCAGTAAAAATATATCAAATTCAAATATCCAAGTCAAAAAAATTATGCAGTATTCGGCCTATGGTTCAAATTTTATATATTAATAACAGGAAATAATTTATTTAGAATGTGTCTTTATAAATTGTAATTTATGGAACATCGGTCTTATAGGTCTATTTAATCTATTTTTATAGTCATTTTTGGGATGTGTCAAATAATTCACCCAATAGTACTTTACAGACTATTCCAATTTAATAAATGACTGTAGTTTGAATGCCATTTTGCTGTAGCGAATTTTAATATCTTCTGATAGTCATTGTAAAAGCATTTTTATTCTGATAGTCATTGTAAAAGCATTTTTATTGTATTTATTATTCTTGATTGGCCCATATCTTTGTTACAGCAATCAGTACTTATTACTTAATATTAGTACATTAATTGCGATTACCTGGTATTTTCCAAGATCAATTTGTACTCAAATATCTTGATTGGTAAATACTACTAATTGGCATTTCTGCATAATCGGTGCTGTGATATTTGATCATAAGTAACATTCTGATGTACCATCTCATTATCTTTTTTTTTGTATTTTTGCTTGATAAGATGTGCATTTTTTGGACGTGAAGGACAGATAATCAGTTAACACTGTGATATAAGTAATGATACACTATGTTGGGGGAAGTCGATTTGTAAATAAGTTGTCCAGCTATTCATTGTCCAGAGAGAGGTATATACTATTTCAGCTTATCTCCAGAAAAAGATTTATGCACATTGTCATTACATTTACGTCAACTTGATTATTGTTAGTTCTAAATTTGTCAAACATTCGTGTGGATATTTTTATTAGCTTGCCTTGAACGTACATGAGAGAGTTTATTTATTTTTTATGTTACGGAAATGTCATTGTTGAATAACAACCATACTTTGAAAAATATCAGATGCTTGAATGTATGTTATCAACCTCACCGTATAAAATCATCAAACGAGACTGGCATCTTTAGTTTTAGGACCAGAATGGTGCTTGGGTTGTCACGTAAGCAATTCGCTATATGGCCACACTACCATATTATCTAGTGGCCGTTTCTTGTCATTCATGGGATGGAATGCATTCGTCTGACGCTAACGAAGTATAAACGCAATAATGCGCTTATTCTATTGAGTCACATTCGATATCAGACATCTCCAAGTGTCTTTCAAATGCAGTCAAAAATTGCGTCCAGTACGTTAATTTTCCTCACTTCTTGGTAGTTTCTTGGATGGAGAGAGTTCACACGCTCGTCAAACCAGAAAACAATGCGAATATGTATCAATAAAATTTAACAATAGGACCTTAAGATCTTCAGAGTCTGTTATCACCAAAACACGAGTACAAAAATAGTTGAACAGGTTCAAAAATCTAATATATATCATGAACGTATCAAAACTGCGAAAGACTAAGAAGTGCATTGGACGATTATAGTTGGGCCGTTTCCGTCATCTTTTTCAATAACTATTTTGGAATCTCCCTAATCTGAGATGCGACTTCATATTTGAGGTTACGAATCTTCTCACTATGAAAGTGTTTTGAAATATCTAGAACATAGGTTTTCAAAGTGCTCCGTACGGAGCCCCAGGGCTCCGCGAGAGTAACCCAGGGGCTCCGCGAGCTATTCGATTACTTTTCAAAATACTGACTTGGCTAATTTAAAACTGTTCCTAGAAGCAATACTAGCTTTGATGAAATTTGACAAATATGGCAAAGGGGCGGAATTAAAAAATGACATTATTTATAAGCAGGAGTGCAGCCAGGATTCTTAAGAGGGAGGAGGTTCAAAATTGAAATCGGAAATTTACGCGCAACATTCTTGACGATTCAAAAAAAACGGATAACGAGATCTCTGTTGCGTAAAATATTCAATTCATGACCGATGCGAGCATCTAAAGGGTCTTGTAATGATTTAATTGTGCTCATCGTTACTCACATTCGATTCGAAATTACTATTAGGATTACTAAAATGATAAAATACTAGTCTAAAATAACATAAACTGCGTGATAAACTGCCAACTATAAATAAAATGGAGTCGTATTTTTGCGATCTTGGGATTTGTTAAACTTTATTTGTTCTTTCGCACTCGAGATTATTTTTAAGCAAGATGTCGCCGTTTGAAAAATCACAAGGTCTTGGCAAAATACGAACGATAGAAATTTATTTTAGTGCATGCGGCTCTGTCGGTAGTTTCAGAAAGGAAAAATGGTACATCGCACGCATAATTAAATGACTGTGTTTCAATTTCGCAGTTACTACGATGAATAACCGAAAACCTAACATAACACCAAATTTTTATGATTTTCGATGTCTGTAACAGCGTTTTTATTCTGACGTGAGTCTGCTGAAACAAAATTTATAGTGTTATCTTCCATTTTAAGTTTTAGTTCTAATATTTTAGAAGGCCGCTTTTTAATCAAGAAATTTGAATTGCAGATTTACCTCTTTATTAACTATTATTTATAGCATTTCGTCGCCGATGATTATAATATGGTAACATGTTTTTCACATTGAACTCATAATTCCCCACGAGAAAGAAAAAGCAATTATCGTCGTCATTGTGGAACAAACATGCATATGCCGAAGGAAATTTTTTATTTAGGGAGAATAAACACCGGCGTAAAGATGTTTGAGGTTCAAAAACACGCCATGCTGACGAAAACAATCGGCGATTGTAACAAAATGCAATCGCGCACGTTATTAGCAGCCTTTTAAGTCTTCCAAAAATGTCAAGAGGGGAAAAGATTCGACCCCTAATTTATTAATATGTTTGTCATGTGTCAAATTTATAGCTTTAGTATATTATACAATTTATCTTTGAAATTTAGATTTATTTATGACTTGTATTAACCCTATTAAAAGTGTTTAGTATTTAAATTGAGTAAAGTACGTTTAACTTACTCAGGAATATTAATCAGAAAGTAACAATTTTAACATTTATTTTGGGGCTCCGTGAATAATAGTCAACCTTTTCAAGGGCTCCGCAACGCCAAAAGTTTGAGAACCCCTGATTCTAGAATATTATAATATAATGTAGCAAAATTGAGGTACATATTACCCAATACTCGTATGGTATGCACAAAAATTTGATCAGTGTAAAGAACATTGAGATAATATTAAAGAATCTAGTGGAAAGAGATCAATCAGATTCGCATAGTCACAAAAATCAAGTGCGGATATGCTAGCACGTGAATATTGTTTGCTTAGCCATGTTAACAAAATATCTGTTGTTGAAATAAGAGCGTTGGTGACCCGAACACATTCTTCGTATACAACATGTTCGTAGGAATAATGCGTCATCCCGTGCTTGTTTTCGCGTGATCAAGTGACAATCACGAGACCTGTAACATTTGTAATAGCGGTAAATCATTTACAAAATCGCCAGCAATGGCTCGCCGTTTCGAACATTTTTCATCTTTTGGGTACCTTCATTGTTGTTATCCCCCAGACGGCCATTTACACATAAATTCGATTGCACTAATTTTCAAACGAAATACCAAAGGTTTGAGTGAAGGTCAATCGAGCGCGTGTGGAATGCTGACATTTCAATGGTTTACGTTTCTAACACTCTTCTATCGTTGTTGAATTTAGCTAGCGCTTCTGGCGCAACCTTTCTCCCATTTCCCGCTCATCCGGCAATCTCGAACTCCTCGCCATCCGACGATCAATGGCTTTCATTTGGATTTCTCCCCCTCACGCAATCATATTTTTTTACTAAGCCCCTACTAATCCGTTCGAATGTCGGAAGGAGAAAGTTAACCCCAGCTGGCCGTAAGTCATTATTTTAGGGCTTTTTATTAACAATAATTAAAAATTAGGTTTTATTTATTGCGTTCAGCCTCTATATATTCTGAAAATTAAGTTATTCAAGTCAGAACCCACACGCATGAACATTTCTAAACAGTCGATGAACATAGGCCGTGTTTCCTTGTTTCACTTGTTCTTTATCATTTACTGGACTTCACATTGACTTGTAACCTAAACAGAAAACAATCATAATTTTCTTTGTGAGCAGTCCGGCCTTGCAGTCTCGTCCGCACCTTCCGATTATATTTTTGTTTTATGATCATTATTTCTGTACTACAATTTAACGGTATTCAGAAATAAATTCCTGTATTTTCTATGTTAGAACTATATGTATTGAATGTGCCACGATGAGAATCATGCGTTGTTCACGTTCTTGACTTTGCAACCCCGTCCACATTCCTCGTTACGATAGCTCAGTTGTGTGGGCGGTTTGCGTCACAGATTTTTAATCACGATTGTTGTGATGAGCTGATAAATATTCAACCCAACAGTTGTCAAGTTTATGAATATGAGAGATACGGTCAACCCTAGACGTGTTCAATTGCACGCTTTTACATGAGATGCAAATGTGAAACATAACGTATTTTTCTTCAATTTTGTATTCGATAGAGGAACTCTCATTTCAAATGTCAAGACTTTAGAAATAAATAGGGTTACCATATTTTTTTGACTTCAAAGCGGGACGCCTCCAAAGACACGAGCCCTTAGCTGTGATTCTGAAACTTTACAGTTTCCGATTTTACAACATAGGCCTACATTTAAAGCCATCCCGGCTGTCTTCATTGATCATATTGTCATCGACATTTAATGCGCATATTATATTCTCTGTCTAAATATCGAGTTGGGTTCAGTTCGAAAAATAGAAAGGAATAGACGCTAACGATACAAATGATCCGAATTTACATTTTTTATGTACAGCAAAAGGAATAAAGAATAATGAAATAGTCTGCCGTTTTCAAGCATTGAGATTTGCTTATTGCTCAAGCATGCTTTTCTGTAGATAACGCCTTCAAAAAGAACGTGAACGTCCGAACGGAACCAATTAGAATTGATTTTACATGTGATACGTTCGCTAACACTGTTAGTGGGAAACAACGAAACAAACAAAATAACGCATTCACAGTCAGTAAGTAAGCTAGCGTTGCGCTACACAGCAAAAACAATAACGAGAATAATATGTCCGTTTATTATGCTGGATGGCTGAACGCCAAAGCGGGACTTTTGGCTGACTTATCGGGACGGCGGGACAAGACGCTAAAAATCGGGACTGTCCCGCCTAGAGCGGGACGTATGGAAAGCCTAGAAATGAATAAAAGTAATAGTCTTCAATTTCAAAGCAATTTATCCAATAACCGTCGTTGCAATAACTGAACAGAAAGGCGATGTTTTCATAACAACGAGAAGAAGCGAACAACAACATAATAACAAAGCGATCCATATCCACTTCCTGTCCAATGAAAGGTTATTTTAAACTCTCCCATAGCATAAAATGATAACAATACCGAAAAGAAACATACAAGATAGAAATTCAGAGAAAGTAGCCAAAAAGGGGTGTGAAAATACAAATAAAACAGTGATAAATTCGGAGACCTATTAGTCCGGGCATTCTATTTCAGGTAGACAGGTAATAATATATATTTCAGCTTGTTGTTGGTAGTTGAGGAGGAAAAGATTTATTCTGTCGTAACACGACGAATACAACGGTAGCGCCTCAACTGCATCAATCCCCAGAGTATTTGTTAAAAAAAATCTTCTAGTTGCTATGAAAAAAATCACTTTTCTCATCAACTACAGGACCAATTTCTTTGAAATTATCAGTGATTGAAGATTGTATTTTTCGCTTTCATGCATATTCTGAAATAAACCATCATTACTCTGTAACAAACAATCCGCTCTAAGTGCAAACCTATGGCTAATTTTTTTTTATCCTTCATAAAGAATTTACCGAAAGCATAGTCACACGCACTCACTCAGAAATAAAGAAGTTTTTCTCCAAGTCGAAGTTACGGGCGACTACCAAAGTACCAGAAGCTACCAAGACTTTAACGAATTGCACTCTTGATAGCCGGCTTGTTTCTGTTTTTCCTCCCCCAGGGCAACA